CATCAATATTTTATCATTCACTGCATGCAACAGTTTAAAAATCAATTCTGGTTGTTTGTTTTAGAATCGGGCCCAGGCATCCACAGAGCTATTGCAGGAGCTGAACAGTGACGTTTCTGGGAATTTTGTGGAGGAGGTCAGTGAATTATGGCAGGATGTGTCACCCAGCATGAATGTCACTTGGATGAAGGCATGAATTACTGCATCATAGTATCCTTAACACTTCATGATTAAGACAGGCTGTAGCCTGGGAGAACTTGGCATTTTACCTTCAGGTATCCCCTCATATCCTGTAAAATGCCCAATTTAAGTTCCAGGCAAGGAGAGTAAAGGAAAATGGGGAAAAACATTCTTGTCAAGTCATATATATCAATAATAGAAAAGATACTTCATCCAATGAATGAACTGTGTAAATAGTTAATATTTACAGTGAGACTGAAGTTAATGTACAGTGAACACTTACTTTTGTTAAATGATTAAGTGTGTAAATATCTTTGATACATAGTAGAGATCATTTGGTGGTATGGATTGGTAACAGAGTTGTATAATGTCACTGAAAGTGTCACTGGAAAGGGGTGTTTAGAAAACATGTAAGAGTGTTGTAACAGATATAGCAATATTTAGACAGAAATGTGTATAAAGGTTTTGTGGGTTGCTGAGCTATGGGGAACCTAAGAGGTACATGCTTACAGCTTCCCATAATTTGTTTTGTCCTTTCCATCAATAGCAGTGTTTCAGCTTTGTTCCCAGTATTTGCTGATGTGACTTGATGTGTTTTGTGTTTTTACTTCTAGTCTCCAGAACAACTCCTAGACAACAATCCTGAGTTTTTCCATAGATTTAGCTTGGTAATTGGTGTCCAGTTACAAGAAAGGTATGCAGTGTTATGAGGTGATCACTCTGTTTCTTTTCCATCTAAATCAAATTAAATATTGTTAAGCCTTGAAGAGGCACAGATTTTGAGTTAAGAGACCATCATTCACATTCTTAAGATTAAGCATTGGCTATCTTTGTTTCTCCAGTACGACTTTACGATTAGGGGCTGTTCTGTGGAATGCTGGAGTTCCTTTTCTGGTCTGCAGGACCTATGGGTTCATTGGGTACATGAGGCTTGTGGTGAAAGAACATTCAGGTACGATACACTGTACAATCTATTTTAATGTAAAGTCCTAAGTGTTTTTTTTACTTGCTAATTTTTTAGGTTTCATACTAAGCCTTTTTTGCAAGGTTGGTGTGCAAAATGTTTGCGCAGAGCATTTTGTCGGAGAAAGCTTTTGAGATAAATCTCAACATTATTTTAGTGCACAATACGAGTTTATCTGTTAAAAAATTAGAAATGCACGAATGTACATTTGTATCTCTAGATACACAAAATTACATTAAGACGGGCGTTCAATTAAAGAAATGATGGATTGGATGGTTTTTCATATTGATAGAGGTTATCTCAATAACAAAGGGACAAGTAAAGGTTTATTCCATGCTGAAAATAGAAGAAAAGAAACACAACCTTTTGGCTGTGGAGCCTTCTTCAGTTGTGAAGGCTGAAGAAGAAGGCTCCACAGAATATTGTATTAGTTTTCACTAGGGCTGGTCAAACAACAGTTCTGTTAAGGCCTGTCTTCCCATTTTTTCAGTTGTAGAATCTCATCCAGATAACACTCTAGAGGACTTGAGGTTGGACTGTCCATTTCCTGAACTCAAAAAGCATATTGAGTGCCATGACCTGGATAACATGGACAGAAAGGTTGGTGTATATATTTTTTTATTTCAGAATGTCCTTCGCATCTGTGTGCATATTTACATTTCTCTCACAACTCATATTTGACTAGAGTCACATTTGTGGTTTTTGAGTGTCCTAGAGATTCTGCAGTATTTTGATAAATGCCATGTACCATGTGTATACTTTGTTTATTCCATTCAGGAGATAAGGACAAGTAATATGTGTCTTGAATGAACGTTTGGAATGTTTTGGCCTTAATGTTTTTGGCTTCAGGGTTTAGACTCTGTTCATGTGGGTGAGGTAGTCAGAACCACTTTTAAAATGAGCTATAGGGTTGCTCCACTGGTAGTGGGGCTGGAGGAGGGGTGTTGGAGCTTAGAATCTTGGGAAAGAAAGTGTGATGTCCCTAGAGAGCATGTGTTTGGTGGGAATTCATCTTTTTCAGAAATATTTGTTATGAATGCTGTTAATACAAATAGGATTGCAGGGTTTATGCAAATTATGTTTGGAGTATTGTATTTTTCTTCAGTTGAAATTAACATTCAAAGAACAATAATACGCTTTTAAACAAAGCTTGGAGCATAATGAAGTTCACAAAGGCGGATGTGAAAATGATAAGTACTTGATTGAGGTGAAAAGACAATGTACATAATGTTCACAACAAGTTGTGTAAATACATTTACAGGCTCACTATACTTGTTAAGCTTTTATAATTCAGCAAAACTATAAGAGCAGAATTTCAGATTGAGAGTAGTAAGATGAACATGAAGGAAGACACCATTATGGACTTAAATGCTGGCAAGGATTTTCAACAGTTTCAGCTCAGTAACAGTAGTCCTGGTAGGTGTATGTGAAATTGGACTTTGCTGTATGGTTTTATGCCTGTTGTTTTACTGCATTATGTAGTATTTATGAAGGAGTTATGATGATGTTTTTTGCCTCATTCAAAGAAAGCAATACAAAGAAAATGCCCATTCACCAAGGTCAACAAAAATGATTAACTGTGTGGAGCAAAATGCATTAAAATAAAATTCCTGAGATGGTTAGTTTCACAGCAGCTGGTGCTTGAAGAATGCTTTTTATGTCATCTGATACAAGTCTATACATTTTTCTAAAATTCATTTCTTGACAGGACCATAGTCATACTCCTTGGATCATTGTGGTTGCCAAGTATCTGGAAAATTGGTGCAGTGAGGTAAAAACGGTTTACCTTAATAATGATAAACTGTACAAGGCATTTAGGAACTCAGATTAAGTTTGCTTTTGTGTTCGTCAGCCTAAAATCTATCAAAGCAGTATCACCTAAGTGTATCAAGATTTTGATTTTGTATTGTGAGTTGTATTTTTTGTCCAGCAATAACATAAATAGATAATTATAATTATTATATATTAGTATATTACAACTGCACTGATGTATGAATATGTTTTATGTACTCAGCACAATTCCCAGCCACCCAAGAATTACAAGGAAAAGGAAGCATTCAGAGAACTCATCCGCCAAGGTTAGATTGCTTTAAATTTGGCTTTGCTTTTTCAGAAAAGTTATGTTTTAAGTCTTAATACATTTTAATTAGCCAATGTCTGAAGTGGACATTTTGTAAATTAACTTTCTTTTTCTCTCCCTGTTTAAAAAAAAAACAGGGATCCGCAAGAAAGAGAACGGGTCTCCTGAGGATGAAGAGAACTTTGATGAAGCAATTAAAAATGTCAATACAGCCCTGAACGCGACAAAGGTGGGGTATTTTCCTTCCTTTACTGATTACACCGGAAGCAGAGCAGTGGAGCATGTACATGCTGAAGGGTGTTTCTGTAACTGCTTATTTCTATTTTTTGTAGATCTCGAGTACAGTAGAGGATATCTTTAATGATGAGCAGTGCAAGAACATTACATCACAGGTGAGGACCAAATATATACTAGGAAACCGTTTGATAAGAATATAAAATATAAAAGAATATAAAATATTAAGAGTAAACAGCTTGCTGAAAGCATCGGTTTTTGTAGCTTTGGCTATATCCATGACTTTCATTTCTCTATTTTCACATTTTTAGCCACTTTTTTTCTTAGCAGATTTTATGTGGCATCCTACAGCCTTCCAATCAGAATTTTTTCAGACTCTCTGAAGCCCTGGTTAATGTCTGCCTTTGCCTTCCAGAGTCCTTCGTTCTGGATGATGGCGCGGGCTGTCAAGGAGTTTGTGGAGAAGGAAGGTGGAGGAAGCCTTCCGGTCCGTGGCACCATCCCTGACATGATTGCCGATTCTGACAAGTTCATCAGCCTTCAGAACGTGTATGCAGAAAACTCTTTGCCTTTTTTCCGCAAAACACTCGCTTTAAGACAAAAAATAGATCGGCATTCCTTCTTGTTCTGGGTCTGATGGCTCTGTGTTGTTCTTTGATGTGTGTGGTTTTCAGCTACCGAGAGAAGGCAAAACAGGATGCTGCTGCAGTCTCGAAACATGTAGCCTTTCTGCTGCAGTCAGTTGGAAAGGTATGTATTATGCATGGAAAACGTCTGTACAGCTGTATTTCGAAATTAAATGAACAATCAGTATGTTAAATTTATTTGTGTTGGACCATCTGCCTCTTTTTGTTAAGTAATCCAGTAATGTTCAGGTAGAATTTCAACGGTTTAAAGTAGAGAGACATAATGAGATATGCAATGGATATTCTGGGGTGGATTTAACCGGGTTAAAAAGAAGAGGCTGCTGAAGAACCTATTGATATATGTTAACCTGTATTACCATTTTTCTTTTCTCATTTATAGTGCTCTGAAAGCATTTCTGAGCAGGACATCAGACTTTTCTGTAAGTTCTTTTCAACACAAGAAATATAATATTATTGAGGTGATGTTCGGTCTTGAATTGTGAAGTTCAAAACATAAAGCAGGAAAAAGTGTTATCTACAAAAAAGTAACACGTTTATTCTGTTGTTTCTGAATGAGCAACATGTCTTTGTTTTGAAAGTGTGGAATTGAAGGATTTCTGAGTAGTAACCATTGTGTGCAATTACATAGATACATCACCATGACCACTAAAACATTTTTTTTTAGGTAAAAATGCAGCATTCCTAAGAATTGTACGGTGCAGGTCACTGGCTGAGGAGTACAGTGTTGAATCTTTTAATAAAGATGAAATCAGTAAGTGAAACTTCCTGCATTACAGTACTGTATTGTTTCACAGCAAATGCTTGGTCTCAGCTCAGGGAAAAGTGTGCTTAAATGTGGAAACTTTTACAAATTTTCAGCATCTTGTATGGACAATCCAGACAGCGAAATGGTGCTGTACCTCATGCTACGTGCTGTTGATCGCTTCTATCAGCAACACTCCCGATATCCAGGTATGAGTTTTTCACCTAAAATATGTTTAAGACCATTGTAATAAGTATTTATTATGTATATATGAAAGGGAAATAGTAAAAGTAAAGCGACTAAATGCATATGCTACAAATAGGTTACCGCATGTTTGCAAGGTTTGACATTTCTCTTTTAAAAGTCTGTACAGATACTAATTTTCCAGAGTCTGCTTACTCACATACTCTAAAATGTTGGATATCATCACATTGATTCTTAAGTTTCTATTGTTGGATTTACTGCTGTTTTTACTTTTTCTACTTAGAAAGGGATTTGGTGGGTGTTTCATAATTAAAAAAAAAATGCTACCCAACCATTTCAAGGTAACATATGTAATGGATGTTAATGAATCTTGTTTGTTTGCTCCCCCACAACAAGGTGTTTATAATTACCAAGTTGAAGAAGATATTGGCAAGTTGAAGTCTTGTGTCAACAGCCTTCTTCAAGAATATGGCCTGAATGTAAATGTGAAAGATGATTACATTCATGAATTGTAAGTGTCTTTTGTCTTTTTAGATACTGGTTATTGAAAATCATCTCTTTAAATAATTAAATATTAAATAATCCGATGGGAAGTATTGTAAGTGGTTTGCAGTCAAACCTTAGCAGAAAATCCTCATCATACATATATTAAGGGGTGAGACCCTTTTCTATCAGATTAAATATTTTAAGAGTACATTCTTGTTAGATGGACTAAGATGTAAGCCACAAGGAACACTTCTAGATGTATGCATCGTAATATGTTGTTATTTGTGTTTTTCAGCTGTCGCTGTGGTGCTGCAGAACCACACACAGTTGCTTCATTCCTGGGAGGTAAGATTAGAAAGAGTTTGAGTTAATTTCGGTGATACCAGTGCTTTTGATAGAGCAGCTGAACCACAGTGTTTTATAGAAAATGCAGCAATTTCAAGATGTCAATTTTTGTTTTCAATTCTTTTATAATTGTCATGAAATAGTTAAAACATGTGGTCTCCTTTCACACCTCATATTGAACATATTCTGTAATCATTGCCCTTAAATGTACATTACGTGTTTTAGCTGTACAGAAACCCCTTGGATCAAATTCTGCATGCCATATTGAGATAAGAGTCTTGTAAAATGTTAGATTTTCAGTTACTGAACATTCACTTTTGTTTTAGTATATTGGAGCACACCTAACGATTTTTATTGCATCTCCTTGTTGCTTTTGGCTATAAAATGCTTTAGACATGTCAGATTTGCATTTTTTTTTCTTTGTAGGATGTGCTGCTCAGGAGGCGATCAAAACAATAACACACCAGTTCGTACCTTTCAACAACACCTTTATCTACAATGCAATGTCACAGACGTCTGCCACTTTCCAGCTATAAAGGAAAACTACATTTCAGTGTTGTATATGTTATTTAACCCATTGTAAAATATTAGAATGTGTTATCTGTTTCTAAAAAAGGAAAATAAATTATCATTGATGATTGGCTGGTTTGCTGTTCGGTGGTTTTTTGCCGTGTTGACGAACGCTTTTTTATATTTTTGAAAATCGGCAGTTGAGCAGCTAATGGATTTCTCTACGGAGGAGGAAAACTTGCAATGATGATATATGGATGGTGTATTTTCAAGAGGTAAACTACAGTACATGGACCAATCATAAGGAGTCCAATGCATTCTGTCAGCTGTAAATAAACGAAACGGATTGAACCAACCTTTGTGTTTTATTTAAGAACGAACTGTAAACTGAACCTTTATATTTTGGACTGTTTTAATAGGCAAACGTTTTAGGGTAATCGTTATGGGAAAGTAAAAAAAAACCCAGTTGGGCGAAGTCCAAATAAATACGCAAAGAAATTCTTCCGTTCGTGTTAATCGACAAAGCTAATAATAATATGATTTAGATCTACAGTAGGATGACGTTACAGAAACTCCACTGGGCGGGAAACAGACCTGCGCCGTGATGGGTGAGGTTGCGGTTGTGGTCGAAATGGGTTAAGTATTCGAATATTAGATTAATTTAAAAAAACGGCACCTAAATGTTTGAATAAAATACTGTTAATATGCAGCTGATAGCTTTTCTAATTGATTTAAAGAAAAGGTAACCGAAGTGATCAGATGTCGAACTTTCTAACCTTACCAATTAGTTAATTATTTTATTTGTTTTCGGAAATTTCGAGACATTTAAAAGAAGGCCTCGATTTACATAATCACGGTGTGACGTTTTACATCTCGGAGGCTTTCGGTTTATGAAACCCACATTTGGGGAGGGTACAGGTGTCGTGTTGCTTCTTTGTAACGTTTAAAGTCAGGCAGAAAATGCATCGCGAGTTATCGGACTAATGGTAAAAAAGTTCAAAACAATACGTTTTCTGTTTAACTCACGTTATACCTTTAACAATACACTTCTCCGAAGATAAGACCGAGTTGAGTGTATGCGTGTTCCTTAAGTTGTTGAGTGTTTTTATTGTGTACGTTACTTGTAAATAAGCGAGTACTTCGGCTCTAATAACAATGAAGAGTGCGTTTTCACTCTAAACGAGCCTACGCCCGAGGCCATAAGAAAGTGTTAGAAGGGAGACCCTTGGACCCGTTGAGCTCTTATGGGTGCAAGTAGCCAGTTGGTCCGGGATCTTGACGGTCTTCTCTGGGAAGAATACAGGGTATCGGCCCACTTGGCCGACTACAGTAGCTTGTCCCGTACTCCCCCTGCCCTGTACTTTTAAGTGCTACCTCCTCTCGTGTCCATTTGGTTTGAGGTTCTCTGTTGATTCTGAACAAATGAGTAGGCTTGAGTTTTGAACATCTCTGTTCAGTTCTACAAATATTCAAATTCTTCTGGGTTGTTAGAAATTGGACATTCCTTTGTTCTGGGGGAGGTGTATCAGCTGAGTGGCTCATCATTTTTGTAAGGTAGTGACCAAAATAAAATTGGGTAAAGAATCCTAAATTGTAGAATAACATGCGTTGATTTAAAAAGCTACACCAGTTGGATTTTAGATCTTAACTTTATGGAGAGACCAAAAGGTTACAGAAATCAATTAAGATCCAAATTGTAGTTAAATCTTAATCTGTAGTTAAGTCTAATATCTTAACTTTTGGCTCTTTTGAAATATTTTTCTAATACTTCTGATCTTAATCCAAAAACATGATTCATTTGGTATTAGACCATTATAAGGTATATCTGTAATTTTGAAAATGCGACTGACTGCATTGTATTTTTAAACATTAAAAATTCTCTGGTATGTTAAAAGGCTGGATTATGTATGCATTTATAAAATGAAGTTCAAACAAAACATCTATATTCTAGTACTGTAAAGTAAGGGCTTCAGCCTGAAGAGGTGAGGAAGATGGATGTTTCAGACAAAGAGGTGGAACTCAAACTCTGTGGTGAGATCCTGTATTATCTAAATGTTATATTAAAAATATCAATATTCTGTTAACTGGATATTAAAATAAGTAATTGGAGTGTTATCTGTATCAGTTTGAAGTGATACATGTTTCCATATCTTGTCATCACTGACAGAGGCAGATGTCCGTGTTCTTGGTTATTGGATCGTGTTTTTATTTGGTGCTGAGATTAAATCAATAGACTGGCATATGTGTCCATTATATTAAATTGGTTCTTTCACCTCAATTTGTTCAAAAGCCTCCCTAAGCAGGAAGCATCGTGTGATTTGTGAAATAATGTAAATTATGAAGGTGTCTGTGATATAAACTGTTCTGGCAGTGCCACAAGAAAACAGCGACAGCTGAAAGCACCGGACAATAATAGTTAAAATCCAGCTATGAGTTTTACTTAGAGCTGCAGTAATAACAGCTTTTAGTAGACAACATTTAATTCTTGGAAAGGATGTAAATTCTTAGTTCTGTTATTCAGATATGTAAGGCCATTTTGTATACTGGTCTTTTTTGGGATGCTTCAGTGTATGAACTTCCTTCCAGAAGATATATTAAAAAAAATTTAAACCAAAAAGGTACACATATTTATTTCTTGTAGTGTATTTGTTAATTGCAGGGTTGAAGACAGACATTAATTTGCTGATTGAGTGTCTAAAATATCAGATGGATGACCCACATTCTCAAAAGCAAGTTCTAGTTACCATTCATTCCATCTGCCAACAGAACGGTTAGTTTTTTTCTGTTTTTGCTATTTTGCCTTAGTCCTGCATTTTTTAAATCTGCTGTGTTGAAATCTCTTATTATGAACCTTACAGTGTTATAAAAGGACAGCACAATAAATTTGAATGCAAAGTGTATTATTAAATCTGTTTCGTTTAATATTTCAGAAGGTACAGGACTTTTTCACTCATTCTTCATTGTCTTCATGTTTTGTGTGGAGATGGAAATTATATTGGAATTGTGAAAGCTTGTGAATATCTTGTCAAAAATAGGAGTATTTGACATTTGTATGTGGATTAGGGACAAAAAAGATTTGGGGTATAAAACACTTTACTGCATCTTAAATTGTTTTTTAGGCGGGATTGTAGATTATGTCCGGGAGATCGGAGGTGTGATGTTTGTGTACAAGCTTTTCAAGTCTGTCCAGAATTCGGAGGTAAAGGAGGCAGCTCTGTTTGCTTTAGGAGGATTTGCGGAGAAGAATGGTATGTGACATGTTCAGTTTGTAAATAGTCTGCTTTACTTTTTAGTCCTTTGTAATGCCTGTTGAGTAATTTTGTAATGTTACTTTTTTGGTTCTTTCTATATTTTTATTTCTATTTTTGACATTTAAAGACAGGAGACAAATTAAGGTTAAATGCATATTAAACTTATTTGAATAGATCCATCCATTTTTTTACTCCTTTATCCAGTACAGGGTTGTGGAGGATTTGGAGCCTGTTCTGGCAAGCAGCAGCTGCAAGGCAGGATACACCCTGAACTGGTGAATGGAAAATGCCAGTCCATCACAGGGCAAACAGACACAGACACGCACACTCATACCAAGGCCAGTTTTCCTAGAAGCCAGTTAACTTACCAGTATGTTTTAGGACTGTAGGAGGAAACAGATGCACACAGAGTAAAATCCACACGAACCTGGGGAGAACATGCAAACTTCACACAGATATTAGCCCCAGAAGTGAACCTGTGGCCCCAGCATTGAGAGGGAGCAATGCAAACCACTGTGGCACCTTGCCACCCTATTTGAATAGATATTTCAGTTAATTATGCTGAGCATCAAAATAACCTCATAACTCATAAAAACCTGTTATTCACATTATCAGGAAAATTATCAAAAACCTTTTGTAGCAAGTGCAGAAGCTTTTTATTGAGCAGACATAGGCAAATTAAATTAGACTTATTAACAGTTTCTATAAAAATCACATACTAGCTCATTTAGCCCCTGTTGGACACAAAACAAGCTGTACATCTACGATGTAGGCTGTGTACCAGTTTGCAGCTGCTGTTTGGTGGACTTCTGTCTTATTCCTCTCTTAGAGCCTGTTCACTGGTCTATTAGCCATAGGTGCCATATGTCATCTCAGCTTATCCCTCAAATTTTCAGTAGTGCTTGTGTCTAGTGCATCAGCATTATTGACATAACTTGCTTGCTAGTCTCGCAAGAAAGCTGTAGTTACATGAGCAGTGTGAGGATGTGCTGGACTGTTGTCATCTCAAGCAGAACCCACAGGAAGAGCTACAAGTTTTCAAACTTTTGTAGTCAGGTTGCCATCTACTACAATGAGGTCTGTAGAAACCTGGCACTCTTGCCCAGAACATCACATGAGGACTGCCCTGTCCATCTTGATGAGATGTCTCTGAGGTCTCCCTGGTCTCCCAGTGGCCTTTCATTGATGCTTTGTTTAACCACAGCATCTTGTCAGGTTATAAAGTTGATAAGTCGGGCATATTGATTCCTTTCTGTATTTTTCTTTCTCACATTTCAGGTTTAGACAGTGAAAAAACGTACATCGTGATAAGTACCATTTTGATCATCAGTATACATAAATCATAATCAAGGTCTAGTTGCATTTGTTTCTAAAGAAAATAAGATAGATGGCACTGTTTCCCATATTAGATAACTAAAACTTATTTATTGAAATAGTAAGGTTTCGGTTTTTCAACACTAGAAATGGAAACTCCTGGGAATTTTGCAACCTTAACTTAAATTGATCTTTATGTACCTGATACTACATATTTATTAAAATTAAAACACATGTGACCTGCTTTAATTTTCTTGCACTGGCTCCCTGTGGAATTTAAAATAAAAGTAAAAAAACGTGCTTCTAATGTTTAAGTTGTTGAATGGTTGGCTCCTCACTACAATAGTAAATTGTTAATTCCATTAACACCTGTACAACATCTGCACTCTGATTCCTGCCTTATTACAGTTACTTAAACAAGGCTTTGAGCACTAGGAAACTGTTCTATTGCTTGAAGGCTGTGGAATGATCTCCCAGCACAGATTAGATGTTGACAGACAACATTTTTAAATGCGGTCTTAAAACTCATTTTGTCATTTTTTACATGTAATTCTGTTTGGTTTATTATATTAATTTGTGTATACTGTCTTTAATGTTTTGTTGAGCACCTTGCAATAATAAGTGTTGCTCTGTAATAACTTGTCATTCAAGTGATAACATTGCATTAGTATTATGCCTTAATAATATCAACAAGGACTACTGGGTACTGTAAATTGAAATAAGAATGATCTGTTATTGTAATTACCTTTAGTTTTGTGATTCTAAATATAAGATTAATCTCATTGGCAGATGGATCTGTTTGCCTTTTGCTTTTTGCAGTATTTTGCCAGCAGGAGTTGTGCAACTCAGAATTTCTTGCAGAATTAGCACAGTCACTCTCACAGGACTCTTCTCTGAACCTCAGAAGGGTAGCAGTCTACATGATTTCAGTACTGGTCTCCAATAACAGTAAGCCACTCTTAAACTGGTGTGTTTCAATTGTTTATTCAGTAAGAATGATTTATTTTGAACATCCATATGCACAGTTTATGTTTAACTTAAAGTAAAAATGTTCTGTTAAAAAAATAAAAATAACAAATGGCAAACAAGCTTTATTTGTGGAAAATAACTCCCTGACCTCTCAATTAATAGGTGTTTGTCCTATCCTATGCTGAATTCATCAGTATTAAATATGAGTTGAAAAGGATTCTGCTCAGATTTGATTCTGGGATTCTGGTCCCAGTATTAAAAAGGATTGTGCCCAGATTATGTAATTATGTTATGTTAATGCCAAAGAGAAGACTATATATCTTGATGTATACTTCATGAACTGTTAAGCCTTTCACTTTTATTTTCAGAATCTGGACAGTCTCTTGTTAAAACTACTGGCTGCATTGATATCCTATTGAACTTATTCAGGTAACTAATATTGTGATAATACTGGATTATGCCAGCAGCTATATCACTCTGCAACTCACAACTGGCAACCTACTGAAGCTAAGCAGGTGTGAGCCTGGTCAGTACCTGGATGGGAGATCTCCTGGAAAAAAACTAAGGTTTCTGCTGGAAGAGGTGTTAGTGGGGCCAGCAGGGGGTGCTCACCCTGCAGTTCATGTGGGTCCTAATGCCCCAGTATAGTGACAGGGATACTATACTGTAAAACAGGCACTGTCCTTCGGATGAGACATAAAACTGAGGTCCTGACTCTCTGTGGTCATTAAAAATCCCAGGTTGTTTCTTGAAAAGAGTAGGGGTGTAACTACTCTTTTCCTGGCGGTGTCCTGGCCAAATTTCCAATTGGCCCTTACGAATCATGGCCTCCTAATAATCCCATCTCTGAACTGGCTTCATCATTCTGCTCTCCTCCCCACTGAGAGCTGATGTGTGGTGAGCGTTCTGGTGCACTATGGCTGCATCATCCAGGTGGGGCTGCACATTGGTGGTGATGGAAGAGAGTCCCCATTACCTGTAAAGCGCTTTGAGTGGAGTGTCCAGAAAAGTGCTATATAAGTGTAAGCAATTATTATTATTATTATTATTACTACTCTGATCACATCTCTTTTCAGATGGACTTTTTCTGTTAGTGTAAAGCAAAATGATTACATACAATGCATATTTTATCAATAGTTTTTTCTGCTTCTTAGAACATGCTTTCCAATCTCAGAAAAGAACATAAAACAAGCAACCATCAGCCAGTACTTTTGCCTGTGGACTTCTGTGTCCAGCGCTCTGTGCAGCTGTGTCAATAACCCGCAGAATGGTATGTTAATTTAATAAAGCTTGTTATCCATGAAATGTAGAGAACACTTTTTGAAAAATCATGTTTGACATGTCATTAATACAAGTGACTGTTGTCATTTTTAAATAGAAAATTGTGGAAATGTGCCGTTTTCTGAGTACCGATCTTGTAAAATTATTCTTAGAGACAGAAATGTGATAGTTTATTTAGAGCAGGGGTGTCCAATACTGATCCTAAAGAGATGGCGTGTCTGTAGGTCTTCCAGTTTTCTTTAAAAAGCAGCACTTTAAAGAACCAGTTGTTAAATTGGTCCAATTAAGCTGATATTGGACACCTTGGACACCTCTTGTTGAGTACATTAACTTGATGGTTGCATGGACCTTAACACTTTATAGCTCTTAAATCCTGCATTTGATTTGAAGTGGGGTGCCTGTTGTGTGGAGTTTGCATGTTTTTTGTGGGTGCTTCAGTTTCTTCCCGTTCCTGTCCAGGGCGTAGTCCCAACTTGCACCCGTTGTTTCCTCTTAGACTTTGGGTTGTCGAGACCCATAAACAGCTTTCTGAGAATGACTGGATTGATGTTTATTATTTTTCACCTATATTTATTACATTTTTCCATTTAATTTTATTTATTTGTACAGTATATGTGAATTTTGCCTGTTTTTACTTCAAAAGTAATCAGAATAACATTCCTCTGTGATGACAGAGTTTTCAAGTAATGATACTGCTATTCATTTGATTTTGCTTGTGTTAAAAATATTTTAAAAAGAGAAAATATTTTAAAATACTGTATAGTCCTTTGTTCATGTCCATTTTATCCCTTTGCTGCACCAGGGTCACAGTTGATATTGTGAGATTTTAAATTCAAGTTGACAGCTCTAGTAGAGGTGAATCACAATGTTGTCAATGCAGACATTTCATGCTGCATCCTTCCACATGAATATATTTTGCTCTGGACATCGAAGGTCAAATATGATACATTTTAAGTAGACTGCAGACAAAGCTGCCATGAAGGGTCCCCTTGTGTTTAAGTAAATTATATTTCGTTGCTGCGGTCTTTTAAATTTTTTAACACTTGTAGCCATCGTGTGCTTGCTGGCTGTTCCTGCTGTCACATTTTCCCTTTTAGTTTCTGATTGATTTATAATGCATATGACTTCCCTTACAGGAAAAAGGGCACAGAAAATATTGCTCTTTTTTAACCTTTTAACCTAAATGCCTATGTTTGTCCTGTTGACTTCCCAATAGAAGAGAACCAGCAAATATGCACAGTTGCCTTTCCAGTTTCCAATGAGTGGCTGCAGAAGCATACTAGAAGAGATATATTACAGCCCATTTGTTCATTTATCGGCTTGACTGTTGCAAATAATTGTAAGTATCTCATATACAGATAGTCAGAAGAAATATTTTGTAATTAAAATAAATTCTGAAACAAAATTAGAAGTAGTTTAAGACACAAATATTCTATAAAATAGATCAGTGCAAAATTTCGTATTAACTTGTACTGTTAGCTGATGCTTCTGTACTGTATGTATGGAAAGCATGCTTTCTGACCCAAGAACAAAAATGCTAGTGTTACATTTTATTTTAGTGCTGAGCTGGGGCACCACTGTCTTATTTTCCATTTTGTGTTCCATTCAGGTTTTATCAAGAATACATTAGCCGTAGAGCTGCTTCATCTGACAGCGCTGATGTGGACAAAATTTGATGTTTTTATGTTTGTGTGCTGAACCTGCTAATGCAAAATCAATTTCTAAGTTAGGAACACTCAGTCTACAGAAGGTTTCAGGAAGGATAATATTTTTTTGGCATTCATTAAAGATACTGTTGAAAGAATGACTGTTTCTGCTAATTTATAGTGTAGATTTTGGGAGACTTTCCAATGCTAAAAGAAACATAACCTTCAATGTTTGTAAAGATTTCACAGTTTTCTATTGTACTGGGTTGAACCTCTGAAAGAAGGTAGACAAAATAAGTCTGGGAACTTCCCTGCTGTGCACTGTTGGGATTTTTACATAACATGATTACAGTTTTGTTTGAAAACAGAACCTCTTTTATCTCTCTTTGGAGAGATGTTAGATTGAAATGTATTTTTTTTCTACAGTTAATCTTTGCCATTCCTCTCTCACCCCTGTAGCCTGTGCACAGAGGTGCTTTGCCACATCTGGAGGATTGGTCACTCTGGTACAGGCCCTAGTGCAACAGGCCAGCCAGTCAAACAGGAGCCCCTCTGCCTGTGATCTTGCCATCATGATGACAAAGACCCTGTGCGCTTGCATAGCAGATAATGGTGAGCTGGGAAATAAAATAGCTCAGTAATTTTCACTATATCTTTTGGTGACAGAGACATTATTAAAATAATCTTTTTCAAGCTGTACTTGGGTTTGGATAAATAGTAAAATCAGGAATTTTAGAATTTCTGGATTAGAAAGAAGAAATCCATTGCCTCTTGTTTTGCATTACAAGTTGTGATTAATTCTGTACTGCACTTTGCAACTATGATCAAAGTATCTCTGCATTTTCAGCACTCTGTTTTTAGTTTCACATCTTCAAATACAGTATAGACAAAAGCAGCAGTTTCCTGTTAATTTTTGTTTTAAAATCTTCAGTTTTTAATGTTGGGATTTTTTGCCATTTGCCATCAGCTCCCCTTGGTTCGGGCCTGTCTCAGTATCGGCTGGTTCCCAGGCTTCTGTCCCTGCTTTCATGTACAACGTTGGATCCACAAGACCTGTTATGCATTGTGCTCACTCTTGGTTATTGTGCTGAAGCCTGTGGTAAGTGTGACAGAAAAACTTTCAATTTAGAAGCTTCGAAGAATGAGATTGAACAGGCACATACAGTATGGTGTCACCTGAAGAGTATCATGATAAGCATACCATCTCATGTTTTTTGCATATGTGTTAGAGGCATACCTTTCTCTGAAAAATACTTAATTTGAACTGTGGACCTAATTCTTGGTTGAAATAAAGAGACTGCTGTTATTTGCATTTAATATTGAAAATGTTAACTTGTGCTTCACTGGTTATTGTATGTCATTGTCATTTTGGTAAATAAAAAAGTGTGACAAAGGCTCAGCTTTGCTTTCAGATATCCAGTTGAGTTGTCCATCTTTTTGTCTTCTCAAATCCCCTTTAATGAAATTAGTTATTCTCTTTTGAAGAGGAGCACCAGGTCCAGCTGTTGCAGAGTGGTGGCCTGCCCAAGATGATTCAGTTACTGACTGAGCCTCAGGAAGAGGAAGTGAAAAAGGCTGCTACTTTTGTGCTTCAGACCTGCAAACAAATCAGTAAGCAGAGGGCAAGCAGGATTTTTATAATGTTTTTTAATTGAAACATTGCCTGTGTACCTTATTGTAATAATTTGTAGTATACATTTTTAAAACAATATTAATAGAAATATTAACTTTTAGCTCAGCTGAAATTGATCCTTAGTTCTAAACAAAATATCTGTTTTTTGGACTTTACAGGCATTTCTTGGTATAATATTTTGTAACACTTTTTACACTGTACAGTATTTGCAGTAGAGCATAATTTCCTCATATGGAGACATTTATTATTTTTTTCCTTGAAGCTGAAAAACTAGCAGTGGGCCTGAATAGTCAATCCTGGGATAGCAGAAATGAACTGGATAGCTATAAGACGTCAGCAGAAGAAATGTTAAGGAGGTTTGATGCAATAAAAAAGCAGTACTCTGAGGTGAGCCAGCATCTTTTCACCAGTCTATTCAGATGTTTTCAAATGTTTGGTATTCCATATGTATATGACATAGTCAACAAGTTACAGTATGTTTTCAGTAAATAGCTAACATTTTGATAGAAATGTGATAATCCAAAATAATATTGAATCAAATAATATACATTCACCCTACTGCTAACATTGGTCATTTTCTTTCCTTTATTGCTCTGTTTTTGGAAAGGGTTAAAAGGATTTTCAGTTTAGATCAAATAAAATGGGTGAAATCCTTGCATCAGTTAGCTACTAATAAAAAGTGTTAAAGTGTTAACAAATACACTGCTGTCACATCTTATTTTTGAAGATTAATAAGACTAAAATATGTTATTATTAATATAGTCTATAATTATTAATTATGTAAAATAATTTATTTTAATAAGATTAATAGATGTATTGCCTTTTATTCCTTTGAGTAGGGCCTGCACAGGAATGATGAGTCTGTTGAGAGTTTAGGTGATGAATTTTGTAACTCCAGACACCAAAAAACGTCAAGCTGTGGAATGATGGCAGAGGTGAGACAGAACTCTCCCTTGCAGCTGCCTGTGGAGGCCCCGTACAGGACTGCGAAAGGGAGCGATGAGGAGAGGGACAGGCTCTTCCAGTGGTATAAAACCGTGAAGGCGAATAGAGAACGTGCTTCAGATTATACTGCACCAAAAGGCACAGGGAAAGAAACAAATGGAATAATTGGAAGTCAGACAAGGGACCAAAAGGTTCATATGGTAAGGGAACTACAGGATCATATAGTCATATACGTTTTCTATGTGGTACATTGCAGAGAAATTGACATTCTTTCCTGTCATGAAGGTTCTTATCCTTTGGTTGTAACTTTTTTACATTGTGTTCTTCATCTTGGCCATGTTCAGATAACTAGAGCTGTTAAAATAAGCATGTACTTGGCAGTTGTTCTGGTTAGCAGCACAAGATCTCTGTGACAAATGAATTGAGTACTCTAATAGATTGTTACCGAGAGTGGACTTTTAGTTCCAACTAAGGAACTTTTCCAGCATAATACTCACCTGCAATCAAAATTGAATTTTTTTCTTAAACACAATAAATGCAGTTATTCCATAATGTTGTGTAACCAGGACCAAGGCCAAATAATCTGGGCTAACAAAGAACAACAAGGTGCTGCAAGCAACCCTGCAGCACAGCACTATTCTGTGAACAGAGAAGAAGTGGGCAGGAGCAGTGGAACATCAGAGCCACAGGGTGGAGCTGTCTGCTCTGGAGACTATAAGAAACACAACATCAGTTGTGGTGCATTGAAGAGGAAGAGCAGTCTGCCAACCTCACTGCCTGTTTTGGGACAGCCAGAGACATTAAGAGAGCAGGACAGAGATCACAGATACCCTGCTAGGGACTCGCAAAGGTATTCTCACTATAGAAACATAAGCAGCAGCTTGATTATTATTTATGCGGGTACACAGAAGTGCTTATAGATTTGTTGCAGTTCTGAGTAGAGTACTAGTACTGATCTACTAAAATACTGTATAAAGTTAATATATTAAAATTATTTAGTCTTTTATAGATATATTACTTTACCAATATATCTTGCATAACATGAATCATGGGAGTGTTGGTTCATCCCAATTAAACCATGAAGAATTCAAATTGTGATGTTCATTGCAGATGACTGTTTATATCCCATTGTAGTTGAGGAATAGTATAATCTGTATTTAAAATCAGTCAGCATAAATTTATTGAACATGAATGCAGAACAAATTTAACGACCTCAGCTGAATATAGACAGACTGATTGTCTCTGTGAATTATGAAAAACAAGTGTATATATTGTCAACCAGGAGCTATACTCTGCATTAACTTTATTCAGTAATTATCAATAAATGAATGGGAGTTTAATACCTTTCGAATATAAGGTATTATATTCCAATCATAATCGGAGCTCCGCACATTTGACATGTTAGTTGGTCATTCTTTTTAATAATGTGGCCTTCTTAAATAAATGAATCTTCACTAAGGATTTGTCTCAACATTTAACATCTATTTATAGATTAAAGATGTTGTCTGAGCTAGAATATTTTGCTTCTGTTTGGTAGAATTGTATGAAGTGTCATGGTTGTTTTTGAAGGCGCAGCACCGGGTAACGCAGAGTGACCTAAATGTTCTGACAGTTTTGCATTTGAACATTACCTTAAAATTTGGGTTATGTCTCCAGCTGAGTAATGTCTGTCTTACCTGACATAACCTGTCGTTACTTTTGCATGGCTTGATGTGAACAAGATTCTGTAAGTGACATGTTAAGAAAATTATTCAATGCAGCTGTCACTGCAGTTGTATAGTTGTGTAGCTGAATATGCACAGTTCGTTGGGAGGGACTGAAGTTACAGCCTCAGCTTACAGAGAAAATGCTGCTCAACTGCTTGTTCTTCTTTGCAAGCTCAGTGTGCAGTGCAACTGCATTGGCCAGGCCACTCTCTCTCTCCAAACAAGTGTCCAAATATTCCATTTATACTATTGGATGATGAGTAAAAATGTAAAGTGTAAATACAGTAGTTGTATCTTTTTTTGTTAATGTTTGTGAAATATGGGCCACCTTTTGAATACTGTGTACATTATACAACATATCAGCAATATTTTCAGTACTATATTTCTGCTATTCCACTTGATATTTTTTAGATCTGCTTAAGAGATTTTAATAGACATGAACAACAAGAGCATTTTAAGGAAATGTATACCTTTGTTCCACCGTGTTTTAGGCAAGTTGTTTTCAAACACCCAGCTCCACTCTTGAATATTGATAAAAAACAGAAGAAAATTGTGTCTGTCAAAGGTAATATTTGTTCCCTAAATAATTATTTTTATGTCAACAATTGTCATTGTGTTTCGTAAAATTCATATTGAATAAATTATTAAATTAAATGTGGTGTATGAACTTGATACTCATCAGTTACTTTCATAACTGACGACATGTCATTTCTGAACACCTGAAGTACCTAGGACACGCATTGACACAGATTTTTGGTTACAGATCCCATTGTCATATGTTCAGAAATTCTTGACAATGAAATAAGCAATATCCTGAAAACACCAGCATCTGTGAATAAATATAAAAACTTTCGATGCTCAGGTAAGTCTTATAAATATAAACAAATAAGAACAATAAGGAGAAGAACAGTGTACCGTTAGTCTTCTATTGAGGTTCTTTACTTCTCAAAAATATGTATTTTTTCCTAAAATATTTTAGAAAGCTTGTGAAGTTTTGTAACTTTATTTTATTTCTGCAAATACATTTTGTACATTTATTTTATTTCTGGACGTTTCACGGACCTCAGAAAATACAATCATAGACTTCAGTGTTATAATACACACTATGGCATTAGAATCCTTTTGTCCAGGTTCAAAAATAACAAATTGTCAGCCTTTTTTAACATAAACAGTATCCTAAGAGTATTGGATAAGTCTTTAGATTCACAACAGGCAAGTAATGGGTCCCAGTCTCCTCTAGACACTGCTATTACACTGTACCTTTGAGCAGGGTAATTTAACCCATATTCTCCAGTACACCCAGCTATTCAAGTGGGGACCAGCATCTCTGGGGGCAACCCTTACATGCATGCCACCCAAGGGACAGTCACTCTGCTGGTTACTCATACTGTAACCAGAATTAACTCTGGCCTAGCTGCTGTGGCATGGTCTAAGGTTAGGATATTGTTTTCAGATACAGTTAAGGAAAACGGCCCACTGTTTGTTACACAGATGCCATAACGCCGTAATGTTTACATAACACAGCATGTGGTTGATTTTCGTCTTTCTGCAGCAGACTCATTGAAGTTAAATCCCTAAAGACAGCAGGCTGCGGGAAATAATCCTATTGCCTGTCAGCAAGGGTGCCCGTTGAACACAATTATGTTCATATAAGAAGGTTGTTCTAATATGGGAATGCCTTGTGGTCAGATAGGACTTTCCAGGAAAATACAGCAATATGGGCTAGCAAAATATGTGACTTCATACCATCTGCACCACAACTTGTGACAAAACTTCAGAAGAGTTATGTGATAAAATGCAATTTTAAAAGGGGGAGGGATTTTCAAATGTCTTTAAAGTTATAATTTTTTTAAAGATTAAAAGTGTAAGACTTATATTATGCATAAAGTTGTAATGCAATCGATGTGTAACGTGACTAGTGAGATATTTTTCTAAACTACAAAACAGTGGCAAGATCTTTGTTTGTTTTCCCCATCAGGCTGTGTGACAGGTGTCCGTGCTCTGAACAGTAGGAATTTCAGCCAGATCCTCCGATCGTGCCAGTACAAATGTGAGAGGCATATGGTACTTTTGGAAGCGGAGGATAGATACAAAAAGGGAATCGGAAAGTTATTAGAACAGAAAAGAAACAAATTGGATTCCTATAGACGTAAGGAATGTACAGTATATGCTTGTAGGAGTTTTGAAGTTCCTGTTGTGTTTTAATTGTTCTTTGGTTTCACTTTAGCCTGAGATAGAGCTTTGTAAACTGACACATGAGCTGTTTCACCTCAGCATGGTTTCTAAAGGCAAACATGGGGACTGGTTATTGGTAACAGTGCACTTTAAACAACACTAACCTTTGTGAACATAATATCTACAGGGAACTTAAAACGAGAGCTGTTGAAGTCATTACACTATAAGGCTGTCAGCTTTTACGGAATGGCTGTACCTTTGAATATATTAGTTTCAGTATAGCTAGTAATATTTTTGCAGGAGATTTACATCGGTCACTTGTATATCACTTCAAAGAATGTAAGATGTAGTGGGTTTTATTTTAAAACTGTAGGGTGGGTGCTTACAAAGTGCTTTTGAGCCCTGACTCCAAGTAGAAAGTAGGTCTGCTGTAGTGGATTTGCAATATCAAGTGGAGGATTTCATGCACACTGACATACAAAACTTCAAGGACTTGTATGCTGTGGGTTAACCTAATTGAATGCTGTTCAATAAAATAGAAGCTTGTCTAGAATATGTTCCCATAATTCAATGTACAGTATAAAGTGTCTCTTTCAGAAAATAACTTTTTAGCATTCTATAATGCATTATCATCATGTTTCTCTTATTTTTCTCATGTGTATTGTTGAAAGTTATGGGTAAGGATTTATTACACAGTATACTTTAAAAAATATTCCTGTTGGAACTAAAAGCATTAGTAGACCACAATGAATTTTAATAGTTTTTTTTTAAATCTGCAATGCAACATTGATTCAGCTTTGTAAGTATACATTATTAAATGTAATTCAATTATAGTTACTTAAAATGCTACTCACATTCAAGATGGCTAGTGAAAAATTAGTTCCTGCAGGCTATTTAAAGACAGCTTGTAGTTCAGTTCTGTGGTGGTCTGGTTATTATGCTTCACTGAGAGGATTTGTCATGAAATGACTGGGCTAAAAACTTGAAAAGCAGGAGGTCTTATATTGAGCATGAAGAAAAATAAATTTATTTTAAAAGCATTTAACACTCTTTTGAAACTCAGTGTGATTTGCTTATAATAATGCAATCCAATTTGCGTTTCATCTTTTTCTCCCTAGAAATCTCACTGACACCATTGAAAAAACAGACATCTTTCAAGAAATATCCTAAAAACCTATGTGATAAGGCAGAGGGAAAGTGTAAGAGAGTTATTTTCTCTTTGAATATATGTATACTGTATATTAATATAACATGTAAGTTTTTAGTTTTATTGTTTTACATTTACCATTTGTTTCTTTTTTTCTCCAGGGATTACTTTGACTCCTGTAAAAAAGTCTTTTATTTCCAAAGGTAAAACTAGTTATGTAAGAGCATATATTATTTGTGTATACTGTATCAATTTATTTTAAAATATTATCGAAGAGAATGAATGTTACACCCACACCAAAAGAAAGTTATTGTGTAATCACGCCAGTGATGTAGCAAGACTGGAAACATAAAAAACGTTTTTTATAACACATCACTTTCAGTGTGTCCTGACAGACTTTCACACTAAAACCAGAACTTTAATGTTGTATGACATTTAGATAAGCATTTTATTTAGATTTTTTTCTAAGTCTGTGCTGTATCTGTTTTTCATTAATTTAATTCAGACATGAATATAAGTTTGGAACTTTTATGTCTGTGAATCCTGTGTTTTTTATACTGAATGTATTCAGCAGCATACCTGTGGAAATGTTCCAGACATCCGTAGCTCAGACAGTAGCATGAGAGGCTGAGACAGATTGTAATGCAAAGCCTTCTGAAGCGGACGATCCACATAGCAACACAGGAGCAATCATACTGGGGCTCTTAATTTATAAATTATTCACAATGACAGTTTCAATTTTAAGTAACCAGGATTGTGATTTGCAAGTTTCAATAGTGCCTTGAAAACCAAGGTCAAGGTACAATATTTAGAGTATATTTAGCATTTTACTTATTGTCAATGGTTTTATTAATGTTTCCTATTGATTTCTAATCACTCGTTCTCAGCTCTGATTGATCTACAATTTTAATTACATTAAAAAGAAAAAAAATACATTTAGTTTATTAAAATAAATAGCTGTTGCCATGATTCATTTTGATATGACAAAAGGCCAGGACAAATGATGGGTTAAAGTGCATTAGGGATGTAACTAATGTAATTAGATAGTAAATGCTTTATATTATTAAAAAAAAAATGTAAAAAAATTTAAATCTAAAATTGAAAGCAGTTATGATAATACTGTTGTTTTAGCATGAAATCTATAATTATTTGAATTGTCATAGTTTTCTAATTCTGTCCTGACATTAAGAAATTTCTCCTTTACGGAAGTACACGATTAAACATATTTAATGTACAACAGCACTAATCTGTAACTCTTGGAGCTTTTGAAGGGCACAACTCAAAGTCTTTCCACCAGATATCACAAGTCTGCACATGATCAACTTTATTGGCTCAAGGTGACCTAGGAATACTGGTTTAATCTTTGGCAGTCAATATACAGTATATACAGCGTATGTTATTTACACACATTGTTCATTGCTTTTGCAGCATGTGCTGATAGCAGGCAGATCAGATGATGTAATGTTTTCAGGAAGGGTTTCAAGTAAATTAGTAGTGGATTTTCAATAAGAGTTCCTCTCAAATTGTGTGGGGAGCAGGTGGTCCAAGGGGCCCAGCTGTGATGATGAAAGGATCTTGAATGCCTGCTCTTGGAGAAAGTGCACCCTATTGCATTAAAAAAATCTGCCCATTCTCTTTTATTTTGTTTTGTGCTGTTTTGTATTGTGAGGCACTTATAAACTATGACTTCTGAAGGTGTTATATAAATGCTTTATTTTTATACCTTTACTAATGAAAGGATTGCTATGTCTCAATACAATTTGGTTCAGTTTTATTGTTTTAGCTTATATGCATTCATATATCATTCGTAATCTTAAATTCCCCCCTGGGGATAGATAAAGTATTTTGAACTGAATTGAATCAGACTTAAAATTCAATGGTTTATTTTACTCCCAGTGAATTTCAACTCAAAACAATTATATTTCAGGAATGATTTTATTTGTGACTATATTGATTGATTTTTTTATTATTTGCATAATTAAGTCCAGTGGATTTTTAAATGGAAGGATATAATTTGGTACTGTTCTGAAAACAAGATGCCAGAGTAACACTTCCTTTTTGGCTCCTTCAAGTTTCAGTGTATAGCCAAGAAAATTATTATTATTTTTTGTCTTCTTTACAGACTATGTTGAGGCCATAATTAAGAACTCATAAAGCTTTGGAGCCTTGAACATCAATGAGGTTTTAAGAAAACAAAATTAAGGTTGCCCGATTTGCACTCAGTCTTAAGAAGAAGGTTTTGAAATAAAATGCATTATGCAGTTAAGATGTGATTGCTTCAAAACATGAGTACAGCCCTTAACCAACAATACAGTTTCTATAAGTTTTTTTTAAACCAAAACGCTTTTAGAAGTAGAAAATTGCCGAAATTGAACATAAAGAGTTTTGCTATAACACACGTTTTGAGAATGTAACATACCGTACAGTTTGGTATAAAATATTCTAGAATTTGAAATTGGTCTCTATATGTTATAAAATGTTTATTTTTGTTACTTAAAGTTACTTTAAAACCATGGTTGGTTAAAAATATTTTCCTAAAATGGTTAAAATGGGGTGTCATGGTGGTGCAGTAGTTGGCATTGATGCCTTGTGGCACTGGGGACCTGGGTTCAATTCTGGACCCAGGGTGCTGTCTGTGTGGAGTCTGTATGTCCCCCATGTTCACGTCGGTTTCCTCTGGGGGCTCCACACTTTAAGGACAGACTGGTATGTTAATTGGCATATGGAAAACACTGGCCCTCATGTGAGCGTGTGCACTTGTTGCTTTTCGGTTCAGGGTCTGGTTCCCCCACAACCTTCTATGGATAAAGTTGTTAGAAAATGAATGTATGGGTAAAATAGGTTTTGCTTTTCAATGGCCTCTTCCACCAGGCTCCTTCCCCATTCCTTTCTTTCTGTTTTTTCTAGTTTAATGTGACTGATACAAAATAGTCAATGTTTTGGTTAAGAATTTACTCAGCTTTAAATAGCAAAATAAAATTAATCTTTAGTAAGCTGAATACAATTCCAGGCTTCATTACCATTCTCTGCCATACGCATTTCTTTCCTTAAAGATGAAGACAAAATTCTCAAAGCTGCATTCTATTAGTTAATATTTTCATTTATTCTTTATTAACTTAATGTGATTAGCACACTAAAACAATATTATTCTAAAATAACACATAATGCATAATATGGCAGTTTGTGCCAAAAAGAAGATGTCGGTCATGGTGCTGTCTTCATTTCACGTTCTGTACCTCCAAATTTCAATAAGAATACAGTTATTGCACTATAGCAGAAATTACTATCTGTGATTACACTGTAAACTTAAAATGAAGTTGACAGCTGGGTGTAGAGTTGAAAACGGAAACAAAATTAGTAAACAAAAGTGTTAAATTCAACATGACATCTGTCAAAGATTTGGATCATTTCTGAGAAAAAACTGAAATGTGATCATCTCAAAAATATAATATACATTTGGTGTGTTTTAAACTTCTTGGTATACTTTTATAAAATTACTTTTTAAAATGATTTATTCAGTCCTCACCTAATGTGTCATCAACTTGCCTTGAAGCCTCTAGATAAGCATTTACTTCACTCAGTATCCAATGGAAATGCACATACTATAGTTGGTCATCGGGGTATATCTATCGTTTATACTTGACTTGTTTCTGTAGGTGTATTTTTTATTTTGGAATTCTTGTTTTTTTGTATTTTGTTAAATACAGGCTTGAACTGGATACAAAATGGGAGAAGACCAATTGCTGCTGATTGCCAGGAGAAAGAGAATGGGAACACCTATTCATCTGATGTAATTAATTTAAAATAATTTTAGTATTACTTTTCTTTGTGGCTTGAGAGAGTATTACAAACTTCATTAGTTTTTTTTAGGGAGTGATTTATGAATGTTTTATAATTTTCATACTAGATTCTTTCTGGTCAGCTGGCTTTTCACATTGATATTTAAACACTGAAAGATAAGAGAATTTGGCATGTTTTTTCTTTGCAAATACTAACACATCTTAAAAGAACTTGCAGTAAACTGAAGTACAAAAATCTGAAACTTGAAATGTAAACCAGCATTACAAAAAATCCCAAGAAGTTCTGTTTTGCTTTTTAGAGGTAAGGTATATTCAGAACAACATGAGGCAAGCATGTTAAAGTTTAATACGCCCCCTTTTTGTTAAAAGTATGGCAAAGGAAACTCTAAGGAGAGTTATTTTTGTTAGGAATCGATAGAGCCTTGTTTCAGTGAGTCAGCCAGGACACAGGTAGCTACAAGAAGGCAAAGAAAGAACTTCACTGAGAAGGAAGTGCAGTATTTGTTGGATGGAGTGAAGAAACTGGGTCCTCGCTGGAATTCAATACTTTGGTCCTATCCTTTTCAGAGTGGACGGACAAATGTAGACTTGGCAAAGAAATACAGCAAATTACAAGTAAGTCCACATTATTTCTGTAACAGTCATATTTGTACATTTTAGAAATTTTGTGTTCAAGGTTTGTGATAAATATTAAATATTTACATAGCTTTGCTTTTTTGTTGGATATTTTGGTGCTTTTTCTACCTGTGCAGTATTCAGAAACAAATTATTTCTTAATTAACAGAAAAAATACACATTAAACAGAAATGGTTCATTGACTGGTGGTACTTTAGGGTTTTACAGGAAGAATAAAAACACTGCAGTGCTCAATGATAATGCTTAACAGACTGGAAACGTCTGTGGTAAATTTGGTTGTGATGTTGTTTTGTCTTTTGCAGAAGGAAAAACAAGACTGAAGTCACTTAAAAACATCAGAGAATACTACACTGTAAAGGATATTGCACACTATTTAAAATGGTATGCTTAACCTTGTGAAGTATAATGTCTAGCTTTTAATTGTTTTATACACTTTTAATGGAGGTAAAACTATTCCATTGTTTGAAAGACAACTTCCGTTATCTGATGGTATATAAGATTTGTTTGTGAAGTAGGAAAAACTTTTTTTTTAATAACTAAAGGGGGGATTCCTATTTTAATTAAAAGGTAAGACAGTTGTGGCCAACTCTTTGGATGCTTTTTTCTAGAACAAAGAACATGTGACCTCCCTTTACTCCAGTGTGGCATTGCTATGATCTGATATTTAAACAGCCAGTTGTGCTATGATGTTGTGTTTGACTAAATTCAGTGCAGTGGTTTTAGTCATTTTTACTGGTCAGACCAATGTCTTGTGTGAAAAACGTTTGTTGAAGGTCTTTGTGTAGAATTACATAATTTTCTTCTCCCCAGTGATTTAATTAAAATTCAGTTCATGGTTCCCTAAATAAATGTTCAAGATGTAAATGAAAGGAAAATATTTTAAATGTTTTTTTTTCCCAATTCATAATTAAGAGCAGACCATAGCACACTTTGTGTTCCTTTATGCCAACACAATGCTCTTGAATATTAATTTTCTGTGGTGAACTTTACATAGAAGTTACGATACAAATATTCATTTACTTCCCTTAGGATTATGGGAGTAGAAATGAAGAGGGCAAAGTGGCAAGTTTTGAGTAATCCATTTTAAATTAGCTATATGGAATGAGTGTAAGACTTCAAGGTCTTTGTGGCATAAAACCAGGAGAGCTAGCTTCTAGAGGACAGCATTGGAATTCTATATCCTTCCCCTTGAATATTTCTTCTCAGTAAACACTGTCACAGTTCACTCAATTTGTAGGAGGTCTGTAAACACCTAACAGTATTTCCATGACTTTTTTTTCCCATCTGTTTGCATACACCTGTCTTCCAGTACTCGGTCAAGATAACTCTCCAAATGGCTGCTTTCAACTTTAAAGTGTCATTAGTAAAGATTAGACACTCAAGCAGATTACACACAAAGGGCAATGAATGTTTCATTTAAAGAATCTATAAAAGTCACAAGAGAAGCTTTGTTTAATAGTCTTTTATTATTTCAAAAACCACACTTTAAGTTAAAATACACATTCCTAAACAGTTTTGATTCCACTATGAAAATGTGAAAAAGTTGCTTCCTTTTTATTGAATTAACTGAAGGATATGCAAATGTCTAAATTCTATTAGATCCTATTTAAAAACCATACCAATTAATTGTTTTAATAATTACGTAGAAGTTGGTTCACATATACTAGTAAATCCATTCCTCATTCACATTTTTAAATCAACTCTCACTCTTGAAAACATTCCGTCAGCTTCATTCACACCACAAACATCTATTCTGCTGAATAAAACCAGGTAAGGAACAGTCTTATTTTATTCTTAGTTTCTTGCCATTGAGTTCAATGGTTTAATTTTTTTGGTTACCCAGAACATCCAAGAGCTTATGATATACTTTATTATTAAGCTCAAGGTGTCTGTACATTATTTGTTTCACTTTATCTGTTGAGTAACTGTTTTACCTTAAGCCAATTCAATCTCATTTCCAGCAGCTGTACTTAAGGCGTCTGGTATTTCGCTGCTGGGTTCAGAAGCTTCCTCATCATCGGTTAGATTCAAGTTCTTTTTTAATTCACCACCATTCCGAGGGTTCGGCTCTTTGGGGGATTCTTCTTCCTTGTTAATGCTGTTCACACATTCCTCATGTTGGGGCTTGGCAGACATTTCAGTGGCCTGCTCTGCAGGTGGAATCTCAGGAGGACCATTCTGTTGTTGATTCTGTTGCACCTGCTCAGGAAGTTCAGCAGACTCCACTAGCTTTTCTTTGGGCTGCTCTGCAGACTCTGTAGAGATATCTTTTTTGCCTTCTTCATTCTGAACCTCCGTGTCCACTGCCTGAACACTTTTGTTGCTGTTAGCACAAGCGTCCTTTGCATTGACCTCTTGATTAGCTGTGGTTAGTCCGATTTCAGTTTCTGAGGTCATCTCTTTGACTGCCTCACTCTCAGCAGGGGAGGGAGTACTAGATTCTTTTTCATGCATTTCAGAGACCCCATCTGCATGGCTATTGACAGCCTTCTCAGACTCGATGGCATACTCTAAGGTTTCATCTTCAGGGAATTCGTTATTGGAATGAGACTCTGAAATAATTATTTCTGGTATAGTTTCAGTTTTCAGAGCTGGGGTTGTGTTTTCTTTTGGCTGTTCATTTAAAATGGCACAAACAGTATCTTGGTTTTGTGGTTCAGCCTGGGCAAAAGCAGTATCTTTCCCTGCATGTAAACTGGAATTTAACTCATTGTTCTCAACTTCTTGGGACTCACACATGGTTTTTTTGTGCTCGGCATCTGGTACTTCAGATTTACCTGTTTCTGACTTTTTTTCTGCCCCTGTTTGAGCCTCCGTGGAATCAATACAAGTAAAGTGGGCACTGTTGGTGACCTCAGGAGTTGCATCTTGGGCATTTTCAGTAATGCTTTCATTTTTTGTAGCAGATGATTCTTTATCGTCTGTGCTTTCTGACTGTTGCTGGAAAATTTCTTCTGAAATTTCTTTAACAGAAGGGTTTTCATTGAGAGATGAAAGAGCTTCTACTTCAGTTGGTTTTCCATCTTCAGTTTTGTTTTCATCTTCAGCTGTTGGGACAGGTTCTTGTACTGGATCCAAAATAGGCACAGACGTGTGGCTGAGCACAGAATGTGATTCCTCATTTGCAGCCTCTGATTTACTAGCCATTTCCTCAAGGATAACATCCTCTGATTTCACCACAGTTTCCTGTGACTGGGTGTTAATCTCCTTTTGCATGTTTGGAAGTTCAGATTGAGCTTTGGGATATGAACTGCGATCTGCAGTTTTTGGTGCAGCTGGCAGTATGTTCTTTTCTTCTTCTGCTGAGGCCTTGGTGATAGGCTCAGTTTTGTGGATGTCAGTATTTTCCAAACTGGTTTTGGCATTTGAAGTTTCTTCAGATGCTACAGAGGAGCTTTCTGGTGTCACTCCAGTAAGAGGGGAAGCACTTTCCGTTTTTCCAGTCTCCTCCCCTGAACATTTTCCTACTTCCTGGGAGGCTTCTTTATTTTCTAAGTTAGCATCTAAAACTGGGACAACAGTCTCTTGTAGTTTTGGAGTGATTTTCTCCTCTTCTGTTACAGGCATGTCTTTTGACTTTTCCATAGGAGAAATTTCCATACACTGGGAGTCCAACACTGGATTTGGTGAAAGTGGATCTCTTTCTTCTACAGGGGCCTGCTGTTCTATTTTCATGCCATTTGCATATGGGCTTTCCTGTGCTTCTTGGTTGATGGTTTCATCAGATTCCTTTTCCTTCTCTGAGTTTTCTTCTTTCTTTGCAGATTCAGGCACAGTCTCTTTTGATTCGGAAGCAGTTTCCTCTGTAGGTTGAGCTGCCCTATTTTCAGTCTCCTTAGTGTTGTCTGCCTGGCCCATTTCCTGTGTTTGATCAGTTTTGGCCTCCTCGTTTATAGGCTCTTTTTCCTTTTCTTTTTCTTTTGTCATTGTGACTTGTGCCACTCTGTCTTGTAGTTCTGCAGCAGCAGTTTCCTTTGCAGGTTCAGTACATCCATTTTCTGTCTTGGCTTCACCTTCTTGACCCATTTCCTGTCTTTGAACAGCTTGTTCCTCTTCAACTTTAGGTTCCATCTTTGATTTTTCCTCCAGGGTTTCTTTGGAAACATCTAATGTGCTGGTGTCAGCTGGCTGTTCAGCAGAAGCTGCCTGTCCTTCAGTTTCAGTTTTGCTCTCGGGGACCTCATCTTGTTCCACTTGGCCTTCTGCAGTCTCGTTTTTTTTGTTACTTTTTGGGTCACTGACATCGTACCCCTTCTTCTTCTTACTCAGCTTACCTCCCATGTTTCCTAGAAGCATTAAAGCAGAATTATTTCAGAGAGGGAGTTTGTGATTTTGACTGCAGTCCACTGGCATGTTCAAAAATGAACTCTTTATCTGTTAAACACAATGTGTATCTACACAAGCCAGTTTTTGAAGACAAGCCATTCAGGAACTGAAGTGGTACTTCTTTTTGCTTACCATTGACTATTTTAGAATATCATAATAAAGGGAGCTGTATTTGCCTTCTTCTGGAGGATAACTGTCACACACTGGATAGTGACACAAGTGTATCAATTGACATGTGAACTAGGCATAGTTTTAGATAACGTTCTCCACAGAAGAAGCCCTTAAGGGTGTAGAACCAACCATAGTCGTGGCATGTCCCAATACAATTTTTAATTAGTAGTGTTTAATTACTGGCTAAAGATTATCTTCTTATATTAATTTCAGTACCTACTGTATACTTTCAATTAAAGAAAAAAAATCAGAAGAGCTTGCAGCCCCCTAGGACCAGTGCTGGTGACCCTATTATCAGGTAGTGTACCCTGCTGCTGGGACAGTATTACAGTATGTATAAAAGGAAAAAAAAAAAACATGTTTTTCTGGTACTTTTCCTCATTGTAAACCACGAGAGAAAGTGTGGTCAAGTGGAACGAAAGCCTGCTCATGCAGCAGAAAGAAAAAACTGAAACAAGTGGATGTGAAACAGCACGAGGAGCTAGACATCACGTGTTAAGACTCAGGGGTTAGCTTTTCGGTGCCAGTCTCCTGTAAGAGCAGAGCTTATCTATGCCACCTTGTCATTTTTCTACATGCACTTTGACACACTGTTCTAGCATACCTTAGTGCAGTAGAGAAGCCACTTTTCCTCATACCCATACTGTATATACTTTACATTTTATAGATTTTTTTAAAATATATATTTTATCAGTCTAATTTATAGAATTACACGGTTTGGGAACAATTAACAGAAAATTCAAATATATATATATAACCAAAGATGAATATTAGGCTATTGCATTATCTAGATTTTACGTCGCGTAAATTGTTTTATTAACTAATTACCTAATTGGCTTACCACTGCTTTTTCAATCGTAGAAACAGAAATAGCGAAAATTAAAGTAGGGCAAATTGGGATTATAAACCCGAGGAGAAAAAACGCCTTCACAACCCGTCTTGTTTTATGCCCTCAACACGGAGGAGATAGTGGTGTGCATTTGCTTAATTCCGAACTAAAAATAACTAAGATCGGGTTTATAAACGTGCCCGTATCCCAAGCATACCAAAATCGACATTCAGTAACGTATCACGATAGCATGTTTATATTTGACTTTTACTAAATCAAACACTGTCGTTCAACTCAGTATATTATTTCACCATGTAAAGATGCATCGACTTCTGGCTGCGGCAGGAATTGGGCTGTGCCATGTGTAATGGGAGCTGTCCCTAGTGCTGCATCGGGACAGTCAAGCTGAGCTACCGAGTATTGAGTGAGCTGTGTGGAAATTACTCCAGATCCTGATATAGCTTAATTACTGCTACAAGTTCCCTATTGTATCCCCAAGAGTTATTATATGCGTAGCTACTCTATTCAAGTGGGACGGCGCTAAAGAGTGCCAATTAATTTAATTGGCTGGTTTGTTTCCCTGGATTGGACATATTGAGTTCAATCGGTTTAGTTAGAATTCTTACAAATTGCAGCCTTAAAACGACATTTTTCACTCCTAAAGCATTAATGGGCTTTATGAACCCAACAGCTAGAGGAGAATGAAATGTCAGCTGCACAAAAGCGCCGGAGCTGAATGCAGCATCAGCTTCCACATTACCAATTCCGCGTCTGCAAACTGGGAGACAGATACTGTACGTGACGAAATAAACAGTTTTTAAATGCATTCACTTTAGTAACGCACACCGCGCTGTCCTGCAAGGTCTGTCCTCCGTTATGTGCTTGTTCTTAAGTGGACGACAAAACAAAGTCTAATACCGCATTAAAGAAATACTTAACAACCCTTAAGAGCGTGCACATTCGTAAGCCAGTACAATGTCTTTAACTTTTTGGTCAGGTTTAAGATGTTGTTCTGCCCAACCATTTTAATTCAAGTTAATTCCTCCAGGTTAAAGACTAATCAGACTTCGCAAACCAGCCCAGTTACCGGCGAGTTGTAATGGTAAATTATGAACTTGGTGTTAAAACACTATTCTACATAAAAGGGGCAAACGACACGCCCTAAATCCCCAAGCCGCCCCCCTCCGGAATGAGAAACAAAAACCAAAATCGGCAGTTGTACCAACTGAAACGATAAGCTACTTCAATGTCCCCTCCCCCTCCCGGTTCGCGTTCAACACCCCAGAAGCAAACGACCAGCGGAAGCCCTAAGTAATGCTGGTATGCGCATATAAAAGGTGTGAAGTTTGAAAGCCATCTTAACACTTAAATCCACAGTTATACATAACCCACCAAGGCAGTAGAAACATATCCACTCTTAAAGACAACGGATAATCCAAATTCGGTTTGAACAAGTGGCTTGTTCCATTGATTGGATGGTGTGCATTTGATTAGCTAATCCTCTGACCTAAACGATTAGCGAAATGCATACTGATGTATAAGAGAACCAGGAACGGTCGAGGTTAACATTTTTCCTCATGACTCAGAATAACGCTTTGTAAAACTGGTCAAACCGGTCAAATTCATCAGCTGTGAAAACAACATCTAGCCGTATAGATATAAATTACGTCTCTAAAATTGCCTTCATTGATACCGGATGCCCTCTTCTAATAAATCATGCAGCAGCTGAAATCGGCGTTTCTGTGTTACACAAACATTCGCATGTATTACAACGTTTCACAGAGTTATAAATGTACTGAACGTCTTAAGAAACCCCTTTTCGGTGCTCAGAAGCAGAATACGGCAAGGTATAGCCGGTGGTCACAAAATGCTGAACTGGTAAATCTGCTCATCTGTAAGAAGCGAACACGCATGGCTGGAGAACAAAGGGGCGCTAGTCGGACTCCCCCAGTTCAGTGCCATTATCTGCTACCCCCCAGCCCGCTGCCCCTTTCCTAACTCGCCAAAATGGTATAAAACACAGCCTGTTTTCAATGCCGTTTTTCGCTGAAGAAGAGCTCTGAAACCCCACCTGGTTTGTTGGTTAGGACGAAACGCCGAGGAGAGACCCGAGGCTTTGACGCGCTCCCCAGCAAAGCCGAGCACCGACTGCGAGCGGAGCGGAGTCGAGACTGACAGCTGCACCCGGTCACGCTCCCTCCCTGAGGTACAATCCAGGACTGCGCGGCTTCTCGCAAACTTCCCCTCCTCTTTACTTACTATTTGCTAGACATCTGTCGCTAACAAAATCTCTCCTGCCTTCCCCCCGTTGCACCCCTCCCATTCACTACACTCCCCCCCCTCTCGGTGCATATTTCTCTAGATTAAATGGGGTTTTACTCGTTTTGAGAATAATACCCTCATTTTTTTCCTAAGCAATTGCTATAGCAACAGTCTTTTGTACATCAAAGTTACCGATTTAGTTTTTTTCCACTCCCCCCGTAAGCGTTTGCATAATTTGTCAACGTACTGCGCGACCACCCCCCTTGGCCGAGGAAAAAAAAAAGAGGAGAAACAATTGAACTCTGGAGGACCATGAATAGGTTCGCTGCTATCAAGACTAAAATGAATTTCCTAGGACTTTGTGAGCTATTACAATGTTAAAGAACTTTCATTCTTGTGGAGTTAAAAACGTACATGTGCTGCTTTGCGTAAAATGAATAATTGTATTTCCATCAAGTCATTTCATTCAGATCCCTTGACGAATTATTTCGAATCCCCCCCTCTAAAACTGCTATTAACCGCGCTTTAATAAATTAGAACTTTATTTTTATGAGCCCTTTTACATGTACCTTTACTCTGTCAATATGGGACTCTGGTTAAGTAAGCAAATCCCTATGTCATTAACCTTCAAAGTTTCTGATTTACACACTGTTCAAAACCACTTTCTTCCAATCTTTTGACGTGTTCCAAAAAAAGGCTGGTCTGAAGGCTAAGATAACAGTTCAGATTGTTTTTTTTTGCCGGGCATTCTGGGGGCTTGTTCATCAAAGCAATGCGCAACTATAAAAACATGAAACCTGAGCATATCTGAGGATTGTTCCTACAAGAAAAGGCCAAATGTAAAATAAAGATTTAAGTAATAGGAGTGAATCCATGAGCTGCATTTCAAAAGCCTATAAATTAACAGCAATTTATAGGAAGCTCCAGTTAAGCTTCATTTTAAGTTTGAGTGGAGTGTCCAGAAAAGCACTATAGACGTGTAAGCAATTATTATTATCACATAATTATTGCACTGTCTGGGACATATTTCAAGGAGAGCTGTTTTCCAGAACAGCTCCAATTATAAATAATTGTTTTTGTCTTCAGGCAAAACTGATTTTTGAAAGTGATGTAGTTCTGTTGCGCAGCATTGCTTTTTTATAATGGTGATGCATTCTTACAGAGGGCTGGGCACATCCCCACACCGCAATATTGAACCACCTTTCACTCTCACTTATTTTCCTGGTGGTAATTGACAGCGTTGCTGTCAATAAAGGAATGAAAGGTGGCTCATTTTTGTTATGGCTTTGCGTCTCCAGTATGTCATTTGTTAAAGACGACTTGGCCTGGACCCTGCTTATGAGGGTCTACCCATCTTAAACGTTTCTAAAACCTGGAACGCAATATAAATGGCTGCAGTTTAAAGTCTGGAAATGTTTTATGCTGGTGCTGGATATTTCCAACAATGTTTTTAACTGGTCGACAGGAGGCTTGTCACCTTCAAGCCTGATCTTGTCACGTCTCCAAAGTTACGGAAAGCTTTGCCTGGTGAGGATTAGGGTGGGAGACCATCCATCTATATCCTTTATCCAAGAGCCAAAGGGAAGCCGGAGCCTATCCCAGCAAGCAGCAGGTGCTAGGCAGGATACACCCTGGACTGGACGGTTAAGCATACGCGCACGCACACTCACACCAGGGCCAGATTTTCCCAGAAGCCAACTGACCTACCAGCATGCCAGGCCAGAGCAGTGGCTCTGTGGTTAAGGATCTGCGCCTGTGGCTGGAAGGTTGCCGGTTCGTATCCTGCGGCTGGCAGAGGAATCCTACTCCGTTCGGCGCCTGAACCCTTAACCCCAACTGCTCCAGGGGCTCCGTATATATGGCTGACCCTGCGCTCTGACCCCAAGCTTCTCTCTCCCCATCTGTGTGCCTGTGTGTCTCATGGAGAGCAAGCGGGGGTATGTGCAAAGACAAATTCCTAATGCAAGAAATTGTATACGACTAATAAAGTGATCTTAAAGTGGGAGGAAACTGGAGCACTCGGAAGTAACCCATGCAAACTCGGGAAGAACATACAAGCTTCACGCAGATAGCAGCCAAGGAATTGAACCCAAGGCCCCACAGAGGCGAGGCACCAAAACTCACCACTGCACCACTGTGCCAAGGACAGTAGACCTCACAGGAGAACTTTGTTTTAAACAACATAAATATTATCACAATGATAACAGATTGTAACAACTCAAACATCTCTAATTTTCCTCGTCTTCTTCACTATGGTGAAACAGAAAAACCAAATCCGCCCAAAAAAGATGAACAAAGCCCAAAAGGAAATTCATAGTTTCAACAGTTGCATATTGCACCAAAGCTGCATTAAAACTGCCCCATCTTTATATTTCTCATTAGAGAACTGACTAGACCTATTAAATGTAGAAAACAATACTCTTGTCATTAACAAATACAATTAACTAAACATAGTAACATTCTCAAGATGCCAGTAAAATATTTATAATATAACATTCAATAAAATTTTTAATATGCCAAAGTGAATAAAATGTTATAACTCAGAGAATTCTACCCTGTGTCTCGGTATACTGACCTACTGTAGGAAGTGTTGGAGAAAATACTTTCTTTTTAAATTAAACCTACTATAAATGCACAAAATTATTGTTGGCAATTATTTATGTTTCAGGGCAACAAACCACTATAGATCCTAGATCCTCCAAAAAATGCGTAATTATTTTTGTCAGAATACTTGAAAACCAAATACTTCATCCTACATGTTTGGTTATTATACAGCTCCAAACTCCAGACTTTTATGAAATGAGAAAGTCCTTCCCATGCGAGTTTTCAGTCAATGAGTGTATATATAAAAAAAAAAACTAGGCACTACGCATTCAATAATGAGTTCATTAGCTTTCCAGGGAGGGGAAATGTATGCTTAAAAAATAATATAATTCCCACCATTACCTAGAACAAGACAGGCACATCACCTGAAAAGTGATTTACAGGGGAATATAACAATGTATCACTATTTGGTTTTTGAACAGATTTATTCATTTATAGCTTCTTGTTTAGTATGTTGATCAGTAGTTATGCACTTTACAGTTTTATTCATTTATAGCTTGGTAAGTACTAGGGTTAATTAGTGCAACCAGAAGCTACACTAAGCTAAGTACATCTTTATTCACTTACCTTTGGGCAAAATTAAAATCTATGCTGTAGTGTGTCAGGGGAAAGTGACTGAAAATGAAATAATAATATTAATTGTATTCATGGGATTCCAAAGGCCCCTAAAGGACATTGTGTAGGAGGGGACACCCTAATTCCTCAGTTAACCGTTATGCTCCAGCAGTTCCACTACACAGTAGATCAGGCAAAGTAATTAAATTAACCAATTAAATTAAGAGGCAGACTGGAGGAAACTGGAGTCAACATCCCTTCTCCTCCAAACATGGAAACTTTAAAGACCAAGTAGTCAGGACCACTATTTCCTACAGCAGATCCCCTGGTCACGGCACTGGGGCATTAGTTGGAAATTCAGGTTAAGTGGAGAGAGACCACCTAATGGACCAATAATAGTTAAAGTGGCTTTTCTTGTAAGTCTCTATTCCCAGTACTGACCAGACCCAGCTTTGCTTAGCCTCTCACAAGGCTATCTGACAAGATAAAGACACCAGGATATTGGCGAAATGATAGTCTCTTTTGTCTGAGTTTTATGTAGGTTTCTATTTTAAGATTTCTTGAAAGTAGCAGATTTTTGGAAGAAAACCTGCAATATGATGATAATTTAATATCAACATACTGGCTAGCTAACATTAACAAAAGATCTCCTCCACTCATTCGTTCCATTGTGATTCTTATTTTGGACACACTGCTTTCTGGTGGCTTGTCTGCGTAGTTACACTGAAATGTGAGCTAACATGAGCAACTAAAACATTTTATTGTACCTTATAAAAGATGTAGTATTTTTGCGGAAACAGTTGTGAGGTCCTGCATTAAAGTAGAAAAGAAGGAAAGAGTATGTTGGACCCTTTTAAGGATGAAATTTCTCTTGCATTTTCATTTGGATACCCTAATCCCGGCACATGGCTGCCTCGTTTTTCTTCTTCAGGCAGGATTCTGTCGTGAGGAAGTGTGTGGGATGGTCAAGTTTCAGGAACATGTGCATGACTCCGAGTTCTTGGCATACTAACACTCCCCAGAGAGAATCGGCCATCCACCTTTAGTCGGTAGCCGTGGCAACACTAGGCCATAAGGAAGGCCCTATGGGAATTGTAATAATGGGGTACCACAGCTGTCTGCCACTTTCAGCACAGACAACAGCCTGTGAGGCAGGTGTGTTCAAGTGTCTTTCAGTAATCACAGCATTAATTCTAAGGGTGAGATAATGCACTCTATTCTCTGAGTTGTTTTCTTTTCAGTGTTGGGTTTTTATCAGTTTTTCTTTGTTGGATATAGATGCCAAAGTGGACCAAGCACATACCAGAAACAGTGTTAATGAGAGCGGGGTACATGTGTGGCGTTCATTATGCTTCACAGCTGACTGTACATCAGTGAAGAGAAGACAATATTCCCGATTTATTGTTCAAAAAGAATCCCAACTACTTTATTTTTTCTATTCCATATCATAATTTCATACCATAGTATCATAATAGTGTTACATTTCTGTTTTTTACGATTAAAAGGATTTAACATTATGGACTTTTTTCAGAATCAATACTTGCATCTCTCACAAAATTAGAACTAGTTATCTCTTCATGTTAAGTTACCTACAGTAAACCAATTTATTTGGATGTTTAAAGACTATTAAAATCTTACTATGATAAAAGTATCTGAGTATTAATATTTTGTGTCTAATGTTTTTTTCTCCATATAAAGCACTTTCTCCTCATCTACTATCATTACATATATAGTAAAATGCTTATTTTGTGTTACCATGCCCAGTATACCTATGAAGAATTGACAAAAAGATACTTTAACTGAAAAGAAAAAACACTAACATGTAAAACTAGAAATCTCATTCTTATAATAGGTTGGATGCGTGATTGACTTGCATAAAATGTGTTTTTGAAATAATAATATAGTTAACACGAACATTTTGCACATAGAGTACTGTGTATATTTACTGGAGAGTCATTCCGCACAACACGTAATTATTCGTGCCACAAGATGGCGGTATTGTGTCCCACTGTACACTCTTAAGGAAAGCAGGAATCAAAGGCAAGCAATTTTATTAGATGTTCAATTAGTGGGCACGTTATAGTCTGCCATTATCTTTAATCTTTAGTTACTGGAATCAATGCGATAAAAGGGACAGGAATACTTTCATTACCAAGAAACTAGACGGACCTGGTTGGGAGAGCACCTTTACTCTGAAGTTAATAACTTTTTACTTTAATGCAAGTCCGCCTTACGAATAGTAATTACATAAACTTTATAGTTAGCCCCCCCGCTCGTCTTAATTGCAACAAAGCAATATTTTCTTTGTGGTACTATTAGAGCAGTATATTCATTTATATTTCGATATAAATGTCGATACAGCTATAATAGTTAACTACATTCGATTTGCACACACGTTAATGTGCCATTTCATAGACACTTGACACTTAAACTTCTATGACACTTAAACCCTAGATCAATATTTTAAGAACACAAACAGCACAGAAAACCTTAAGTCCGTGTTTTTCTGTTTAAAAGCCATGCTTAGTAAGGTCGATCTTTTTCGCGTTAACCCGCCTGTTATCAGGATTTGTTGTTGCTTTCTCAGTCACGTTAAGCAGTAACACTCCATAGCTATAAGACCGTTTAAAAAACGGTATTCCACATGAATGCCAATCAAATTTCGTTCATCATTTAATCTGTTAGATCTGCTAAATACTGCACTTGCAAAAATAGGATTTCAACGTTTTAGAAGGTGGAATAAAAGGCTTAAGATCACCTGAATTCCAGTTTATAGAGAAATTATATGTCTATGAGCGATATCACTTACAAAGACCAACTCCCAACCAACGTGTCTGAGCATAGATACTTTGCAGATGCACAGTCAGAAATGCAATCGGAATAGTTGTTGAATATGATCAAGACTGTGATTTCCGATGCAACCTGGAGCAAAACGTTGTTTACATTTCCAGTTTCGCCTCTTAAAAAAAAGAAAATCCAGACAGGCACAGTGCGACACACCCATCTGATTCTGCGATCACTGCTTTGCAGAACATTATTTATGGACGGTACTGTACTTAGATAAATGCTCTATTTACGCAGCAGATGGCCTCAGTGCTCCCCTCAGACAAGGGTGGCTCCTCGGGAGGATGACATCATTCTCAGAGAGCAGACGCGTCTTGAACCCTTAGGGCTGTCTACTCTATTGCCTGATAACTAAAAAAATGAAATGGTATTTTAAAAAAATATATATTCTAAATGTATTTTAAAACTAGCGATTTCCTCTTACTTCTGGCTAATGTAATCTTGAGTTTAGGGAGGAGTCCGTTTGAAGTGCTAAAGCGAATTTCGCCGGGGTCCTGAGGTGCCCAGGTGATGCCTCTCTTTGTGGTTGCAGAAACAAGATGGCTCCCGTGCTGGAGAAGAAGCTCCTGGGCGCCGCCGGTGCTGCCGACACCCTGGAAATTAATAACGAGGATGAAGAAGGACAGAACCTATGGCAAGTCAAGTCTCACCTTTCAGTAGCTGCTTATTTCTTTCGCTGAGAACGGCGTCTGTTTAGTAACCTCTTTCTGCTTTGTCACTCCCGGGTGCATTCAATTTCAAAAGTACCGGCCGGGGGTGTTTCCAAATTGTCAAGCAAGCAGACGAAGGTTTGTTTCCCTGCTGAATACGTCAAGATGAATGCTTAGTATTTCGGGTGTTTGACAGATCCCCCGCTGAAAGAGACAAGGGAAATATTCTTGGAGTGTCTGTGGTGTCAAATGTCTTGGTTATGTTTTCTCCTTTTCTGTAGGTGTTGGTCTCTGCCAACGAAGCAGGGGCGTTTTAGCATCACATTTCACAATAAAAATAAACAATACACCTAGATGATAAGAGTTTAAGTACAGAAATCGGAAGGGAGTGGAGGGACGAGAATGCAGGCCGTTTTATAGATAATCGTTTTCCTTTCTGTCTGTGATTTTCATCAGCTTCTCGGTTTATTTGTTATTGTTTTGTCAATAATTAGGCTGCCAAACCCATTGAACTCGGCTGTCTAGTTTCTTTTGCTGCAGACGGGTAAAACGTCAGTAAGACCTGTTCTGTGCTACACAGTTACTAGATTCACTTGAAATCACAGTTAGTAACATGAGCTCTGGTCCTTTCACAAAGAGTGAGGGGCAGGCCCTTTCCTGGATGGTTTTGTAAGGAATCGTGTAAAAACGATCATTGTTAATTCCGCTGTGATGTCTCTTCAGGTCCTCTATTTTAAGCGAAGTTTCCACCCGGTCCCGGTCCAAGTTACCGTCAGGAAAAAATATTTTGGTTTTCGGTAAGTGGAAAGTCAGTCTATGATGGTGCATCATGTTTCTGATGTTTAATCTAAGAAACACGTGAATTGAGGCCAGCTGTCAGCTGCTCAAGATTTGACTGAACACGAGCCTTGGTTTTTTTCTAAAGGTGTTTTAGGTTTGAAATGCGACAAATGGTAGGTGAAATACGGTTTTAACTTGTGAGGAGACCACAACTGATGACTGTGATGTTTCTCTAAAGGGTTTTATACCTATGACTGCATTTGGACTGTTCATATGTAGTAGGCCTTGCCCACTTCAGCAAATATTATTTTTGCTATAGTCATTATATTTGTACAAAACTGTTGTGAGTTATATTTTTGTATTTTTTAGTCTTTGTAATTAAAATACCATAAGTATCTGTATAGACAATTATGGCTTTTGAATTGATAGGTTTTTGTGTGTAAGTTGTATACTGTTTATGCTTAACCTGCTTCCGTACAGTAGGTAAATACTCCTGAAAAATACATCCCATGAAGCACCACTGGAAGTGGAAGAAGAATGCAAATGTAGGCCATCATTGAAATAATGTGGTGATTGTGGAGTGGGAATACAATAAAATTAGTTTTAGGTGATTTTCTAGAACCTCAAAGATAATTCCTTATCGTCTCATTAAGGCATGGCTATCAGGAAGCAGTACTAGTTCATGCGTGTGCATGTCAATATCCAGTGCTACCTTGGGTGCAGTGGTTCCTCATTGGTTTCAATCAGTCTTGTGAAAATTGTGAATGTTTCTGTTATTAAAATGGTAAATCTCTAATCAGAAATGCCGTATGTCTTTATATTATATTGGAAATGGTGTATATACATTTCAAGTATAGAAACAAAAGGATTATATTAAGTGTATGCAGCACCCTGTCCGTTTATGCTGGTCTTTGGCATGTTTTTGAAATACAGTATTACTGCTCACATGGAACTGAATGATGACAGAATAGACTCATAACTAATAACTATCATTTGGCTCTTATTTTGCAGGAGAAGATGGCTCAGGAAAGACAACGATTATGGCAAAACTCCAGGGAGCCGAGCACAATAAAAAAGGGAGAGGACTTGAGTATTTGTACTTGAATGTCCATGATGAAGACAGAGATGGTGAATTAACCCTTTTCACATTTTCTTTAGTACTTTATGAATGTGGCCCTCTTTGAATATATATCTGAAGATTTAAGCATTTTTGATCCTTTGAAAAGGGGCAATGTATTTGTTATAAGAATAATAACACAAGAGGTCTTATTCTTCATTTTCCCACTTTAAAGCAAACATATTTTGTTATAAACGCCCAATTGGGTATAGGCAGCTGTGTGTTTTTTCATGTTTCAGTTCTGTAAATCCTATAACCACACACATGGGAGGGTGTCTAGGTACACCTGCTCTCCTCTGACCTGCCCCACCTTCAAGCTTCTTATCTTTGATCATGTCACAGACAGCACTGCTGTGTGTCGACTGGAGAGGCACTGTCACCACATGCCTGCAAGCACCTAGGTGACCACAGGGGTCGCTGTGTCACTGAGAGCCCATAGAACCCTGGGCTGCTATCCCAACCTTAGCCTTGTTGGCTCTCAGCCAATTATGCGCCACCAGTTGGGGAATAGTCAGAGTCGGCTAGTGACCAGCTGTAACCCAACGCAGAGCTTGGCCCGCGCTTGAGGGAGCACTGTCACCGGTTGAGCTATTTAGGATGCCGAATTTCTCTTAAAAAGCTGAATACCACACAGTGTTTCAAAGCATAAACTAAAATGTTTTGCTATATGGTACAAGCCTTGCACTCTGTACCTTAGTTCATAAATCTTACAGATACAAAATTATCTTGATTTGTAAGTATGTTCATAAAATCATCTAGACAGTTTTTTTATTAAAGCCTTTAAATATTATTGGAAAGGAGATAAAAGCTTAATTTGTGAAACTGATGTAATTTGTATAATTACCATAGAGATAGAGATATATCCTCCACACAAAATGACTAAAGTATTCCTCAATTTTAATAAAATCACATGTACTTTCAGTGGTAATTCACAAGGCTTTGGTTAAGATCTTCCTAGTTCTGAATGTAAAGAGCTAGGGCTATTTAAAAGTGTCCATTAATGCCTTGTTTCTGAGCAAAAACTATTTTTCAGGTAGCTTATTTGACATACCTAAAAAGATTAAATGTACTATGCCTTTAGTTGCGAAATATTAATACATATTACTTTCTTTTATTGATTAATGTTGTGGTGCTTCAGGGTTTGTAATCACCTGTAAATGTCTTTGTATATTGCAACAGCTGTGTACTGCTGCAATTTTCAGTTTTCTCTACAACAGTACAGTAATTGATATCATAGTGCTATAATACAAAGTCCATTTTGCTTTACAGCTGCTGACAAGTTCTGCAGAAACTAAAAATCTGTTGTTAGTTTAAAATTAAACTATTTAACATTATTGACTATAAGTTTAATAGTGAATATAGTTTAATGTAGATCAGCAATATGTTCTGTATTGATCATGGAGAGCCACAGCATCTTTTTACTTTCATTGGATATAAGCTTTTCATGATTCAATTTAATCAATAATTGAGTCTAAATTACATTTAATTTAATGTATCTGTTGCATCTGTTTTTGTTAAAACAGAAATAATGAAGTTCCTAGTAAATAAGTTGGTGTTCTCAAAGGGCACATGATAACTTGCATAATGTTCTGTCCTGCACATACAGACATTCTCCGAGGCAAGCACAAAATGTTGTGACTGTAGAGCAGTGATTATTTAGTCACTTGATTTAGTTGACTTTCTTTTTGAAACACATTTATTACATAATTGTTTTGGAGTTGTAGTTCTTTTCATGTAGTAAAGCTTTTATCTTATTATCCCTCCCCTTGACACAGACCAGACCAGATGCAATGTGTGGATTTTGGATGGAGACCTGTACCACAAGGGGCTTCTGAAGTTTGCAGTGTCAGCAGAGTCATTAAAGGATACCTTGGCAGTGTTTGTGGCGGACATGTCTAGGCCGTGGACCATCATGGAGTCAATACAGAAGTGGGCCAGCGTCCTGCGTGAACACATTGACAAACTGAAGATCCCTCCAGAACAGATGAGGGAGCTTGAACAGAAAAGTGAGTGCATTGCAGTTTTAAAGCGCAGGCAAATGGATACTATTCTCTTACCAGCACCCTGTACCAGAAAGGTTCCAATGCAAAACAAGGAAATGCTATCCTGTTGTCAGATGTCTCTTCCCTATTATGGTACGTGTACGGAGGAGCCAAAAAACTGTTCACCGCAATAGTTTTCGTAGTGAACAAAAGACCTTGCAGTAGAGGCCTGTGAGCAAGCTTTTATAGAGATTTCAATTCCTGTTGTATCAAATTGGTACTCCTAAGTTTCAGTTTTGAACAGTAATAGTTTTTAAATGTCGCATTGTTGGCCATCATCTACATGTTACTGAAGCACAAGATTCAAGGCAATTTAAGATTCTTAATTTAATTTCTACAGGTGATTCACATTTTCTAGTTTGTTGCAATTTAGATCTCTCTGCTCCTCGGCTTAATTTTGTTCTTGATTTGCATATCTTTGAAATTTCATCCCAAGAGCCAAGGTTTGTAATAATTTAGCCAGTGTTTGAGGGACTTTTAATAAGGGGCAAATAACAGTTTTGGTTGATAAGGCCTTAAATTGTAATATGACACCAGAAGAAAGTTATACTTCTATCTATAGTTTGAATAGTCTGAATTAATTCAAAGGAATTTAGCTTAATATTTAAAGAAACTGTTGTGCAATGTGCATTAAGTTCCATTTTACTATTGAAATAAATCCAGTAGTTTAATTTGGTGGTAATTTTGTTTTGGTTTTTATTAGTGGCAGTCACAGACCAACTGAAGCAATTTACTTGGTTTGAGCTTAATTGTTGTGCTATCCAATGAAAACTTGTTGCTTCTAAATTTCAAAATATCTCTAAATGTTTTGATTATATTATTTTTTTCTATTATGTGAAGATATATCAGGCATAGAAGTTACTTTCTGAGGAATTTCTCTGTCAGGTCAGATATTTAATACACAGTAGCAGAAAATGTAGTATATTCTCTGTTTAACTGAGTATTGTTTGCTGACGCTAGAGAGAAGCATCTGTGAGATTTGAAACAAACGAGGAACTGGAAGTCCTGTAAATGACATGTTTTAGCACAGTAAATCTTTGTAGACTATTATTTCTCTGATTCAGGAGATGCAAACTCTTTGCTGTGATGAGCTCGATTTGATTTAGATGTAATTGAAGCGGGTCATACCTACCATAAAAGTATCAAAATACTGGTCACGGCCATGAAATATAGTAGCATTTATTTGCAGTAGTGTTCTTATTTTAGTATCTTAAAGTGGTTTTCTAGACTTTGGGAATGAGTTTGAAACATTTACATATGCAGTAATGGAAATGCAATTTTTTTATACAAAACTTCGCATTTCAAACAGAGCTGCAGGACTGAGATGCACGTTATATGGGCTCTGGAATTAGTGGTCAGCATCAGTTATAAAGTCTGCTTGAGAAACTAAGAGAAACATGCCTGTGGTAAGTGAAAAGCAGCTCACTTTCTTTTATGATTAGTAGGATTGTTTTTAACTGGAAAATGGAATTAGAGAAAGTGTCACTACAGTGTCAAGTTTTCCCCCTCCACTTAAGTCCAAAGATGTGCTTTAACCAACAGGGCACCATGGTTGTATAGAGTTCAAGACGGAGAACCCCAGAGAGCACAATGTGCAAAATTATTGTAACATCATCAAGGGCATCTGCTTCCATGTGTGGGCTATGTCCAGCCTTGGACAAGACACCAACTGAATCCAAAAGGCAAAGTTAAATTGATTAAGATTTTTCATTGGATCCAATTATTGCAATCTGGGTCCACAAAGGGACAATCCTTAACATTTTATATAAGCAAAGATCAAATAAGCTGTCATTTTCGTTTCTTTGTTAACAAAGAAAATGAAGTAGATGCATATTTTATGTAACTCTTGCAATAGATCCTGAATCTGATTTTTATTTATTTTGGATTGTCCAACTCTGCAATCTGCATTTTATTTGTTGAAAATATTTTTAGACTAAATGAAAGCCACACATCTTATTTTCTGTGGTGACTAACTTCAGAAGGTAGCTCGAATCCTCTGAATACGTTATGTCTTCATCAAAGATATTGCACACGTACATGTTCTAAAGCTGGCATAAAGCTTGCATAAGGTCATCCTTTTATTATCGTTCATCATGACGATTCTAAATGACAGAACACAGTACACAGAACGTGACATTGGGTGTTTGCTTAGTCTGTCCTTCATTTTTATGTGAACATAATTAGATCATCGCATTTGGGTTTCTGAAGGTTTTGCAACAATGTACTGTATATTGTGATACCACATTTAGTGAAAATACCCTTGAAATCAGTTAAGCAATATGGTGATAAATTAAATACTAAGTATGTTTTTGATTGTGCAATGGATATGCTTCAAACTAAGGACATGCCATTCTTTATTCAGTGCAAAAACATTTGGTACCACCTATATTTGTTTTACAATTAACTACATATAGATAAAAGTGTTAGAGAAATTTAAGAGTATACCTTTTCCTATGAGCTAATCGTAAGCTGAAATTGCTGTAAAGTAATTTAAGGAAAAGGGGAGGATCATATGTTGCTGTAATTATTTTTTCTTTGATTTGATTTGCTGTACTTTGAGTCTTCATGACTGCTTTGCATACAGTGAAATCGCCGGATAACATCTGCCTCTGTTGGATAAAGTTAGCATTTCTCCCTGTAAGAAATGAGTATGATCCCATCATCTGATGCCTTTTAAATAAGAGGAAGAGAGCTGTGTTACCTTGTGTCTGCAGTTTAAAAAGAGACCTGTAACTGTAGGAACCTTCCCAATCACAGCAGATTTCTTGAAGCATTAGAGGAAACAAATCTATCCAGAGTTCTTCTGAACTCTACAATACAATTAATCTCTTGTATAACTACAACCTTTCCGTTGTTCTGAAAAACCACTCCCCAGGAATGTTAGCTGACATTTGTTTCAATGTGAGTAGAATGTTTGTAGCACTTCAGGTTGTTTGAATTCAAATTAAAAATAAATCCATCTATAAGAGCTCACCAGGCTTGCACTCTATTCACAGTGTACTTGCTGAAGCTGATATCATTCTCCAAATATAGTCCAAGCTAGAAGCACATTACAAAAATGTATGAATAGCAGAGTGGGACTGACTTGGCTTGAATTTTTTTAACCTGGTTATTTCATTCAGTCTTTTCTTGTCCTCCATGAGTCTTTTTGGAGATAATTTTTTAAAGATGTATTCCTTTAAAACCTCAGCTTTTGACATGCATATTATGTTCAGATATCAGGTTGAGACTTGGACTGGATTTTGTAGCAGGGATCATCAGAACTGCACACTGAATTTTTTAGTTTCCCCGGAGCACTGCAGCAGAGCTCCACAGAAGCTGTTGTCAGATCTGCTTACATCAAATCAAAGCACTTTCCAAACGAGAGCTGCCAGTTTTATTTGCGTGCAGCGTGATTGGATTGGACAATGTGTATTTAGGTGCTGTGGACACCAAACAGTTCTTAAAATATTTTTTTCTCCCAAGAAAGTATACATGCATTTTGTGCAGTTAGTATTGTATTGATCATCTCTGCACACATTTATTTGCATTTAAGCTTTCACAGGGTGTGGTAAACTTGAAACAAGCGTGTTCAGTTGTATAACCTGATTGAAGTTAAATCCTCAGAATTGGCTGACTCTATTATCTGCGTAAAGAGTAGTCAGACTCCCACTTAAATCATAAAACCATGCTAACTTTTCACTGTTAATATCTGAATTATCCATGTTTAAAATTCTATAAGATTGAAGATGAATGTAGTTTGCAAATACTTGTTCTTTTTCATTGGTGCTTTCAAAGTAATTTTGAAACTGATGTTTTGAAAGTTTTAAACTTAAACTAAAGAAAGCACATTTCCTTTAAATTTTTAAAAACATCTAGGTTTAAGGCTGGAATGGTGGTGTACTATGAGACTTTCTAAGCCTTAACATATCATGAATCTGTAAAGTACTTAATATTGTTGATGGTTACATTTAATCCAATGATTTTTCCTTGCCTGTACATGCCTGTGATCATACACTACACCCTCTTATTATTCAAACCACATTCTTTGATCTGAAAAGCCTGAGCAGTGTACCTTAATTATTTGGTTATGCACAAGCAGTCCTTTGATCTAACACCCTTTTCAGGCCACGCCGTTTTCTCCCTGTTAGAAACTCTTGACTTGCAGTACATTGAGGAGACTTTTTCACTTTTTTCAAATAATGTCTCCTCCCAGTTAGGTGCTGTTTATAGGCTTCTCTTGGCAGACATTTACAGCCATGAATTTACGGAGTTCTTCATGCACAGTATTTTCTGTGATTTAATTTTTGTTGTGCGTCTTCCCTTTACGTTTGTCTTCAGTTGCTTCCGTTTCCCAGCTAAAAATGTGATAATTCTGAAATAAAGTGAGCTGCTTTTTATTTAATATTGTCCTCCTGCTGATCCCTAATTATATGTGGGTTTGACAGAAGCTAATTTAAAAGTATTATGTGATTTATTGTTTTACACTTTACTGCATTAGTTGTGAACAATATTACAGCAGTCTCATTGTTTGGGGGGCAACACCACTTCCTACAGTTCTGATGGGTACGGGAGCTTTTTTTCCCAAATTAATTTGCACTGCCTGAGTGCCTGAGGGCGTGATTTATTCAACAGCCGCATTTTATCTGATAGCTTATATTATTATTGTTGTTTTATGTACCTGTTGTATTCTAGCTGAAGGCTCTGGTGAAATTTAAGCCACTTTGCAGGACCTGCATTTTTTCGTGAATGCAATGCTTATGAGGGGGAGAAGATTTCAGATTTTGCATTATTTTTTTAAAAGGAAATAACAAATTTAGAGTCTGATTCACTATTTGAAGTTGTTGCTGGAACGGAGATGTTTTTTTTTTCCTGTAGAAGTTGATAGGGTGTACTGAAAAGTGGAATAGCGGCATCTTCCTCTTATTTGTTGTTGTAGCTCCCTTTTCATTTCTGTTGAGGCGTCTGTGGTGTTAAAAAGAATTTTGTAGCTTTTTTTCCTGTGGCTATTTTCAGTGCTGCTCTCCGCAGCAGGCAATACTGGAGACAGTCCGAGGTACGGAATGCATTCTGTGACACTTGGCTTTCCTTTCGCTTTCTCCCAGTGGTGAAGGACTTCCAGGAGTACACAGAGCCAGAGGAGGCAACCCAGGGCTCTCCACAAAGGCGTGGGCCTACAGCGTCTGGGACCGATGACGAGGGGGTCCTTCTGCCTCTTGGAGATAATGTCCTCACACACAATCTGGGCATTCCAGTGCTGGTAGTTTGCACAAAGGTAAATAACCGGAATATTTGTGTGCATCTGTGTGGAAGGCTTTGAACCAAAAGTATGCAAATATCTTGCTCAGATGCGCTAGAGGAAATAAACAGGCCAGGTTCTACAACATTATCGAGTGAAAGTTTTAAGTGTAGATTTCATTATAGACTGTTGATGACTATCAATTTGAATGTTATTAAAATGAATAGAAAATGCCCTTTATACAAATTTGAAAACTTGGGTCTTCCATATCAGCTTTTTCAAATCAGGCCTAAACCTAGTTCTTATTTTGAAAAACATTATATTAATTCATATATAAGCATAGTTAGCCTGTTTAAAAAATGAAAGAAGTAAAAGCAATTTCAGTAGAATTTTCTGTGAACTGTGGTTTTGTGGTTTAGCATGTGATATGGAAGACATCTCGGATCTTGCAGCTGATTGGTGCACATTTCAGCCTTTCAAGCTCTTTTTACCAGATCGTCTTGGGTTGTGTCAGTCTGATTTCTGCCTGCAAGGCAGCTCTGAAGGCAGTGAATGCTGCTTATTATTAAGTGTCCTTGTTCTTATCAAAAACAGCTGCAAGACCAAAATAAAAAATGTCTTTTGGGGTCTCACATGTGATGCAGTAATAATCAGTTCCCTTTTTTAAAACTTGTTTTTTTCCACTGGCTGCTTGAGTGGAATTTGGCATAATATTGTGCAGACTGTCTTATTTTAGTTACTGAATTTCAGCACATCAAATTTGAAATTGTTTTAACAAGGCCTTAAAGGTTTGTGTAGGAATTGCTTGCTATTTCTGTTCTCTATACAGGCCTGTATTTTTCCAACAGTTTTTGCTCAGTGTTAATTTGAACTAGTTAGGCTAATAAGTTCATTATTATAAATAAAAACTTAGCTAGAATCGAAATGAATACACTATTACTCTCTAGACCCAAGGTCGAAAACTGTAGATTACAGTAGAGTGCAACAGATACAATGAGAAGGAGCTGACCACTCTTTCTTGCCTGCTGCAAGGATATAGGATACAGCATTGTAAAATTTGGATTCATTAAAAAAGTAGATTTATAACTTATTCTGAATCGTTTTCAAGCTGAGAAATCTTTAAATGTTTCTGTATTTACCTGGAAAAGGGAAGTATGAATTGAACTACTGACTCTTCTCTTGTGATGTTTATTTCCTTGTGACTGTTTCATGTTTAATTCCTCCTCCTGTGCTCTTGCCTTGTCAGTTCCAGGAAGTGTCCTTGCATTCTCTGAGTCATGCAGGGCCCTGTGTGAGACTTAGTCTCCTGTTGAGGTTTCCATCTTGTGGTCTGTGCGGAGTACTGCAACTCCATGTGACTGGGTGGTGCCTCTTGCATTTTGAGTAGATTGTTTCCATTTTGACATGCTTTCCCTTTTTCTTAAGATATATTAATAAGATTATAAGCGAATAAAGTGTTTTTCCTCCATTATCTCTTTTGATAGTGTGACGCAGTGAGTGTGCTGGAGAAGGAGCATGACTACAGAGAGGAGCACTTTGATTTCATTCAGTCCCACATTCGACGGTTCTGCTTACAGTGTATCCTTCCTATTTCCCCAAAAATTGGGACAAAGACTTTGATGCTGCATTAACTCTTGCCCCTATTTATTTTCCTAGAGACATTTTAATACTTTTTTGTCATAATACATTCATATATTAAGTGTAGAGATGAGTTTGTTCCTTAAGAAGAATCGCAGATGGAGCTGCTTTGATTTACACTTCAGTCAAAGAAGAAAAGAACTTGGACCTTCTTTATAAATACATTGTGCACAAAATGTATGACTTCCAATTTACCACACCTGCCTTAGTGGTGGAAAAAGATGCTGTTTTCATGTAAGTCATTTTTTGCTGATGTCCCTATTCTCTGCTGTGTGAACAGCAAAGGTTTCATTCTGTCAGAAAAGGGGGAACTGTATTTTGTCTACACACTATATGTATATTCTAAGCATCAATAGAAACTTTCAACTGCAGCAGATTCAAAAAGTTTTTAAAAAATGAGAATCTTTTCTGGCACAGGTGCAATTACATTATATTGATTTAACTGTGCTGACACAATTTAACAACACAGTTAACAATTCAACTGTGCTGAAATGTAAATGCTAGAAATAGTGTTGGACCAATAGGGTGTCCACTGTGAAAATTGCAGGATATTGCAATTTGTAGTCACTATTGGGAACAGTTGAGCTGTACATCTGAGATGCATATGTTGTACCCACAAACATGTCTGTTCACTGGACTCTGATCAATACGTGTCACACTTCATCCCAGCTTATCCTTAAAAATATTTTATATGGGACTCGGGTCTGGCTAGCTGAACATTTTTTTTACAGTTCTCATCTTGTGAGAAAGTTGTTATTATATGAGCAACATGAGAAAGTGTGTTGTCTTGCTGTGAGGCTGTCCTGTCAGGATGAGCCTGCAGCAGAGGCAGGAAGTGAGATCCCAGGACAGCCAACACTGTGTAACACTGTGAAGTTAGGCTGCCATCAAACACTAAGTAACTCCTACCCACTAAGTCCTACCTATCAGACTTGGACCTCCCCATCAATTAATCTGTTGTCATTCTGCGTGTCTGTGTCACACACTCAGATGTGTACACCTCCCAGATGAGAAAACCTTGAGTTATCAATGGGTTAGCATCACCACTGGTGAGTTAGTTTAGTCAGCAACATGATGGATGCACCAAGGGCATTAACGTGTTCAATTTCTTTTGGTAAGGGGGGCATATTTGTTCATCTTTAAAAATAAAAATAAAAATTTGGCTAGACATTCAGCACTGCTGAATCTCCTTGTCTCCTGTGCCTAGTCACCTATCTCTCTAATGAAGTGATTTGACTTGTGCAACAGTCAAAGAACTTGGGTGCATCTCTGTCATGAATGAACAGTCAATCATGCAAGAAATAATTAATATCCAAAAGCTTTGTTTTTGTCTAAAAATGTACAAGTGTAATTTCTTTTGATGCTTGGTATGCATTATTTCAAACTGTTCTTTACTTAGAATGCAGTTGTCAGTTTTTTTGGAGAAAAGTCAAGTGCATTTTTAATCTTTCTTAGTCCATCTGGCTGGGACAATGAGAAGAAAATTGCCATTTTGCATGAAAATTTCACAACCGTGAAACCTGAAGATCCATTTGAAGACTTTATCATGAAACCACCTGTAAGAAAGGTAATATTTCAATATCAAGACTTAGAAAGGTATATTGGTAGTAAACTTTTGTATTCAATTTACTCAATCTTCCTAGTTTATATTATAATGTATATACTTTTATAATTGACACTTTTAATTGGTCTTTATACAGCTAGTACATGACAAAGAAGTTGCTGCTGAAGATGAGCAGGTTTTCCTAATGAAACAGCAGGTGAGAGGTTTTACAAAGTTTTTAAGAGAGGTTAGATTAGACTGATACAATTTTGTACTTCAGTAGGGAACTGTTTCAGAACGGATGCCACATACATTTAATTACACAGCTAATAACACAGCACTTTCAATGCCATTTTTGTTCTTGATTTGGGAGATTGAATGAGGCTCAGAGGAGGAGCCAATTATATTTTTATTTGGTTTTCAAAGCACATTTTCAAAGACTGTCACATAAGCTGAAGCAAGAAAGTGATCCATTGAAACCCATTTGGATTTTAATTGCTGAAAGACTAGTGGGGAATATCGCATTTTACGAGTTAGGTATCAGGGTGCAATGCACATGTATGTCCAGTGCAATATTTTAGTAACTCCTAATAAAATAACCTGCACGGTCTGCTTTTTATCTGCGTTTTGAAAGCCAGAGAATATACAGGTGGTGGACAAAAAATGGAAACGCAAATATAAGGTTGCTTAACAGGGTGATGGGCCACTAAGGCCTGTATGCAAGTGTGGAATTCTGGGGGGGAACATTTACTTAAAGAATTATTAGTTAAGTTTTTTTTATGTAAAGGCTTGCCTTAGTGTTTTCTTGATGATCTTTGAGTTTATGCCTCTGTTTTTCAAAAGAAGTATCTTCTGCTCTTTTCCTAGTCCTTGTTAGCCAAGCAGCCTGCTACGCCTACAAGAGCAACGGTAAGTTTCGTCACTCGACGTCACTGGTACAGTCAGCTGTACAGCAGTTGGTGATGGACAGATTATCTCCGCTGCAGCTTGTGTCTGTATAGAAAGGACATTTTTATCTGGGCTTTAATTGCTGTCTGTCTTGAAGGAATCTCCAGCACGGGCTCCATCTGGCTCCCCTCGGCCCACAGGCCGCACCGGGCCTGCCAACGTGGCCAGCGTCTCGCCTATGACCGCTGTCAAGAAACCCGATCCCAACATGAAAGGTAGCTGAGATGGCAAAGAGAAACTTCAAAAAGTGTTGTTGTTTTTTTTACAGCGACGAGATCATATAGGTTTGAATGTGAGATATTTCCCTGTAATGGTATATACCGCTTTGCACTCCATGGAGACCACTTTTCCTCCAGTTCATAAACATTGTTTTGTGTGAAATAGGTCTAAGGTTAGCTGTTTTTTAGCTTGGATCTAGTTTGAGGTCTAAGGTCAGGTTAGTGACCTGAGAAGTTCACAAGGGAAGAGTTCTTGACCTCTGAAGGATAAGGCAGTTCCCAGATTGTTGATTTAGAATCAAATTAAGTGTCAAAGTATAGTGTATGAAATATATTCTTAAAGCTTATTTATGTACACAGTACTACCTGTGATCCCTTTGAATATAAGAAGTATTTTCAGCAGTGATTATCCTTATACAAAAAAATGTAGTCTTTTTTTATATGAGAAAGAAAAGGCTACACTTTATTCCAGCATAAGTATCTTTGTTCTAGACCTCTTAAACCTTTATGTAAAGTATTAGTGTGAATTATACAGCTGGGGGCAATTACAGTTTGTTAAAGTGTGTGTGTGTGTGTCGACTGTAACAAGGACTTTGTTTTGTATTAGCATCATTTTGGACATAGAATTATATAAACCTTTAGGTAGTCTCAAGCTTCAACTAAACCTTACAAATATAACATTTCTTATATTTATATTGAGACTAACACCTTCATAGTCTTAATGCATATTAACTATGAGCACAAATTATATCTTTAAACAGATTTAACAGTAAACCTTATTGCATCTGCAAACCTACATGTTTCCTGTTTGTCATTTATTAATTTGTGGTCATCTTATGTATTCCTGATAGTGGTGCACTCACAAGCAAATAAGAGCAGTAGGATAAAATGTTCTCAAGTAGGTTGTGGTTTCTTTAAAGTGGATGATCTTGAATTGTACAGGTGCTGCAGCAAATGAGGGGGTCCTGGCAAACTTCTTTAACAGCCTATTGAGTAAAAAGACAGGCTCCCCAGGGAGCCCAGGAGCTGGGGGAGTGCAGAGCACTGCCAAGAAAGCAGGTATGATCTTAAGCTGGCTCTTGCACAGCTCACACTGCTAATAGCTTCCTGTTGTTTCCTTTGGATGTGGCCGTTCTCGAAAGATTTATTCATTGAGCCTGTCAAGAAAGAGCATGCTTCATTCCAAGTTAAAAAAGAGATCCAACCCTGACACAGAAGGAATTTGTAAAAATGATCTGCATGGACCAGCTGGTGGAATATTTCACTTAGCAAAATGCTGGGTGCAGTCGCAAGAAGCACGCCACATAAAACTTTATTCAGCCTCCTTAAATGTAACAGCTTCCCTTAAAATATTTTAGATAATTTCCAGCTTGAGGCAATAACTGAAATACGTTTGTTTTAATGTCTTATTTGTGGCTTGTATATAAGCATTTACTCTGTTTTATAATATGGTATATCTTATAAATAGACAGAGACTTTCCTGTCTTTTTGCATGCAAGAATCTGTAGCCTGATTACAATACTATAACTGCTGGCGCATGGGCTTGCATTCGCTGCATATGATGCCTGACATTAAGACAGGCTAATGTTTTTGTGGTAGCCCTCAGAAGCTACATCAAATTACTGTTTGTGTGCCATATGTTTTTTTTGAAGGGCAGAAGCCGGTTTTGACTGATGTTCAGGCGGAGCTGGACAGAATGACTCGCAAGCCAGACTCCATGGTAACAGCCAACAACACATCACCAACGGAGAATGAAGCCTGAATATGCTTACAGCATTGTCCATAAAAATACCTATAAAAAAGTTCAGAAAACGACCAAATTTCAACTGTGTATATCAGTCAAAAAAACAGACCATGATTTTGTCTAATGTGGCGAGATGCTATCAGGTTTATTTTTGTTATTGGTTCTTTTTTGTTTTGTTGTGAGAAGGGGTAAGTGGGGGGGGGAGCTGGGAGATGCAAACGAGGGCCTAACTTAATTTGTAAAGGCATGTCGGGTCATGTATCATGCACTTCCTGAGAAGCAGCAGAGCAGCCCCCCACATCTAAGAGCTGTGCTATAGTTTTGGAAAGGCCTCTTGATCCTGCCTGCTCATCTTATGGACCAGAAAAGCGGTGTAGCTTTTTGTCTTGACAGGTTGTGTGGAAGGAAAGCAAATACCGGAATATCATAAACTAAACCTGAATATTTCAGTCAAATTTAAAAATACATGGAAGTCTGTAGTATGTAAAAAGTAGATATCCTATGATACTGTTGTATTTATATATAAATCCAAACTTTTCTTTTTTCACTAAAATGTTTTAAAGGAAAAAAAACAATGTAGCTACTTATTGTTAAGCTCCATTAACTTCATGACACTAATGTGGCAAATAAACAGATTGGCTGATAGCATATAAAAATATGCTGTATTTTTTAAAAAAACAGACCAGAGCAGTGAAGGCATATTTCTAAGGTTTCTGTAAATATAAGCAAAATATTGGCAAATGAGCTTCTGTTGCTTATGTATAGAATAATACTAAAAAATCATGAAGAAATACTTCAGATGAGAAAAGTGTTGTCAGGTTTCTGTTGTTTAGATTGCTTTACAAGTTATCCTTTTGGCTACAGAGGGGGATGTTATCTGCTATAACAAGTGCCTGGCACAATTTGCTGTAAGTGTCATTGTAGAGGTGCTTGACTAAAAAAAAAAAAGATGTGCACTGTAGTACAAATGGTCAGTTATTTTTGGTTTTAAAATTATTTATTGTTTTTTTTTTTGTACTACAATTCTGTGGTCTTAGCATATTTTACTTCTTAAATCAGCTTATGTTATGGCCTCGCTGAAAACTTCATTAGGCAGCATGCCTTTCTTTTTTTTAAAGTGTAGTAAAGTCACCTGTAAAGTATTTACTGCAACATTTTAGCATTCATAAATTAAAAAAAAAAGTTGTTGCTTAGTGATGGTTAACTGCTACATACCAATTGGGTTTTTACAGCTGTGGGATGTGATCACACTCCGTGTGTAAGTTAGCACTAAAAACAGTGTTGTGAAGCCAAATTGATCTCGAAGGTGATGATAATGGCATACTTGGAGAGATATAGGCTGCTTTGTTTTGAAGGTCCATAACAGCAATTCCTTTTATGATTATTAAGAAAGCATAGGTTAAACATTCCCCTTTTTATATTGTACAGTAACCGCAAAACCTGTCCCATTTTAGCAAGTGGTTTCATCTGCTGACTGATAGAGAAGCCTAAATTAAGAGAACTGATTTTTCTCTGCCTTCGAGTAAAGGCCTCACCTTTTGACACTCCTTTTAGACTCCCTTCTTCTCCTCCTCTGGTTGACGTTCTTGTCAGTTTGCCTGAACCTGCAGTAAGTGAGGAAATTATATCAGTCTTTAAATGGGGAAAAATACTTAATTACTAATAACTATATCAATATTAATACTGTGCAATATCGAATTCTTGATTTGTTAAGGTTTACAGAAAGACGAACCACCTGTATGATATTTTTTCAGATGTTGTGGAGGATTGGAAAATCATCTGAGGAAGTTTTATCGGAAATTAAATCACTGTAAAAACCTCTTTTTATGTTAACCTACATTGATATGGTTTAGACATTTAAATGAGCTAATGGCATTCATCCACCTGTTCCTCAAGCTAGGTTCTTAGCAGTGCTATCCATAAACATGCCAGAAGATCAGGTGAGTACTATATAAGTATAGGAAAATTATGAAAATTGGAATTTGGAACCAAAGACTTGAATTTGGTGTGTTCTACCAACCTTCTCACACCTATTTAGCAGATGAAGAATTCACTGGTCAAACCGTGAACTACCCATCACTCTAAAATAGATTCTGTGGTTATGAAAATGGCACATGTACTTAGTTTTTAAACACACTGTGTTTAAGTTTGTGTAATATTGCTGTTTTAAGGGAAAACCACAAGTCATGTTGTGCGGAGTCTTCTTTCTGTTGCATGAACTAATGTACAAAAAAATCGGTCTGGATCAATAATATTGCAAATGGTAGGCAGTAATGTTTACTACTGGTGCAGGGCATATCGTAGCATCTGACATATGAAGGTTATTGCTTGTATTCAAAAGCACAATACTCAGAAATATAAGAGTATGTACTTGCATTTTTAAAGGAACAATCTTATCAGGCAAGCACTTGTAATAACATACCCCTAAAGACATTTTAAAGCATTTCTTTACATTAAGTGTATATGCAGTGAATATTTTTTAGCAAATTCCTCCTGCTCTTAATGTTTACCTACTGAATAACCTGGTGTTATATGCATAATTAATCAAATTGATAATGGGTTATTTTTTTTTAATTAACCTAGCGTGTTGCAGCCTAGATAACTGGAGTTTTAGTGAATTAGCTGTATGCTCCTTTAAAATGTCCTGTTGAAGATGTTCAGAATTTCATGAAGTTGGAAGGGATCATATGTCTGTTTTGAGGAAATGTAAAATTGTTTTTGTTTTTTAAAAAAAGTCCTGCCGTCCCAGCATTGTTTTAGTGTTATTTCAAAAGAGTGGATGCTCCTAGTTCTTCAAAGTTTAAATTAAAACTCCAGTTCATTACAATGCATCACCATTGTCTGATCAGCTCTGGCACGTCGCACGGTTTGGTTACTGGTGTTGCAAGCATTGGAAACCAAAAAAAAAACTAAGTAATTGTAAGAGATTATCTGCTGGGTAGTTGCATTTGCAGACTGATTAGCCCTAAAGTATCTAGATCTCTTTAGTGAGATTATCTTGTTCTTTAAACAACAGCAGATTCTTTCCCAGTGAAACATAGTATTAGATAAAGATCTGGCTACAATAAAGAAAGATGTCCATTTGGTTGAAACGGCAAATAAAATAATTTCCTGCTGCTTGAAATAAAATTTGCACTTCATTTTTTTCAGATTGGCTTTGTAAAAAAGGTGTAATGAACAACAGACATTGTAAAGAACATTAATTTTGCCTAAGTTAATAGTGACTGCTCTGTACATTATAACCCTAACAATATGCTTACATTCTTGTTAAAAATTAAAAAAGGAAAAAAGCTTTGGCTTACAGTCCTTTTATACAGGATTTCAATTTTTTTTAAAAAATTACATTTAGGACTGCGTATGTACCGTGAACATATTAAATTTAGTCTGATTGTATGGCTTTACCCAGATGCAGTATGCTGTCATTTGGAATCTCGCTTTTAGTGCCGGCAAAGATGAGAACGTGTCTTTAACAAGTACTGGCTTCAATAAATATGAATCCAGACTACATGCTCTTTTGTCTGTCTTTATTTACATGAAGCTTTTTAAAATTTACATGAAGCTTTTCATAATGTAATTCCTTGTACTTCACATATCCTGGTAAATGTTCAGTATCGACTTGGTGTACAGACAGTACACTACACTAAAATTTGTTTTGGCATAAATTTTGTTTCTGGGAAGCAGGTTGACTTTTTTGCTTCCAACACTACAGCAAGGGAATGCAGCTTTGAGCCTGAAGCTGTCTTATGTATTCACTGAGTTTTGTAGGTTACCTTTTCTTAAGTGTGTGAACACGTTAAGTTGCTGAATTACGCATGTAATATGTTCAATGTGAGAAACCTGCCCATTAAAGCTGAAGAACACTTGGATTTCAGCCACAAATGATCCCTAAATTATGAAATCATCTACTTAATCAGAACGAAATAGTTTTTAGAAATGTGTGACTTAAGGGTAAGAGCTGGTAGAACCAGTAGGTAACACCTGCTGTAGTGATTGTTTTCTGAGCCATCTTTTCCACAATACATAAGAACACAGAGTATACTGAGCATTAGAAAATAACATCACTTTAAACTGCAACAAAGTTATGCAGAAATGGCAATAAGTTTTGCAGCAGGTGCATTTACTCAACTGAACAGACATGAAACAGGTAAATTTGTTATACTGATTGGTCAAGAGGGGATCAATTGTGAACATCACAGACTGTACGTATGTACTGTAGGAAGCACAATTTGTTTATCGTCAGAAGCCATATCACCCTGCAACCCACAGCTGGTAACCCATTGAAGCTAAGAAGGTGTGAGCCTGGTCAGTACCTGGATAGGAAAAACCTGGGAAAAATGAAGGAATGAAGGTTGCAGCTGGAAGAGATGTTAGTGGGATCAGTAGGGGGTACTCTCCCTGCAGTCTATGAGTCCTTAACGCCCCAGTATAGTGACGGGGACACTATACTGTAAAACGGCACAAATTGTTTAGATTGTCCAGAGCCATGTTAGGCTTTTTTGGCACTGGGGTAACGGCAGCAGTTTTGAGGACCGTTGGTATGCAGGTGCTCAAGGATTAATTTATAATATTGAGGACAGTGGGACAGAGAGAAGAGAAACAGGGCTGAAATAAAGTGGTGGGAATGGGATCTAAAATAGATGTGGTGGGTTTTGTGTGTGTAAACAGTTTATTGAGGAATGCTGAGTCAAGAAAAGAGAAGTTAGAGAGAAGGGAACCAGAAAAGTTGGATAAGGAAGGAGGACATAAGGAATTTTAATGTGTAGTGGAGAGAATGTGATGCTGGATGTTGTTGATCTTGGGGCTAAAGAAATCTAAGAATGTGTTGCAAAGTTGCGATGAGGCAGGTAATCAGGTGGGGCAGTTTGGCTTGAGCAATTAATGGTTGAGAAAAGATGTCTGGGGTTGTTATGGTGTTGGAGAAATGATGTGAGAGAAATAGGTGGATCTAGTGGACTTTATTGTAACCTTGTATTTAGACAAGTAATCTCTCCATGCCTGATAATGTACATTTAGGCCACAAAGACAGCACCTGCGCTCAAGTTTGCGGGAAACTGCCTTCATAGATTTCAGATGGTCGTTGTACCAGGGGGCAGGGCGAGAGAAGGAGATGGTTCGAGTTTTTAAAGGAGAAAAGGTGTCAAGTGTAGATAAAATAGCGCTATTAAGTCACTGTATTTTGTCCTCTAGAGGGTCAGAGGAAGAGAAACAAGATAAGGAAGAAAGGACAGAATTTGCCAAACTTGACTGATCGCCAGTTGTGGAAGTTTACAGAGCGTGAGGGGGAAGTGTTAGAAACAGGTAATTCCAGATTGAAGAGAATAGCTAAGTGGTCAGAGAGGCCTAGTTTAGGGGAAGAATGTTGGGAGACAAAAGACATTTGCAATGATTAAATCTGGGGTGTTTTTTGTTGTGTAGGGGTACAAACAAACTGAGTAAGATCAAAGCATCCCAGTAGAGAAGGGAAGTCTTTAGCCAGACTGGAAGACCTTTAGTCAATGTGTATATTAAAGTCCCCTAGAGTAAGCATAGCCTAGTAGTGTACATTAATATAAGCAATGCTTTTTTGAGGGGGTTGTTTGATCCTTATTGTTTATGAAAAGTGGGTTCCACACCAGGTCTGCCATGAAGTGAAAAATACTTAATTTTACTGGGCTTAACAGATCCTACGACAGTGTGCATCACTTACAGCTCACTGTCTTGAATTCAACGCACCTCTGCCCTCTCCACTTTCACTTGATTACCACGTACTTATTGTTCTGTGTTTATTGTTCCGTATTACCCGTTGTTAATTGTTGGTGGGCTGGGACCGTCCTTACTGTTTTTTAACGTACTGTACTCAGTGTGTGTTGTGTTGTCTGTTGTGTCGTGGATTAAAAGACCTAGTGTTCATGTACATATGGCAAATTAACCCAACTCTCTCTAGTTTTACGCAAACGTTTTCCACAGTTCACCTCTGCTAACTGGCCTAGAACACACACTAAAGGAGCGTCTTACAAACTCTAAGCGTTTTGCCAACTAAATACAAAGCATGGTACATCTTGTGTGGAAAACACTTTTCATTAATAATAAGGATGAACCATTATGTTCCGGCGCTTCTCTTCGGCGAATGAGTGTCTGAAGTGTCATGCGTTAACCAATGCCAGCCTGCAGATAGAGGGTGCTCCGAGAACACGGACTCCCTTTGCTAAATAGTCCCTGTTTTTAGACAAAGACCACAGTAAATTCTTAAAACGCCGGCTTGTAAATATAAACACTATTTTATATAACCATTAATATCTAAGAAAGCGAAGAAACGCACCAGGTGAAAACAAATGTAAAATTCCACTCAAAGTGAATTATACTTCATGGTGAGTTCATCTGCAATACATGTGGTCACCATAAAGGCATCAAACTTTTAGATTTTGTTTTTTAGCATAGGCTACCGTAAGGACGGAAATGTACCAACTTGAATAGTTCGGAAGTAAAGTAAAGTGATTTTAAAATGTATTCAATTGTCCTACGTGAAAAGGGGTGATTTCCCAATGGGGTGCACATTCAGTTTAAAGGGAGGATACCTGCCTAAGCGTCACTAGTGCACACCTGTGTAGCACGTCACTGAGCCTAACACAGTCTGCGCCTGCCGCTCTGCTCAGAGCTAGGCTTGAAAGAAGAAAGGGTTGAGTAGATGGTTATTCTTTCACTATTTAATGAGCAACTAGTAAAGAAATATTCCTTTTTAATTCTGAAAACAAAAGGAAAAGTGCAAAGACCGCCTCCCGAATCCCTTTAATTTTCGTGGAAGAGAAAACGATACTGCAGGCTGGGACTTTGCTGGAATTTTCGCTGTTTTTTGGAAGCAATTTTTCAGGACTTTGTTTAAATATTCCTTTCACTGGGAAGAAAGCGCGTAGTTCGCAGGGCGGAGTGTGGACAGGCTGACATCTGGGTTAACAACATTGCGATTTGCAGTTTAATTTCTAAGTGGAGTACAGTCCCCCTTCAAAAAACGAGACATCAGCGAAAACGACGTCTCACCCACATGAAGGAATATAACAAGTAAAAAAAACTCGCTTTTCGGCAGCTTGCATAAGAATGAATAGGTGAAGAAGCGATCCACTGTATCCGTACTGGAGAACAAGCTTTCTAACTAGCTAAAATACTTCGATTCTACAAGTGTGATTCGTTTAATGGTCAGTTTTAAACCTTTGTGTTTTTGTTTGACAAAAAAGGCAACTGAAGGACATTTGTGATGGGGATTCTTTAACACTATTCTGGATGTGTTGATGCACAAAATCTGTCTGCCGTGGAGCCTTTGCAAAATACCTATACTTCTTATTTTCGCTTTGTACGGTACTGGAACACTTGGGAATTGTTGAAACGCTGCAGATACTGCATATTCTCCGAAGACTTCCTTTAAGGCGATACCGCACTAACAAACCTGCCATCTCGACCGCAGAAGACTTGAAAACATGCGGATTAGCGAGGAGGCGGATGGGTTTGATGGCGAGGCCTCCAACACATCAATGATTTCGGGGGCTAGTAGCCCATATCAGCCGACCACTGAGCCCGTCCATCCAAGACACGGTCTTGGGGGATTGAGATGTGACATAGACTATCTGAAAACAAATTTTGGCATTTTAAAACTCATAGAAGTGGTAAGTGCCGGACGTGCATACACAGAGACGGAAAGGCTGAGGTGGATTTGCATTGGATTCCTAATCGTAATTTAAATTAAATCGTTTTGTGGCAGTCCCAGATGAGCACTGAAATACTTTAAAGCCTACTGGGTTCTCAGTTAATTATTCAGGCTGTTTAGAATTATGCCCATGAAAGACATCTCTGTGCCTTGATTATGAGCTGTTTTCCTTTCATTCTCGTATGAATCCGGAATTCATAAGCAATCTAGGAGTTTAGTAAAAGCCTCTCAAATATGTTTCAGGTAGAAAATGGGTGGTGCAATCTTAAATATAACGATAGTTCATGTTTAATGCAGTATGACCTAAGGCAGATGTAAGTGGACACGAGTTCTTTGTCCTAATGTAATATCTTGTCTATTATTCCGTTCCTTCTCAAATTTATCACTTTTCAAATGTGTTGTTAAACAGGGATTATAGTTCACCAAACCGGGGGGGAGCAAAGAAAGCAATTTGGATAGCAGATTGCCTAAAATGTTCAATGAGCGTCTAAACTTCTTTCTGCTCATCGTGAATCAAAGCGCTTCTTTGGAGCAACAGGCTTCGGAGAGGAGGAACTAACGTGACAAGTGCACATGACTCATCTGTCTTCAGGTTGAACATCAAAACTACTACAAGGATATCGGTATTAATACATCTGACGCCTCTGTCAATGCATATGAAAATAATACAGCATTCTGTACATATTAACACACAGTTCAGAAACCGAGTGCAAGTCGTCTTTGATAAAGGCTGCTGCATTTTCATCTCGTGTAAATCATACACCTGAAGAAGGCTCTGCGGGCGAAGCGTTGATTTTTTTTTACTTTGTGGTGTGTAATTAACCATGTTCTTTTTCAACACACTGACGTAGCTCCCCCTATCAAACCTCATGATAAATTATTAACTCATTTCAATGGAAAAATAACAGCAAAAACCTCCTCCCCCCAAAAAAAAAAAACCCGATATGATCTATTTCACCGCCTTTTCATTTTACGGTACTAGCAATTGTAATAAAAAAAATAGAAAAATACAGTATATACTGGTCCTAACACTTGGTACTGGTCCTAACACTTGGCAGTGTTCGAAACTTTAAGTACCAGCAGCAAACAGCTGTATGGTTAATGTTTGTCTGCTAATTTTTTTGCCACAAACGTTTTTAAAGCACGGTTGTACTTGATTCTCTTGTGCTCGTACATTTTGCTTTTCGGTGCTAATGTAAACTGGGGCACTTGTTATCTCTTCTCACAGACTGCATAAACAATGAAATATATTCATAGCTCCTAATTGGGCATTTTAACCCACAAAACTTTAAACATCTGACCCAGGGATGCAAAAATGCCCAAAAGTAGAAGGAATCATGTGTCGGTTTTGAAAAGCACACTTGGTAATACAAGTGTATTCAGCACCATAATACCTGCCTTGAACATTCCAGGTTGCTGCACGGCGTTTACTGTACATGTTGTTTTTGTCTCTTTTCAGCTCACTAGAGCTGCAGAGATGATGTTCGTTTCTGGGAACATTTGTGAAGGAGAGCGTTTTCCTCTGACTAGCAGATATAATCTGAAGTTCGTTTACCATTTCCCATTGGCCACAGCTGGAAGTGCAGTAATCCCAGGAATGCAACAGGCACAGAGAAATAACGGGGTGTGCCTGCTCTGTTTTCCATTTGTATTTTGGCAGAATGGAGTTCAGTGGCTGAAGAGAATGTTTTTTGTTACATCACCAAACCGTTTAGAGTTTGCACATGTGAATATGGGTCAGGTGCCTTTCTGATTGGATTTGGGGGTATTTTGGCCAGTTCTCATTACTACAGTGTCATCAAGGCTCCGGCACTTATCAGTATCTGGTCCATAGGGTGAGATTATGTGGAGCGTGAAGTATTTGAGTGGTGGACAGATCTGACTGGCTAATGCTTCAGGATGCCATTGGTGGTCAAATAAATGACATCCAGTGTCTGTCTGGATGAGTAAGTGAAGAGCTCCTTTTGATCTTTTCTCAAATGAGGTTAACAATGCCTAGAGTTTCATGAAAAAAGTCATGCTTTTTTTTGCATGAGATAAAATGAATTTGGTGTGCATGCTGACTAGACAGTGGTTACATTGTCATGTGATCTTATGTTATCATAATTAAGCTGAGCGATGCTTTATTACTTTATCTTTTGCCAAATGACATATTTTACTGGATGACAAATTATATTATTATTAATAATAATATTAGCAGAAACTTAGATTACATTGTTATACTTGAAGGCAGTTTTATGCTTGAAACTTTATTGACAGAAACATTTCACCATCCGTTTCAGTACAGGATTGCGGAAGAGCCAGAGCCAATCCTGGCAGGCAGCTGGCACCAGGCAGGATACACTCTGGATGTGGTGCCAGGCAATCACAGGGCACACACAGACACAAATACGCACTCACACCATGGCTAGTTTTTTCCATTAGCCAGTTAACCTACTAGTTGTTTTTGCACCTTGGGAGGAAGGCGGATACAGAAAGAAATACAAACTCCCTGCAGGCAGCAGCTCAGGGAACTCAACTCAGGGCCCCAGCACTGCAAGACAGCAATGCTAACAACTGCGCCACCATCTCAATCTTTATTTCACTCTATACAAATGAATATATAAAGATAAATTAAGTGCAAGATGGACAGCCATTTCATGTTATTTACATTCCCTTATTGAAAACTTTTTAACTCCAGTAAATACTATTCATTGTAATAATGAATATTTTTTTGCGAAATTAGCCGAATGTAAATGTAGGGGGACTTTCATACAAGCATGCCTCTTTTTAGGGGCTTAGATGTCTTTGCAAAAAATAGTTTGCAAGAATGCCTCAGTTCAGAAAACATTTGTGTGTTCAAGTGCTTAAATGATAGGCAGGATTTGAATACTATGAAGTATGCTGCCATTAGTAAATAGATGTTTTTTGGTGTAGAAAATAGTTCATTTTATATTTTCATGCAAGGTCCTTTATTTTTATCTTTTCAGTTTTGTTAGAGGCATATAAATGTTATTTTGTCGTATGAACAAGCAATTTGCTTGTCACTGACAGTTAGAGGGTTTTATTTAAGTACACAAAGCTGTCTTTTCTGTGAACCCAAGTGTGTTTTGTGTTCCATGCTTGGTGGTTTTGTATACAAAAAAATCCCGAAGAGATGTTTGGATGTGGGTTTAGGGCGGTACACCTAAAACAGATGTCTAAGAGGATGAAAACAAAGGAAAATACCAGTTTGCACTGAGGCGGCTCTGCCAGGTTTACTCAGAAAGGAAATAGCTTTGACAAAATCTTCGTGTCTCATGAAAGAACTGTCTGAACTCCACACTCTGGCTCACACTCTGTTTTAAACAAGAAGAAACAGTGTGGAGTGGGAAAAGCAAGAAAATAGACTAAGGAAAACTAAACAGGGGGCTAAATAAAACTAAAATGCTAAAGTGCAAGTAGGTTCCAAAGTAAAATAATCAGTAACTTGGATGTCGGGCTCAGGAATGCACTGTTTAAATGTATCCATGTAGAAACTGAAACAACTTATTGACTTAAATGGGAATTTACCTTAATATTAAATTAATACAGTTAATTTAATATTAGGGTGTTTATGAGCCATCTCTCCCTCTTTCAGGTGTTGCTTATCTGAGGACAATTGCTGTACAACAAGTGGAAACCTAGCAATCAAGTGTCTAGTCTATTGTAGTACTTTCTATGGTTTAACTGTCAGAATGGCATATTCCTTTTGTTTAAATGTATTGGGGCTGCACAATACCAGGACAGCTGCACTACAGGTATGCACCTGTGTACAAAGCAGAAGGTAAAAGATTATCAGCTACCGAGTCTCTGGATAAGCCAGATTCTTTTTTTTTTAATCAGAAAGCTCGTAAATCTTTGTTTTTATCCAAAGGTTGATATGATGTTGGGCTTCTCGGAGATCACCTCGGACAACAGGCAACCACTGCCTGGAAACCATACACCGGGTTCAGCTGAATTCAGAGAATTCTCCTTGCATGTTTGGGACAGGTTATCGACTAGAGATGTTTATGATTCTAGTGAAGGACCCTGTTGTGACCCCTGATGTAGGGACAGACATGCCAACCACACAGTGGTTACATTGTCATGTGGTCTGATGTCATTGTTAAACACATGGTAAATGGCTGCTTTGTATAACTTGTAATAAACATAAACATGTTTCGAGAAAGGCTTTAATTTAGGCTCCTTTTCATGGTTTTGTAGTTCTAATTTTGTTTTTCTGCACTTAAAAATGGCTGTTGCCTCTGATAGAGCAGTTACTTGTTAGTAGGATGTTATCTGCAAAAGGGGAAACTAAACTGTAGAAAGGCAGGTTGCCAAATCTTTTAAAAACAATTACAGGGAAGCTAGAAATCTGAAAAATTGTTACAATTTAAGTTTTTTTTTTCAATTACTGATATGAACAAGAGATTTTGGATAGCAGTTTAGACAGGACTCAACCTTTCATTGTCCTACAGTGCTTTAAGATTTTGCTCATTTTGACTTCCTTGTTTTCTTTCTCTTGTTAGGATTCTGTGGCTGTTATTAAGTTAGACTGTAAAATTATTTTTTTTTCAACAAGCCTTAAAGGTCTAAAATGCATGTTAGACATTTATCCAATAAATTTCTGATGTTCTCATATGTTAAATAACTGTGTTTTTTAAAAGGTTTCTGTCTCTGCAATACAATTAGTAGAATTAGTCAAATCAACCAAAACATTAATATTCTGACATAGTTAATTGATATATTGCATATACTGTAAATGGTTGATGTTTGTAACTGATTTTATTTAGATTCACTAGTACTGTGTGGAAAAGGGGGAGTATGGAGCAGAGACACACCATCTTAGATTGCTAACATTTATTTATTTTTCCACTTTAATCTAGGTCATTTAGATGCAGTGCTTGTTCTCTTTGTCTGATAAAGTAGGGATATTTCAGCCAGTGTTTTGAATTATTGCTTCCGGTTAATTCTGAGCAGGGAACATCTGAAGAAACAGCATTATACATCAAATTAGGTTTTATTTTATGGTGCAAAGTTGATAGGTCACTCTTGGTATTAGAATTGGTCTATATTTTGTGTTTAATAAAACATTCCAGAACTCCCTCCACTGAAAAATAAATTTGGATTTAACTGAATATGTTTCAGCATTAATCTCAATTGGATAATCTCCAAATAAAAAATAGTCTATATACAGTATATATATATATGTGTTTGTGAAAAACAAAAGCAGATGCAGAGGAAACACAATACAGAAGTCTTGATAATATTTCTTCTTACTTGCTGTCCTCTGAAAGTGATAACTCAGCATTTTCCATGTGTTTTCTGAACTCCCTCCTGTTTTCATTCTTAGAGTAGCTCAGTATGTGCTGAGTGGAAATAATTCGTAATTCAGACTGATAAAACAGTTTGTTTGTATCTGTTCTCTGAAGTTTAGAGCAATGGTTTATACGCTTTTTGAGTGTTTGTCCACTTTTTTAGTTTCCAAACATATATTTCCCAGATCACCACGTACTGCTAGTTGTTTTTCACACTTTGTTATATGTGGAAAACTAACACCACAATAAAGTATAAAGTATATCACACTGCACTCCGTAAACATTGTAATGTACACTCCGTACATTCTTATAACTGCAACAGATATATTTGGAAGTGACTTCCCATGTGCAACTAATATAGTCGCAGTACACCAAACCTAATTTAATAAAGCTAGGTGTGTAATAAAGCTTACAGAAAGACAATGTATCTGACTGTTCAATACATTTTAACCTGTCAGATAAATCTGAATTCAGCCGTCCCAGTTATTATAATGAAGAGGTTTAAAAGAGGGTGGCACAGTGGAGCACTGGTTAGCATTACTGCCTCCCAGCACTGGGGACCTGGGGTGCTATCTGTGTGGCGTTTTAATATTCTTCCTGAATCCATGTGGTTTTCTCCCGGTGCTCTGGTTTCTATCCACAGACCAAAGACATAGTTGTAACTTGATTGGCTTCTTGGAGTACTGGCCCTGGTGTGTGTGTGTGTGTGCCCTGCCTTGTGCTGGTGTCCCATCCAGGGTGTATCCCCTAGCTCCCATGAGACCCTGAATGGCATGAAGTGGTTAGAAATTGGATGGATGGAGGTTTAAAAGAATACATGTTGCTGGAGCAGGAAATAAAATGCTTTTAATGCTGCTGACTTCTTAAGTAATACTGCAGATGTTTTTTCTTTAGCGTTTATTACTCTGCAGATTTATGCCAACTGGAAGTTATGAATGGCTTTCTACTCCTTAAATGTAGCAACTGCTTCTCTTTCATTGATCCAGACAAACAGAAAACAATTATGCAGTTAAAGTGGTTTATTCTTAGAGAAGTGTGCTCAGTTTTGTCTGCTTATTCCCAATAACCAATAACCAAGTGATTGGTTATTACAGGAATGGAGATAATTCTAAGGTGCAAGCACCTTCTGATATTAGGCATGTTTGAATTACTCACAAACATTTCAAAAGCCCTATTTTGAAATGCACTATTGGGAGAAATTGGATATTTAGCATTAATCGTTTAACTGGGGTATGTGGCTTTAATATATTTCCTTGTGTACTACAAGAGAAATAGGAGGGAGTCAAAACTTCATTATCAAATTTCACTTGGATTTCTGTCTTATACTCTATACAGTATACATACTGTTTGGCCATGCTGTAATATAGCGAATTAGCCTTCAATGTAGATTTCCACAGCAGGATTTCTAAAGTGTGTTGTTTTGTCTAACTAGTTTATCTACCATGTTACTTCTCAATGTCTCCAAAATCTATAATTTTTACTCTCACTTCAAACTCTAAAAACACTTTGCTTTGGTTAGTAAAGCAAAGTGTGATGCACTAGTTACAGTTTCTTTCCCCCTCCTTGTTTTGGAAAGTAACTGTTGTCAATAGATTTATGCTTTGGAACACTATTCAATAGGAGGAAACTTACTGAAAATTAATTTATGTATGCAGGACAGCAATGCATGATTTGCAGTCATGTAAGACCTGAATAGGAATCTGGTTTGAAGAAGAATTTGAGTCTTCATGGCCTTTTTTTAAATAAATAGAATTGAACAGATACCATTTCATGCTTTGTGGGTTTTTCTAAAAAATAATGTAGAAATCATATAATTGATTATTGATTTAAGACCAAATGAAAAAAAATGCAATTTCTTTTGCTATCAGGTCAGTCTCTGCTTCTTGTTTGACATTTTTATTTGTATTTAAATGCACATCATTTTTTTAAAATGACATTTTAATCATGTATTACACAAGAAAGTCATTCAAATCTGTAATTTGGGTTGATCCAGCACAAATTAACGCTGTAAATATACTAATTGTCAGGAGATAGAGAAGTAAACGTTCAGCTCTAGTTTTGGAGAAAATCTGCTACATTTTTGGTTAACCCTAAAAATCCCAGGATAGGGATCTTCTACACTGTGCAGTAAATGTGTCTGTGACAGAAGTACCACTTGAAGAAGTTTTGTTTTTTTAAGCAATCCTGAAACACTGCTAGAAATCGCAATATATCTAATATATTGGAATATAATATATGAATGTTGCAGGGTTTGCAGTCTTTTGTGATTTTGCTAATTAAGATGTGCAAGACTTATAATGTAATAGGTTCTTATATCTTCTCAGAAGAGTAACACATGAAATTAAGCTTTTTTTCACTAGTAAAGTGCTCTTTGTTCTGTATAGGTTACATTTCAATGAAAAAATGTACATTTGCTTACTTGGGTAGTGTTACAAAGCGGAATATCCTCTTTACAATCTATGCACCTCATAAGAATTTTTTAAAAGCCTCTTTGTTATAATACAATAAATCCAATTTGCATTGCTAAACACTGTGTAGTAGAACAAAGTGGTCTAACCGGTCTGTAGTTTCAGTTCAAAGCAGTAAAGTCTTGTGACTCTTTTGCACATGAAAGCACATTTTCACTCTATGTAATTCGTTTTGTAAGTTCATAATTGCTTATGTAAATAAAAGTAGTGAGCCACTATCAATCAGTAGTGTACTAGGCAGCTTATATAGGACATGAATCTATTAAAAAAGCATGTCAGTGAAACAGTTGTCTGGCAGTGTCACCTTTGAGTGGGCGGTCTCCTGACTGTTAAGATGTCAGCTGACCTTGTGCTCATGTCAGAACTGTGAACAGGAGCATCTGGTATAGATATCTGTCAAGCAAAAAAAGCAAATTAAACATGCTGTGGAGAAATAGGAAGGAGAATTCAGTGTGTCTTGCGGCTCCTTGCCAGTGTTGGTGACAAGTCCTGCCAATTCATTTTCTCTGCCCCGGTCTTCCTCAGCCAACGTGGCATTCAGACAGTCGTGTTTGTGTTAGGATGGTTTACATTTGCACAGTACGGAAATGCTAAAGCTGTCAGCAAACCCCATTAGCAAAAAAGCTTTACAAGATTTTAATATGAGCCATTAATTCAGTGATTACATTAGTAGTTCTGCTCATAACTAAATTCATTTTTTTTGTTTTAATGTTAGTGAACATTAACATTGCCCTGCTGAGTTGTTTTGGAATCTTGCAATTCTTAAGAGGCACGGATCATGGATGTAAACCTTCAATCTTATCAATGGCCATGGCGAGAGTGCTATTTACGTAGTATCCCCAGTGATCCTACTGCAGAATTATACATTTCAAAAAGTTAATTTTCCAGCTTCTATTAAGATGATTCTTTTATTGATATGACCTTTTTGGAACCCATGTGTATGCAGGAAGGACTGGTCGGTGCAGGTTTTGAACACTGTGAATGGAGTTTACAGCAGATAAAATCAAATCTCTGAAGTAATTTCATTGTATACAGTGTGCTTTCTCAAGCAGTTGATCATACCAGCACTATTCTATGAGTTAAAAGTGTGAAGAAAGCTCAACAATAGTTATATTTTTAACTCTTCCTCTTTCTTCTTCCTTTAGATTTTGGCACTGATTGGATTTATCTGCATAGAAACCATCATGATGTGCTTGCCATGTGGTGGGGTGTACTTCTTTGAGTTTGTCAGCTGTAGTGCCTTTGTGGTCACAGGAGTCCTGCTCCTGATCTTCAGCCTCAACCTCCACACTAAAGTACCCCACATCAACTGGAACCTCACAGTAAGACATTCTTTCATATCTGTGGTTTGATAAAGAAGTAAAACTTGTATATGAGAGGTGCTGAGCTGTGATTAACATTGTTTTTAAGTCAGGCATGGGGAAAGAGTGAAAACTATGCATTTTCTTAAATTCTTTAGTGTTTATATTGGTAAATATCTTCATAAAAAAACCAACCATGTAATATCAATGTTAATAACGGAGAACAACAGAAGACCAATTATAGTATGCCTTGGTTTGGAGACCAAACCAGTTTTAATTAGTAATGCAATTTCAAATCAACTGTGAGTCTCATGAATTTTCTAGTTTTTCTACAGAACATGGCAATTTCAATTTACTAGATTTATGTAGAAATATCTTATTTTAAATATAAAAATAATGTATTGTTATGTATTGTTTATTAATATATATTTAATATTATGTATTATGTCTGTGAAACTTGAACGAAGAACTTTTTTGCAACTTGCTGTTAATCTAAGAAAAGCCTTACAATGCGAAGTCCAGCTGAACCCTTTTTTCACTAACCCATTTTATTTTTATCCTGAAGATCTGCGCTGTGAAGGCTCCCAAGTAAACGTTCTCATTAATATCCTGTATATTTTTTTTGCTTTGTAGGGAAAATTGAAAATATTGCTGCCATGGTTCGTTACAGAAGTTAAAAGTTATAGCCTGTGGTTGGGCTGAAGTTAAGATAAACAATGGCTTTTAAGCTTTTTAACAAATAGATACTGCTGCTGCTTGGCAAAGTTCTGTTCCAGGCCAGAGAATGCTAAGTATAACTTTTCATTTGTTCTGGAAAGGAACTCTCTTTTTTTCTGTCTGGATAACTCATTTGAAGACTTTCTGATTGTGTTTATGTCTTTAGGCTTTAAACTTGCTGGGTTGAGCACAGAAGCCTGTCTCGGCATTATTTATACAGAATTTATACATGACGCTGCACTTTCAGTGAAAACCGAGAGGGGCTCCTCATTTCAAGTTGTCTTGAAGTACTTTTCTGGTGCGGTTATTGCACGTTGGTGAAGTGTTTTGTAATTCCAGTAACTCCTCTAGTGTGGTTGTAGTAGGGATGCTTATCAAGGGGTCCCTGAGTGCCTGAACCAATTGAGGCACTTGCCCTACTGCAGTTGAGTTTTGGCAACCCGATGTTGTGCGTTTGAGCCCAGATAATGTCATCAGGATTCCCCAAGTGGTGGCACACATTTGGCCAAGTGCCCTTAAGGATTAGTCAGCCAGGGTTCTCTTGGCTCACACCAAGCACAATAGAGGGACCCCTGTTGCTTCCTGAGCTTTGAAGGTCCTGTAAATGAGGCACATTGCGCTTCTCCATTTGGCACCGAGTCTCTTTCACAGTAGTGTGCTGTATTAAAAGATGAGCGGCTTGAAGGCAGTAGTTTAGGGAGTCTCCCTGCCCCTCGTCATTCTCCCCGTGTGCTTGCAGCTTTTATAGTTGCAGTGTTGTGATCCAGTGCGTCAGCATCACACAGCTGGCATTTCTAGATCAGCTAGGCCTTTAACAAAAAAAAAACAGCCATTCTAAATGTAAAAAAAGCAAAAGTGTATGTCATATGGTATCATGTGAATGAGTATTTCTGTTATTTTTGGCAGAAAAAATAAAATTCCCTTCTTCAGCATGAAAAGTTGTTATTTTGGTTTGATTAGAAAGAAACATTTATATGTGTTACATGGATTTAATTAAGAATACAAATTGGGCTAGAAGACATTTCATCCTTCTAAAGGTTTTTGAATAACATCATATTTTAATGGCATTACTTATTTTATTTCTGTCTGTGCAAATGGAGTTGTTGCTAAAAGTACCCTCTTTAGCACATTCATAGAGGTAGTTAATTTTTTCATCTTTGTTATCCTACATCAGGGTACCCCAGTCCTCGTCCTTCTAGAGCAGATTTTCCAGATCTGCTTATAGCACCAGTATCTGAAGAGCTGTGAGAAGCTATTAAACTGGACCTACTAAGTCAATAGTGAGCTGGTTCAGGTTATTAAGAGCTCACCTGTAGTGAAAATCTGTAGACACACCAGCCTTGTCCCCAAGATCCCTGTCTTGCAGGAGCATGGTGCTCAGATGCTATAGTAAGTAGCAGTTAACATTTCTGCATGTCTTTGTCCACACAAATGAATGGTCCTGTTTTTATTTCAGAGGTAAGTGACCTTGAAGAAGTCAGTGTCTACTGCATGAACATCAAAGGTTAGCACCTAATAACTGTTATGGAGGATATTGTTTGTATGGAGCCTTGCACATAATAATATTTTGCACAAAATAATTGGGTGTCTTTTGTGTCCTTATTAGATGTTGATTTTTATGTCTTTCCAAGTACGTGTGGTAGATATGGAAATATTGTACCAAGACTATAATGAAAGAAAACATGAAAGATTCCCAAGAGTTCCAGTTCTAACTTACTCGGTCATGTGAGATGTGTTTCAACCCACATGCTCCAGTTACTGGACAAGATGTTTATCTTGTCAGGCACACTCACTAACAGCACTGACGGGTTCTAGTGACATGCAAGCTTCTCTGATTAATCAAAAAATATAGAATAAAGTCTAACGTTATTAAGGGCACGGAGCAGTTTTTGGAGGTGCATTTATAAAATGTTCTGGGTTAAATGTTGACAAGGATTTTCTAGTTCTCAGAATTTCTAGATCTGGAGACTAGCTTGCATGCCAAGTGCGTCCTAATAGCTGTAACAGATGTGGAGTTTAGCAAAACACACCGGACCAGCTTGCTTTTGCGGCATCGCATAAGCTATGGTGTTTTTGCCGTGTGCTTGGGATTCCTTGTAATTCATCATAAAACCCCTGCAGATTTGTGTTGTTGAGTAAATCCCTCTTCCTATTGCTTATTATATCCTCAAGGGGAAATCAGAGTTAGTCATTGTAATTAAATGGTAGGGAGCATTAGCATTAAATGATCTTCCCTCCAATAAACGACATCAGACGAAATCAAGGCACAGTGTTAAGCTTTCATTTACACGTGCTTCAACACAGAATTAGGAAAGTATCAAATATTCATGTTCCAGTGTTTTTTCTTCAGATAAATTCCATGGAGATGAGAATTAATAGCAGTGTGGTTGTGTAAATATTTTGACCTTCCCACGAAGTTCTCCATTGCCATTTAAAGTTTTTTTGCAGAAGCTGGGGGTTTCCTGTTCCCAGTCGTCTTGTGAAACAAAATATGTAGATTAAAAAAAATGACGGTGAAACGTTTCAGTGATCCCTTAAAAAGGCATTTTCAAAGGGTTCTGCAAGTTTGCTCTTGGATGTTTATATTTACATTTTCTGGTTGTGACTGACTCGTTGCATTACTCAAATTAAATTTTGCGTTTTACCATCCTTCTTTTCAATTTTTATTAGGAGAAGCCAAATAATTCTGTAATACCCAACAAGCCAACCACGGAGCCTGCAGGTTCTATTCCAGACTGCAGCTGAACCGTTTCATTCATAGTGGAGGGACGTTGTAGTGATTCCATTACTTTATGGCAAGGTAGTTAGGATCTCCAGCATGCACAAATGGCTAATCTTAAGACATACACTATAAGAGTGGCATTTTGCTATATTTGTTATATACATATATCTTAATTTGTTACGTATTTATGACTATACAATACAGTCAAAAGCTAGCATAAGTAAGATGTGAAATACAAGATAAAAACTGACATATATGCAGTTTTGTTTCTACTTTATAGATGTAGTGGAAAATCTGAGGCATCCTTAAAAAGACCTGTTATAATACCATTTTATTACTTTTTATTATTCTCTTTAAACAGGTACATACCCTGAAAGCACGTGGGTTGCATTGATGGTTGAATGGCTTTTCAGAATATTGATCTGCATACTGAGTGTATAGTACAGATGTGTTGCAGGAATACTTAGTGCTGGAATGAGAGCTCCCTGGAGCTTTTACACCAGCAGGTAATTTCATAAATCAGATGTTCATCTTCCTTCTGTTAGGGGTGACCAAAACAAAAGTGAATATTAATGAGGAACAATACTGTAAATCCTGTGAGAGCTGTATTGACTTTTTAATTGGTGTATATGGCCTTTTCATTTCCGACTGGAATACTTCTCTAAATGAATTAAAGCCTGAATAAACAACAGATATCTTGGGGAGCATTGTGCATTTGAGGTTTTACTGGTTTCGCATGATGGATGTGCAGTTTTTTTTCCTTTGCTTTGTAAAATCACACATACGCACAAAGGAATGTTCAAATACCTGAGAGTTACGAGCTACGTTATTGTAGGTCTCCCTTGGATGTCTTTTCAACAATTCTGTATAGCTTTTCTGCAGCCACAGCATAAGGTAACTGATCTGAAAAGCCCTGTGTTGGGGGGAATATTAGCAAAGTGGGGTGGGGTGTCATGTGAGACAGTATAAGCAATGACTTGCATTATGGCTCCAATCACATGATGATTACCCAAGTCATGCATTAATCCTTATTGCCTAGTTAGTTTTGTATTTAATCAGGAGGTTTCATCAATGCTTAGTGCCAAAGGTCTTTTTGTAACATATTGTTTATAATTGCAGTGAATGTAATGATTTAATTTTCCTTTAAAAACTGTAGAATTAAGGGGTTTTTAAATACAAGTGTTAAGCAGGGTTGGGTTATGTTGCTTTATGGCTTCTTTTATTTTTTTTCCCTCCCCCTCAGATGAAAGTCCAGACATAATTAAATTTTAAAGGCGCTTAGTAAAGGGAGAGAAAGAAGGCACTGCCATTGCAGAGATTATGGCAGCAGAACTGTAAATAACCTGTTGGGAAATGCGCTGTTGTAGCCAAGATTGCCTGTGTGTTAACAAGACAGTCTCACCTGCTGCTTATTTGATTTACACTGGCTTAGCTGAGCACGCTTGGCATTGGTGTAGTTTTTCTTCTTGGACAGAGGATTGACTTTTTTTTTGCTGGTACAGTATTTGCTGAAGCAGAACTTTACTCAAAGCTCTTCCCTCGGACTCGGTGGAGACTACAGCTCAATGCAGTGCCACCCCTGCCCCCTGTCCTTAAACCACATTCACCAGTCCCTCTCATGAGAGAAGGAAAAGATGTCAAATGCAAAGCTAACATGGTTGTCAGCTGGACTTTTTCAGTCTTATGTAATAAAAAGTATCCTACTGTAGGAGTGAACGTGTAAGGGCCTTGAAAAGGTCACTTATCTGCGGTCATATGAATTGCAGTGAATCAATTAATATTTTTCCTGAAATGCTGATACCATATTAAGGTACTGATAAAGATTGAATAATATGTACTTTAAAAGAAATTTTGTTACTGGACAAAAAAAAACAAATAGGTGATTTGGAGAATACTGGCGATACCAATTTTTTAAATGTTTGTAGAATAGAAAAGCTATTTTTGAATAGCCAGTCATTTTTTTTATTATATATTACTCCTAGCTGTCAATCAGTGGGCATTAACCAATATACAGTACCCCTCATATGATGATGGGAAAGACGAGGGCTTTGTATGCATTCCTCCAAACCAGTCACTGTGAGAGCCATCTGATATTTTTCAAACAGACCTCATCATCTGGAAGAGAGGTTGACCTCTTATTTACAACACTGCAGGCTAATAGGCAGACCGAAGGTCACAGCAGGGCACGGTTACTGACTTTGGTCACCCAGCCCTGGTTGGGCTTGAAGCATTGTGCACCTCTGCTTTAGAAATCCGAGAGATGGTTGGGTCATGGTGTAATCTGCAATATAGAGCACAACCTTCACTCCAAACAAGAGCCTTTCAAATCATGAGCCACCTGATGTGTTTAGATAATGCTAAAAAAAAGTAAGTAGGTATTTTTTAGGAAAGAATAAAGAAACTTTATTACCCTTGTGTATAATGTAGGATGATCAGCAATTGTTAACTTATGTGTTTCTTTGCAGGACCTGGTGAACACTGGAGCCAGTACATTTTTCTTCTTCCTGGCATCAATAGTCCTTGCGGCATTGAATCACAAGACCGGTGCCGAGATCGCAGCAGTGGTAAGAAGGAATTCATTCTTTTATCTTCCTGTAAAGACCCTGTCGCCAGAACAACAAGGTCCTGGAATTCTGAACTTGCTGACCTTTTAGAACGATCTAGTATTAACCTATGCAGTAGCTTTGGAGTTCAACAGCTGTCTGTTAAAAGCTCTGTTACTAATTCACAGGAATTAGTCCACCGGTACACAGGAATAAAGAAAACCTCTTGCTGGTGTTTCATATAGCAGTTTTCAGTCAAAGGCTATCTCTTCTCAAGAGGAAGTATGTTGTATCTCCTAAAGGCGGAACAAAACTCTATGCACATTAACAAAATTTATCATAGGTACATGGCAGATGTTTTCTTTTTTGCAAGTTTTGAATAGATTTGTCATAAGAAAAAGCAAGTGCTGAGGTAAAGGTTTATTTCCAATAATTAATTCATACTAATAAGGTACCCTTTATTAGCTTTAAACAGAAACATAATGAAAAATAACTACGAATCAAATCAAACAGCAACATTTGTGGAACTAAACTCTTCATAAATCTTAGTAACTCCTAAAACTGAAATGCAAAACATAGTAGTGTAATAAAAAATCATGTCCAAGTGTAAATACTGCCCTCTTGTGTGTAAGAAGCTGTATTACTAACAGCTGTACAGTATGTGATTGGAATATAACGTCAGTTGAGCTCCTTCCATAATTTTTTTTAAATATTAAAATATGCCTGAATTAAGTATTCGTGAAAACAAAGTATGTTAAAGACACTGGGAACTGATGACTACTGAAGTTGCCCATATAGAATAAAATCTGTAAACAAATACAAATCTGTATAATCTGCTGATGTAATTTTTTATCAAGCTATAAATTATCCAATTACTTTATTGTTGCTGTTGTTATTTTTTTCTTTTTCTCAGAGTTAGCAGAAGCTTTATTTGTTTGATACTGGGTGTTCTTTAGTTTTGCCAGAATTTGTGCTGAGTTGTTTATTATACAGATGTTCTCAGCAGGACACTGAAGTGTAACAGACTGGAATTTTTGTGCTTGAAAGCTGCCATTAACTTGGAGAACTTTAAAGCATTCCTCCTGCTGTGTCTAGTTCTAATGCAGTTTTTATCAGATATGCAGGTTTTGGTAGGGGAATGGAACTACAAGGTTTATTGCTTTTTTAAAATAATATTTTCCATTCAGAGCTGCCGCAAGGAATCAACATACATCATTTAGTTATGGGGTAACAAAATTAGTGGACTCGGTATTAGAAAATAATGTTTTCTAATTGATCACTGTGCTTACAAATATTCCATTTTACTTACAAAAACCTGCAAGTGACCTATATTATACACTTCTAGGGAAGCGCATTGCTGCTATCAAGAAAAAATGTGCTATCTCATAATTGAGAAATTGTTATTAAGGGATATTACATTCTCAGATACTTTATGTGATAATCACACCATAGCACAATCATCACAATAATTTTGTGGAATTATCATTAGATGGCGTTCAATTTAAAGCAGTGGAATTGATTCCATTGTTAGTCGGGTTGACACCCATTATGTTTGAGAATAAGTTCAACTGTCCTCGTGGTTATGATTGTGTTCGCATTAGGTACAAATTGCAGCATTTCATTATGCCTGAACCCTAGTGGAAAGTCTGTCTGTGTACATTCTGCAGCACTGGACACAGTCACAAACACTAAACCCTCAGTTCCAGCCAAGCTGTCATTGCTGTCATTGCACAATGTAATATAGGTTGTCCATGTACTCAAATAATAATTGCTATCATTGCTAACTACGAGATAATTTTCTCATAACCAGATAGTGCATGAAATATGTTTTTCCTTGATGGCAGCAAATCTCTTCCATACATATTGTAAAACTCACATTTGATATGTGTAAAACCTGCAAGTGAAGCTGTAGAAGCTTTTAAAAAAAGGACACTTTAATTTGTCTGTTGGTTATACTTTTAAAATTATCCTTTAATGAGAAAATAACAAAACAGACTATAAACACACCTTTCATGTGAATTTCTCTTGTAAAAAATCCTGTCATAGCATTAATTTGTCTTTGTAAGGATGTCTTTGATCATCTGTGTTTTCTTAACTTCAATCCTTTCAACATATATGCACTCAGATGCAGTGCTTGGATTACTAAGTAGTCTGGACATCCAGCCAACAGCAATATCACTCTGCAGCTCACAACTGGCAATTCACTGAAGCTCAGCGGGTGTGAGCCTGGCCAGTACCTGGATGGGAAAGTTGAAGTTGCTGCTGGAAGAGGCGTTAGTGGGACCAGTTGGGTGTGCTCACCCTGCAGTCTATGTGGGTCCTAATGCCCTAGTACAGTGACCACTGTACTGTAAAAAAAAGCGCTGTCCTTCAGATGAGACGTTAAACTGAGGTGCTCTGTGGTCTTTAAAAATCCTAGGGCTTTTCACGAAAAGTGTTACCTGGCCAAGTTTCCTCCTGGTCTTTCATGGCCTCCTAATATTTTCCATTCTATGAATTGGCTTCATTACTCTGTTCTCCTCCCCATTGATAGCTGGTGTGCGATGAGTGTACTGGCGCAATTTGTTTGCTGACGCATCATCCAGGTGGGGGCTACACACTGGTGGTGGAGGGGAGTCCCCATTACCTGTCAAGTGCTTTGAGTGGAGTGTCCTGCAAAGCACTATAGAAATGTAAGGAATTATTATTATGAGTGCTTACTTGCCAGTGGAATATCGTCCTTGTCTTTTACCTCCGTGGCTCCTATTTATCATTCCTGGCAAAATCTAAAGAATAAAACTGCAGAGATGAAACAATTCTGTAATTACTGTGCTACTTTCCCTAGATATTTGGGTTCCTTGCAACAGCTGTCTACGCCTACAACACCTTCCTTGCTGTAAAGCGATGGCGCCTCAGGGATGTTCGGGCCGGCGCCGTGCAGACCAGTGAGTACACACGTGCTCGGACAGCGTCCCGCGGGGAGATGGAGACCCAGCCGGAGATCCAGTGATGTGACTCCCGAACCCGAGGTGGGCCCGGGGGGGTGAACAGAGAGAGTCTAGCTCTGCCATGGCTACGCGGGCCTCTCTCTGTCTGAAAAGGAGACCCGTCTGAGATCACCAGTGTGTTTGAATGAAAAGAAGAAAAAAAATCTCTCGAGGAACTATATTGTTTTGCCGTTTTGGTAAAAAAAAACCATCTTTATGAAGGAAATCTTGGGAATGCATCAGTTTAATTATACATATTTGGATGTTGCTGTTTTTTCAGTGCTGCTTTAATATATCTTGCTTTGTTACTGTTCAAAGGCATTGCTGCCTGGGCCAGATTCTTTTTATACATTATTCTCCTTCACATGTTTGAAGAAGAGCACGTACACACATGTACAGGGTGCTGCAATGAATATGTATTTTATAGCTGAACTGAATATCCCTGTCCAATTTTAAAAATGGAACTACAAAAGTTTCTTTTTATAAATATGCTTTTATTGCAGTTGATTTGACAGTTTAAAAATTATGCCTTAAGATACTTTTAGTAACAACAGCAGAATGTTTCTCTTGAATAGATATTCTCAAAATGTGGTCTTAATCAGTTTCCCAAGAGAAGAAGACTTATCCGGTAGAAAAAGAACTGTGATGTTAAAGAAAATCATTGAATCTGATTCAGTCATTTGATTGAATCTCTTGGTACCTTATTGTGATGCAAGAGCAAAATGGTACTATGAAAATGTGTGCTGTACATACCAGTCTTTAAAAAAAGGGCACTGATCCAGTGTCTCAGGATGCTCCAGGAGGAGCTAGTAAACTATTTTCTGCTTGGTGAAAAAGAATTTAAGGAGAAAGGTATGACAGATGCCTTATATTAGATGAAACTGCAAGACCATGCCATTAATTATAGGATGTCCATTGGTCCAATCAGGTGCCTTTTCCAAACAAGACAAAATGTCTACTTTACAGCACAAACATTCCCCGTTCAGTTCTTATAATTATAATTTTCACTCTAAAATTACACTCACAGTGACCTATAACATGTATTTCATAGTAGACCATTACACATTGTAGTTGTAATTGAACGGAGAACTATTGCTATTCTTAGATGTGGTTCCCAGCCCTGGTCCTGGTTGAACACCAGCTCTGCTTGTACCCATTCCAGATGAGCTCGAAATCTCCATTGCTAATTTGTTTCTTGTTTTCTTTGGTCAGTCCTGATTGTGACAGATACCCTACTGCAAGGGTGTTGTTTCCAGCAACTTCAGCAAACAGAACTTTACACAGTCTGTCCTCAATTTGCCTGCTATTATTTCTGCTCATGTCGTTTTTTTACTAGATGATCAATTAATGATTCACAGACTCAGGTGAGAATGACACTGTTAAGCTACAATAAACGTTGTTTCTAAATGCAGAGCAACAAAATGGTTAAACGTCAGGCAGCACACCTAAATGAGGGTAGTTCTGAAACTTAGAAATTGGTACAGGCATGTAGCTGTAGGCACTTTCACAAATATTCCCCAAATAGAAATTAATTAGATAATAATTAAGAACTTGACTAGTACAAAAGGCAGAAAAGAAAGTGTTCCTCTAGGATGAGATTTGGAAACCATTTTTAGGTGATGGCTATTAATGAATCAATCCCAGATAGCTTTTTAGAATATTGTGGAATATGGATGTTTTGGGGGTGTATTAAAAAACAATACTTATTTTCTACTTGGTGATTGGGTATTTTGTATTTGGGTGTTCAAAGCAAATTATTGATGTAAAATTTACATCCAAAGTCTTTCATTAATCCAAGCACAATTTAAAATGTAAAATTTTATTAATAGTTTAGCAGGTGATTTGACAGTACATTCATTAAAATAATTAAATGGAATGGTTATAAGCATTCACTCAAATGAAATGTCAATACTCAATGCCTTTTCTGGACAAATTTAGGAAACACTTGTAATAATAAGTTGTGCGCTCTTGTTTGTACTGATATTTTTTTTAAATTGTATTGTTTTGTTTTTTCTTTTCAATATCCAGTAATACCAGCTTTATGGTAAGATATTTTTGGTAAGTTTTTTTTTATTATTTTGATTATTTGTATATCTGGAATGTAATAAGGGAGAAGAGTCCCCAATTAGCTCTAGCTGATGTGTATTTATTGCTCTCTGTATAACACAAATATGAAGTCTTTTTTTCATACTTTTTTATGGAAGCATTCTTGAAGGATTCCAGAGATGTCTCTTGCTTCACCTTAGGTGCCTTAAAAACTACAGGCTATATAGGGGAGTTGGTACCAAATTGAACTGACAACTAAAAGTACAGCATGTTATTAACACTATTTAAATTCAGTATCTTGTTATAAAATGTATTTATTTTATTAAATTATATCGCTTTAGGAATACAGCAGACCAAATCTGAAGTTCTATTACCTCTGAAGGCGGTAAATTGTCTACTATGGTTCTAAGCAGCAAATATAATACAAGCACAGGGTTCTCTATATTTAAACCAAAACTAAATTTCTCTTCTGTTATAATGTTTAATGTTCAGTACAAAATGCTGTCTAATAGAACAAATGGCACGTAAATTAGCATAAATTCTTGGAATGGTTACAGTGTTAACTTTGTACGAAACAATAGTGAAGTGAGCCTTGGTTAGTTAAACTCCACATTCTCAAACATATCATACAGAAAATCATGTGGAAGGACTCTTTGCTGAAAATGGGAAGAGAAATTCTGAAGCCAGCTAATAAACTGGTTGGCTGCTGAAGTCAATTTAGGATCGGTTATGAAGGAGACATTTCATGAGCAGTGTCTTAACAGACAGATGAGGTACTTCTTTTTTGTATAGAAATACTATTAATCAATGAAGGATTTGTTTGCTGCATACAACTGTATCAATTATTTTAAATATATTTTAAATCTGCTTTAAAACATAACATTAATTATCCTGAAATACATCAGGATATGATTTTTCATAACTAAGGGCAGCCTTGCATCTATTCATTAATTGTTTTACAGTAATTGCAGTGCTTTCTAAGACGATGCCAAGATTTGAGGCAAAACAGTTCCAATTCCTTTTGAAGGTTCAGATAACTTAAAAATGCATGTATTACTTTCACATACAGGATTTGATTTCTGCCTCCTAATTAAGGAACCTCATTACCAGCATTTATTGCAGAAAACCTAATTGGTGCTTTAGGATTCATGCTGAAATGTCTGTAGTAGACTCGGTTAAAAAAAAAACCATGAAGAAAATGTATTGATACAATTTTTATTTAAATGTCTGGGTTTAGGATTTTAGATAATATCTTGAACATCATACATAATCTTCCCTCAGTTTAACATGGGATGTAATTTTTTATGTTAAGTATTAAACTGGTACTGATTTCTTTTTCTCTGTCTGACAAATCTGTATTTTTGTATTTATAGAATCGTGTACTTCTATTGACATTAATCACTGGTTATTAAATTGTGATAAAACATTCTCTTTCAATAAACTGATCTGCCATTGTATTTTCTTTTTGCACTGCTTATTTAATGCTTAATTTCTGTGTACTTTACAAGAGCTCACTTTTCTCACGTACAGACCAGCTGTGGTATTTATGCATAATTCAAAATGAAGAGAATATGTCTTTGAAAACTGGAGGTCTGTTTTGCTGCTGGAGTAAAACTGCAAATCCTGAAAAATAACCAGGAGTGAAGAAAGACACAGACAATGATTTTCATAAAAATTATAAGTAATGTTTACTTATTTTTTGGCATTGTGAACAAAGTTTCATTAGTTTTTTGAGTGGCTCTCTAAAACTACTCTACAAGCAGGTCACAAAATAATTCACCGTGACAGTCAGCAAGATGTGGCTCTTGAACCAAAACCACAACATGCAACTTTTTACCAGATTACAGTAGATGAATTGCATGAGAAAAACCTTGATATTCTTGAAACTGTGGGCTTTCAACCATGTGTCTGTGACCCCCATGGGGATTCTGGGAACAAAGATGTTTTGCATTTCAAGTCAATTAGTGTGTCAAATCATTCTTGCCTTCTTAGTCATGGTGGATACATTGAGCTGCAGTTGTGCATTTATATTACTAGTTATAAAAATGTAACTTCTTTTTAAGTTCTGGTCTTTACTGAGGGGGAACACTTGAAAAGAGATCCTCAGTTCAAAAAAAGGCTGGATACCCCAGTTCTAGATCACAGGTAACAGATAGGTGAATAAAATGCAGTTAAATGATAATTCTGACATTTTCTAAACAATCTAATATCTAAATCTAATATTAACTGCATTTTTGGGAAGTGGCATTTCTTTGCAAACATTAGTGGTACTTTTCCCACAGAGAAAAAAATAGTCTCTTACAAACATTCAAAACTATATAAAACAACATTTACAAAACCCTGAAAGTGCTTCAGATAGTATAAAAGGCAGATTAAGGCACCAAGTGGAAGGCAGCTGTTTCTTTAAAAAAACGAAGTATTAAGTACTGAATAACTGGAGAAACGATTAATCACAAGCTTGAAAGCATGACCGTTACTTTCATGAGTTATAAAATGCAAATATATTGTCATAAAAATCATGCCTACCAAGTTTGACAAAAACTGAGTCCTGGATTCAGTTCCAGTCTTTCTATACAGCAGATGGTGAAGCCAGCAAACCAACTGCAAAACATTTTTTTCCTCAAAGTTGACTTTAGTAAGTCAGTTAATAATCAGAATAACACTACATAGCTTATTGGCTTGATCCAACAACAAAGTCGTATCCCTTATTATAGACTGAATTTTATGTTGGGTTCTATAGTTTAACAAGTACTTTAATCACTATACAATGCTGGTGGTTTATCAATATGTTTGAAACCTATTACACATCTTATACAAATATAAGAAGGATATATTTAATTGTAAACACATTAGTTAACAAAAGAGTTTGGTTTATATATCTGGCCAACAATGTTTTTGGACACTTTTCACTGTGGTAAATGTATTTTTATATACAATCTATCATTCATGTGCCGAAAAACATAATTGGATAACCATGATTGCCTAACATTCATAAGTAAAGGTTATTTAATTAACTTAGTAAATTAGTTCTACCAAGGCTTGATTTTATGAAACATTCAGTCCTGGTGAAATATCTCCCAAATATGTAACTGTAGACTATTACTATTATTAATCAAGTAGAATTACCTTTGGATTAAGGCAAATATCTAAAAATATGTAAACTAGTGTCATCCAACTTTATTCCACCCCCCCAAAAAAAAACACCTTGACAGTACTGATTACATACTGGAACAGATTCACAGTTTCAAAGCAGGGCGGTTGGCATACAATCAATTTTTCCTCTTCGTCCATGATCCTATTTAACTGGAAAAGCAAACTGTTCTTTGACTAGTGCACTGGGTCAAAGTTGCATATGCAAAATACAGTAAAAGGTGTTTGATCAGGTGTTTTTTTTTACATAGGCTACCAATCAAGAACTGACAATAAACAAAAACGTTTTATTATATCCCATCTTTAACTACCCATCACAAGAGAAATGGTGCTCTATACCATATGTATTAATGTGCCCTGTTGTAAAATGTTAAACTGTAGCAAGTACCAGTGGCAGGAACTTAAAATAGATTTCATAAGCCCCTGTGGCACTCGTAGGATGAAACTTGTTTGGACAAGCTTACTGATTTCCTCGTGGATCTGTTTCTGGATCACGACTTTGCCAGGATCGTTCTAATTGAGCTGCGTCTTGGGGATTTTATTGGAAAGCAGGAGGTGGGGGGGGGCAGTAATAGATGGAGTTTAATCCGAATCCGAATCCGAATCTTCATCTGCAACCAAAAAAAAAGAGAAAATGTTCCAAAAGTGAAACCACAAAAAAGTGTGACACTTCTTCCATCCTAATTACTGCGTATCTGCTTTTTGTGGAAATTAAGGAAGTTGCATCACACATACAGTACAATAACTTGTACTACACAGCTGCAGTTTAAAAACACTCCTGAAATTACTGCAAAAAAGCCAAACTTAATAAACATCAGTTTTTACAGGAACTTGTGATACCACAGCTTTTTTTAGACTGCATGATGCTCAATTATTTTTTAAAAAAGGTTATTTTAGAAAGTTATGTGCTGACATAGACTGCATGTGTCTGTGGATTAAATGAGAAATATGACAAATGTGCATTTACAGCACGTGTATTATTAAAATCATCAGCTATTCAATTTTTGTGTTGCTTATCCCATTGAAACAATTTTTGCATATTGTTTTATCGTTCATTAACTACAAAGGAGTACAGGACTGGTTATATTTAATCACATTAATGGCACAAAGCCTTCCTTTTACATTTGCTGTAGAATAATCGCTACACATTTGCTTTTGTGGTTTTTACGTATGACAGAAGAAGGTTACATGGAGGTTTCCTGATATACTTAGTTTCAGTTTGAGATAATATGTTGGCATTACCATCTGATTGTTATTCTGAGTTTGTCTATACTCCAGATGTAATTTATCCCATACAGCGTTTTAGTGGGGAAATGGAAGCAAATCTTCAACGGTTGTGAAAAAAAAGTTTCTTCCCTCATTTTCATACCCCTGTTTGTATTTCTACTATTTTTTTAAAAAAAGTTAAATGTTTCCTACCTGCACGGGGCTGCTCTGGGGAATCACCTTGCTTCAGAAAATTAGCCAGCTCATTAAAGATAACATAGAAATGTAACGCAAAAACTATGGTGGCTATGAATCCAAATACCTGCAAAGAGAGCATGCAAGTGAGTTGTAACATCATTGAGAGACAGTAAAGGGTCAAAGATGCAAAAAAGAAGCACCTTTTATATACAGTCATGCTTGTACAGTCATATATGCTGGCCCACATCACATATTTCCACACAGGAAAATGTATATTTTGATTTGTATACTTAGCACAAAAATCTGTATTGTGTATCATATAAGCTAAAAAAAAAAAAATGTATAAAACAAGGATATTTGTATTAAATTCATTTGTAACTATCAGGCATACTCACCCCACCTGCCTTAGAAGCCCCATCTTTATACTTGGAGACTGAGATTATGGAAATAACAAAATATATAATTGAAGCACTGACACAACGTAGAAAATCCTACAGAGAAAAAAAAAATAAAATAAAATAATGCACCCATTGTAAAAACACCAGATATTAGGTTAGCCATGTAGACTGCATAAAACCCCTTTGTCTCTCTGCTTTAAATGTAGTAGGCTATCATCTAACCTGAAACATATAGCAATACTGCAGTCACTTGAGGCCTGTATGTACCCAGGTAAATGTATAGAGCAGTCACCTGAGGCCTGTATGTACCAAGGTACAGTAAATGTATAGATCACTCACTTGGGGCCTGTATGTACCCAGGTAAATGTGTAGAGCAGTCACCTGAGGCCTGTATGTACCCAGGTACAGTAAATGTATAGAACAGTCACTTGGGGCCTGTATGTGACCAGGTACAGTAAATGTATAGAGCAGTCACTTGAGGACTGTATGTGACCAGGTACAGTAAATGTAAAGAGCAGTCACTTGAGGACTGTATGTGACCAGGTACAGTAAATGTATAGAGCAGTCACCTGAGGCCTGTATGTGACCAGATAAACGTATAGAACACTCACTTGAGGCCTGTATGTTACCAGGTAAATGTATAGAACCAGCCAAGCATACAGAGATGTCATTTTGACCGTGTACTGTATGTTGCAGTATAAACAGAAAGACTCACCATCAGAGGCCAGTGGAAGCTCTTGAAGCGTTCATTAAACTTGGTGGAGTAGGCAAAGAGCAGAAAAAGGGCCAGGAGGAACTCGATCAGCGGGGCTGTCACAAAGGCTGCGGCTGTTGATGCCACAAAGCAGATGAAGATGATGAAGGACAGAGCCTGAGACAGGAAGAGTCAGTGAACCCATGGTAATGTAAGCTGTAGCCGGGGTGACTGGCAAGAGCAATAGTCACACAGATGCAACCTGATACATTAGCACTCTCTTTGTGATTACTGTGCATAAATACTGTTAATATATACTGTTTAGATATGTTTAATTAATTCTTTCTGATGACTCAATTGTTACACTGGACAGGTATTATTGTAGAGCTGTATTTTTCTGCATGTGCAGTATTTTCTAAAATAATTCTTGGCATTCTAGGTGAAACATCATGACTTTGTCTTCGTGGTACATTGAGGATCTGGTGTTTTAAAGCTAATGCCAGAAAACTAAAAAGGTGACCTTAAGATGAATAAAAAAAATAGAAAATATCACAAATAGGTCTTTGTGTATCAGGAAAATGTCAGAATCCCTCTAAAGGGCCAAGCTCAGTCATGAAATCTGCACAGCCTCAAACAATGACAGTTATAATCTGCAAGCTGGTTGATGGTAAACAGTGTACATGTACTGTATGTTGACAACTCTGCAGTTTAAAGCTATGCTTGTGTTTCACTTTGGTGTCACACAATCACTGACTGAATACAAGGCTTATTAAAGCCAAACAAACACTGAACAGATGTTAATAGGCAATGCTGTGTAGTGTAACTGCAAAACTACTTCCTCTGTACAAATTTTAAATTGTTACTTTGCAAACAGCATGGAGAATCAGGTAGCAGTAATGAAAGTGTGACACCTGGGATTCAATCCACTTTCGGAACGACAAAGGATAAATATTTTCTGTCATCTTGAGGAAATTCTTCTTATAGAGTTCCTGGCAGAATTCTATCACTAGAGATATTTAGCTCCTTGAACATAATTTAAATGAATTATTGCACCCAAAGACAAAGCAAGCAAAGTGCTTAAGATTGATATATTTTATATACTAAGATATATTAAGAAAATTAACTGTTAAGTAAAAGCTGAACTACATCATTTACAGAATATCCCATGCATTCAAGTTTGTACTACAGTGAAATATATATATATATTATTTACTGTGTTTACTTCTTGATTGGGTCTAATTCACATGCAGGACTGTTCAGTTTATTACAGCTTTCCTGGTCCTTGAATTATTTCCACTTTTGTCATACAAACCCACCACTACAGATCGCTCAATAATCTGTAGAACAGAAGCAGTGCAACAAAGAAACACAAACAGCAATTTGAAGTGTACCACAGAATTCTATATTTTGTTATAAACACATTAAATATTTACCAAAACAATTTCAAAGTGTTCAAACAAGATACTCGGATTAAAGCAAGGACTTTATCCTGTATCCTTGAATAATTCCACAGTGTGTTTCAGATTTGGAGCTGTAAGCAACATAATGCATAAACTATATTTATAATTAAGAATTATCAATCTTTTTTAAAAATGCCTGTTGATATTTAACTGTACATAATAAAGTCATAATATGTCATCTCCATCAACACTAGGAATTAGGAATTAATCTTTTTCCTGATGTTATTTGTCTTTTCCTGTATTGTACTTAGTGCTTTGCAGCTTTACTATAGGACTTTTTTTCCAGTAAAGCCCAGAAGTCATATACTGTAAATCTCTGCTTTGAATGCTCAAATTATTAATGAGAATCTGACTCTGCTGAGGTAACTGGTCAACTTAAGATCTATGCACAAGCAACAGAAGAATAGTGTAGTACACATTGGAGTCAAAAAGAAAAATGATATGAAAGAGCAACGCTGAGGATTTAAACTACTACTTTCACGTGTATTTTGTCAAATCAAAAGCTACATATCTTAAGGGACCTTTTGGGCGGATAACATATATGACATTTAGAAGACTTCCTTTTCTCTCCTGTCCTCGCTTAATTTGTACATACTATACAAAGAGTACGGTACACAGTATATTTTTTGCAGGTGAAGTGAGATTTTCCTACAGTAAGACAAGCAGACCAACACCTGGCAATCACAGATCTTAAGAAAGCATCGTAAACTTTCTTGGTTACACTTTATTCACATATACTGTGACCACTAACACAGACCATGTGATCTCTAAATACCCCCCCGCCCCCACCAGTTACATTTAAATGTAGCGAAATGGCGTTGTGTAGCATGTAGAAGTTCAGTGAAAAGGGGTTGTAGAACAAGGTAAGGAAAAGGCACCTCTTGAGTGTTTAATTACAGTTATATGGACATTTAAACATCGAGCAAGTGGTACTAAATTCACTGCAACTGCAACATTGTCGCTTCACGTTTTTTTTTGTTTCCTAAAACGTGAACGAGATTGTCAGAAATACCACTGAATATACAACAGGCATTAGTGCTCTAAGAGTGATGAATAATGCCTTTTATAGAAGCAGTAATAAGATAACAATGCAGGATTTAACACAGTTTTCACAGAATGTAAAAGAGATACCCGAGCGCTTTAAGTTTACAAATTGTAAACTGTAATACAATTGTTCTCACATTTACATGTTTTTGTTTCATAGGAAGAGATAATTAATCTGTTCTGCATGTACACTTGGGAATCTTTCTAGAGATCATTAATGATAAGGCGCCACTCCCGATGCTCCAATGGAATAAAAAAACCGCAAAAAATAAACTTGACAGAAGAGAAGAAAATTAAGGTCTATCGTGTTTCCAATTAATTTCAGTGTTTTTATTCATGTACGAGTTAGAAAACTATCTTGTGGTTGTAATGTTGATTAGAATGTATTACTAACAGCTATTAGTAGCAACAGTTTAGAAAAGAAAACAAGAAAGGTGACAGAAAACAAGATCTGCTGACAGTATTTTAAAGAAGATTTAAATAAATAAATAAGTTGTACCACTTCAGCTGTAAGGAGCAATCCTCTTCTTGAGGTGACGAAAGCTTTGTCTGGGAGGAGAGCTGATATGCCAGCCTGGCGAGAACTGGTCGAATCGGGAGACTCTATGTCTCCCATAACGGCAGTTCAAAAAAGCAAAACAAAAGTTAAATATTCAAGCGAAGTTGCCTGCTATATAGCAGAGTCGTCTGCAAAGCAACAAATGAATCACTTTCTTCTGAATTTAAGGTGGAAACGGAAATCATGACACTGCGGAAACGTAAAAAAAGCGCAACATCTGCATTCTTCAAATCTGGAGACAGGGCTGTTAAGGATGCCTCATGGCTTGATGGGTAACTGGCCTCTTGTTTTTAACTTAACTGCCTATGGTTGAAATGAAATACAATTATGAAAAAAAATATCACTCTGCTTTGTCACGGACTTCGTGTTAGGGTTCTGCAATCAAATGCAGGTTGAGAATGCAATGGTCTGGCCTCGACACAGAACAGCGTCTTATAATTTTAAAGTCGTCATTGCTATTGATTATTGTTGCAGTTATCCTCATTGTTGTTGTATAAAATGTATACTTGTAACAGACATAAGCAGGGTAAAATGTTGTCTCTATATGTATCACTTCCATATTTCTGAGGGAACTGCAATCTGTTATTGTGTCATTGAATCACCTCAGTTTAAGTATTTACCCTCCTCCATAGTCCTGAACACTTATACATTCATTGAAATGTAGCTGCCTTATAGCTTTTCTGTTCTTTTAAAGCATTAAAATGTTGAAAATGATATAAGTATATATATAACATATATATAAGTTAAAGTTAACAAATTAAAATAATTAGGTTTAAAATAAATATTAAAGCTTTTTTTAAATATTATGGAATGTTTAAGTCACAACAATGAAGTGTTGCTATCATATACGGAATTATTCATGTTCAGTATTAGGCACAGAATGTACTGTTAAAGACACATAATGTAGCCATTGTGTAGTATGCATTTATTTATGAAGTTGATAATTTGTGCATTTACATTATTATGAAAGAAATAAAACTTATTCACATTCAAAAGACATACAAAGCACCAAGAATATGCACTCCTTCCATTCAAAACATTACAATGCACCACATTAATGCATTGCACAATACCAGGGTAATACAGTAAGTGGATAGTCTTTTATGTTATTATTGACTGAAGTTTACACTGGTTTTGGTCTATTTTAAGATTACCTGCAAAGTTTGATTTCAGGGGAGTTTTCTACATTAGGATGGGGATAATGAAGCCTAATACAAAATTAAAAGAATGGTTCCTCAAATATACCTAACAGATATCATAGATAGTTGACAACTCATGACATAAACACAGGTCTTCCAGACGCTTGGTGCCGATTATTTCACTCCAGAGACTTCAGTAGTTCTTGGCTGGTTGAAAGTTATTCTCTTGAAGAACAGATAAGCATCCACTGACCAGAGAGCTGCTGCTATTAGTCCCACAATCTGCAAAAGTACAATAAATGTCTACTGAACAGGAAACACAACGTTAGTTTTTTTACTGTACAAACCAAAATACAATAAACTGCATCTGGCAGATCAGAAAACCAAAGGTTCCTAATCTTTAAAATGTGCATTCAGGTTAGTAAGAGATTTAAAAAAAAAGTTTCCATTCACACTTACCCCACCACCCAGGGCTCCTTCCGCTGAGTACGTAGTAAGAGCAATGACACTCAGAATAAACACAAACAGTGCTGCAAAGGCTGAGTTAAAAATATCCTGTAAAAGCACAAGAAATCATGTGTTATTGCTTATTTGCACTGGGGGCAGAAAACTGGACATGACTGCTTTGCAATACGGATATGATCCTTACAATAAGAGGCCAGAAGATAAAAGTGATCTTCTTGTTGAGCTTCAGCAGGAAAAGGAGGAAGAGTGCGAGAGTTATTACGAACTCCATGCAAGTGGCTGCGATGTAGGGAGCTCCACGTGCTGTTGCGAAACACACAAAGGCTACGAAAACAGTCACCTGGCACAAAGAGAACCGACAGTTAGAGGATGCCTTTTTACTCCTCTTTTATACTCTATGCTGAAACCCTAAACAGATGACATAACAACAAATATTTGACATCAGATTTAATTCAAGAGCGTTATGTTAAAATGTCTAATGGCACAGCAAGGCCTCATTTAGAATATTATGTACAATTTCCACATTATATAACGCATATTGCTGCTTTGAGAACCCATCCAGAGAAGAGCAACCAGATAGACTGAGGGACTTAAAGGAATGTCCTACATTGACAGGTCGGTGAAACTGAACTGTTTTAGTTTTGAAAACAGAAGATTACTTGGGGATCTGCTGTAATTCTTCAGGATCAATAGTGAATCCCAAACTAGTGAGAATTGTGTAGAAGTGTATTTAAAACTGAGAACAGGATGTACTTCTGTATCTGGAAGGTCATGGGAGTAATGGAACAAGTTATCCAGTCATGTTGTTAAAGCCAGTAATGTGGTTCCTTTAAAGAAACAGCTGGATAAGTTCCTTGGATAAACCAGCTGCTAACTACAAAACAAGCGGAATGATCTCTCGATTGTAACCTTTCTTATGTTCTTAAATAATGATCTATCTATCTATATATATATAAAATGACAAAGCAAGTTTATCCAAATTAGCCTAATAAAATATGGCTTTTCTTCCACCTAATGAATGTGTACAGTATTATATATAATTCAGCTTATTGTAGGTAACTAATGTATAACACGCATGAAATGTGCTTGAGCTCTCTTTCTTCACAATATGAAATGCCAAGAGCTCCACTAGAGGGCAATATTCTCTGTCACATTTCATTATTAGAAGAATATTATTTTATAACAATACTTTCATTATTAAAATATGGGGAATATTTCGTTGCTGATGTATTTATCAGGCTTTGCTATTTTTATATAATATTAGCTCAGCAAAGCTGCATTATAGATAGGGAAAATAACAATAACTGTGATCAGAATGCTTTATCTGATCACAAAACACAGATAATTACTGTCTCCTAGAATAAAGACATATGTACTTTCATCTTCTTCCATTCTAAAAAAGTAAAAAGAAACACTGGAATTAAAAAAATAATGAAGAAGAGCAAGTTTCAGTATCAGAACATTTTCAGTAGTCTTGTTAGTGTTTACCTTTTTAAATGTCCTGTGAGACTAAGTTAGTAAACCGAATTTTAATGTCTACAGCTTTGTTTTGTGTAGAACAACATAGACATTAATAACGGAATATAATACAAACTGGTAGGGTTGATAAGAAGTTATTAGGAGGCAGAATAAAATATATTTTATAACCCATACGCTTGACAGAGAACAGAAGATTTGTTATACTTGATCTCAAATCACCAAACCTCACTTTACACTTCTATAATCCAGAACATTTTAAACACTTCTTTCTTTAAAGTTAATTTTATTGGTCTTTTAGATGTCAAGAGTTACAAAATAACATAATACATAATGCTCCTGTAACAAAAACTCTCAGATAAAAGATACACAATGACCCTAACAACTATAATTGTAGGCTAGATGACAGCTTGTTTACTTATTGAAAGCAATGCAGATGCCGTTAACTCATCTTTGCCTGCACAGATAAATACTTATAGCTGGGGTAGTTCAAATACTTTATGAAATGCATAATACATGTGTAAAATCTAAAGCGAAATTAATAAATCGTATTAATTGTATTATTTCTTACCATCTCTGAAACTTTAAGAATACCTCTACGAGATTTAAGAAAGGTAAAATCAATTTCCATGGCGAATAATTTTACTGTTGCACAATAAACTCTTCTCAGAAATATCTGCCTGTCTTAAACCTATTTCCTGATTGTTCAATTTCCTTTATCGCTGCGGTAACAGGAATTTATGAGCACAATTTTTATTTTTTGTTTCTACAGAGCACGTAGCGTATTTAGTATTTGTGATCTAGTTGTAGGTGTCACATCTTTTACACTTTAGAGCACTGTCGAGGTCTTAGAAAGGAAGACTGTTAACTCGGTTTAGTGGCTGTGGTTGAGCCAGGGAACTTTCTAAAACTGTTTTCCTTAAGCATTTTTTTACGTTGTTAATTAAATTCTAAATATAACCATATGAACTGGTGATCTTAAGTTAGTATGAACAGATTTACCCTCTTTATTATTATTGTGTCAAGCATGAAGAATCTTGAGAAGATTTTATTTGCAAAAACAAGTTCATCTTTGAATGTCAAAATCTCACATCTTCGATTTGTTGAATATTAAATATCAACTTATTTTATTTTTGCAAGACAGAACCACCCTTAATTTATTTATCCTAATGGAAAAAAAGACCGTCTTAATACCCGTATGTACAACACGTTCGTGTGGCTGTAGAAAACGTTTACAGTGCTTGTTGTGACATTACAGAACATAAATCTTCATTTTACATCGCTTCAAGGTGCTCATTTCAAGCAGCTTCTGTCCTGCCGTTTGGGTATACTTGCATCTCTCTCCATGGAGCAAAAAATAAATATATAAACCAAATTTGCATGATCTGTAAAACCATTTTTTCTAAGCAGCCAGTTATATCCTCTTAGCGTTTCTCGTTGAATTCAGCTTTACAGATTCTCTTAGATGAAACGCTACAACACCTTGATAAAAAAGCCCTTTCACAGTGCTGTCTCTTTAAGGACATTGTTAGCTTGTGGCGTATGCTCAGTAGGAAGCATTTCTTTGACATGCGGAAGTAAAATGCAATGCGTGGCCTTTTAAACCGTGTTGTGGAGAAGTGACTCTAGGGTATCATGGATTTATAAGAGTGTGATCATGTATTTTCTTACAGTATTCACCAGAGTTTGGTCTGACCTTGCCTTGACATATTCCGAACATCTAATTTATGCAAACAGCCGGAGAATTCACTGTCAGGGCGCTGCACACAGAAAATACACATGTCTTTTCAAACATGTGGTGAAACAAGCTACACCGTACTGTACTACTGTCAATGGTGGATCAATACGTAATACAAGTAGGTACACATCTGGTTTACACGTGACATGACTTCCCATTTCTTTACATTAGAAAACGAAAAGGATTGTGCTGATCTACATTTGATCAAGCTACAGATTAGGCAAATCATAAATTGTTATATTTTATCGTTAACAGTTTTTATTGCAGAGAATAGCGGTTGTATTTTGTTGAAGGTTTTTAATAGTGCTTTCAGGCGTCTGCAGCATCACCTGCAAAATTCATGCGAGTCTGAACGCTGGGGTCTGGATTAAAAATACAAGATTTTGCGGTCTCCTTCAACGAATTTGATACCACAGACCTGGCTGGAGTTCAGAGCCATCTGGATTATGTGCCGTGCTTGTCGTTATTGACGGTTACCCTGGGCAGTTAGCATTTTATTATGTTTCTACTTTGATTGTATTAATTTATTTAACTCAACACACCGAGTGAAGCAGTACCAAAACCTAACTACCATGTTTTCTTTTCCCGAAGACAATCTGCTGCGGAACAGGGTGGAGAGAAAGCCTGTAGTAAGTTAGAAAGTAACTAATCTTTATATTTTTGTGTGTGGAGATAATCATATTTAACATAATATTATATTATTATTGTTTACACATATTGGAGAAAAGCAGTATTTTTATTGAAGAAGACTTATATTTTTCTTTCAGATTTGCATTGAAGGGAATATTGCAAGTGGAAAGACAACTTGCTTGGAATACTTTAGCAAAACCAGTAACATTGAGGTAAAAGCAAAATGCCTTTGTAGTTTGATTCATTTCTGTCAAATATGAAGATTTGTAATTCCATGTTCATTTCAGTAATAAAACTGAATCTATCAGTTTTCAGAATTATCCATGCGTTTTATTACATTATATTTGCTTTTAAAGAAATCCTCTTTTAGTTTGCTGTGCTTTTTGATAACACCTTGACAGGCTGTGCTTCTCTCTTTGGTTCTTCAAATTATTATCTCATCAATAGACATGCAGTAAATGTATTTGCACATCTTGTCTTTTAGGCATTGACAGAACCAGTTTCCAAATGGAGGAATGTTAGAGGGCACAATCCACTGGTAAGATGTGTGGATATTATTCTAAAATAAAACCTCAAAATCTCAAACACAGCATTACATCTCCCTTAAAAAAAATATATATATATATAAGAAAATAAAAATAAAAATGCAATATTTTTGTGTTTGTAGTCATTGAGAAGTCACTATTGCTTTGGGTAGCTCCCATTTTTTTTCTTCAGGGTGAAAACACAAGACCAGTAATTCTTAATTTGTTATCAGTATTTATTTGTCTGTTGGTAAATCTGTCAGTTCACAGAGCCTTATCGACTGTTGCAAAGTATAACGTGCTGCTACATTTGGCAGGAGTATACATAAGCTACAATAATTTCCAATATATTAAACTTTAAAACACCCATTTCATCTACTAATTGAAATAAAGTGCAAAAATTCTCCTTGAGAGCTGTTTTGGTTCATTGTTCACTGTGCCTTTGGTTTAAATCCCTGGCAGGGATTGATGTATCAGGATCCTACACGCTGGGGGATCACTCTGCAGACCTATGTGCAGCTCACGATGTTAGACCACCACGTCTCGCCAACGGTAGGGGCTACCGATTATCTTACATGGATATTGCTTAGCTTTAAAAATAAATAAAATTTGTATTACATACCAACCAAATTTGGAATCGCCAGTTGTGTCATTACATTTTGGCTTGCTGCTGCGACACTTATACTTGATAATGTGTCTCTAGGCTCCTCTGATCCCCCACTTTAAGACAGGCACTTTAAGACTTTTCTTTTCATGCTACAAACTTGCAGCTGTTGTTGTTTCATCGGGAGCTGTGAGATCTCAGGCTGACTAATCGCAACCCTATCCCAACAAAACTGAGCCTATTGTGTGTTGCAGCTTGTGGAATAACTCAATAACATTCAACCAGTGAGCGGACTTGCAACACCAGGATCGGTAAACTCACCTAGCACTCTGGGAGTGTGCTTTTAGTTGAGTCAATTGGAAGTCCACATTCATGTAACTTTTGTGCTTATCTTGAGTGAAGAATTCTTAACATCCAGTTGAAACAGCCTTCTGCATTCCTTGTTTTGTACTGTGTCACCATTCATTCCTAAAAAGTTAAATGTGTTAAATGAACTTCAAGAATGAGCTGAAGTGCCCTCAGCACTTGATAATGCCCATTCTTATGTACGTGCATAGTATAAAAGCAAGAGTCCTGAGAGACAATTGGTACAATATCTCCATACTGTACTCCTGTGCTGTTATATATGTAAGCTTATGTATGTTCTTAAAATTCAGTTTGCTTTGAGGTATAGATATGTTTATAGACTGGCATCCTCTCTAGGGTGTAGTCTTGCATTGTAACCTCTACTTCTGTGATAGGCTCTTGGTTACCACTGCCCTTTACAGGAATAAGCATCTTTCAGTTAATGGATGGAAATTGTTTAAAACTGGATGACCAAAAAAAATGTGCAAGGGGGTTAAAATTGTTGTGGTCATCCATTAGGATAAACACTGTTTGGATCATAGGATGATGCTTCTGTTGAGCCTGAATAAAAAGTACACTTAAAATAGTGTAATATGAATATTTTTAGCAAAACTGGTAATACTTAATAAAACCCAGTTAATATTTAAGGAATATGTTAATTAAATTAGGTCGCTGAAGCCCATATTCTCAAATAACAATTTTCCCCTTTTAAAACCTGTATTTTAAAAATGAATGATGAAAAGGGAATATAGTTATAGAATAGAAAATAATGTATTAGTGAATATTGCAATATCTGTAAAATATCTGATTTATTAATAAAAAACATGTTTTCATAGCGCTTTGTTAAAGATAAGTGAAGAATGATCATATTTATTGTAAACTATTTTCTGTTCCCCAGATGTCTCAGATAAAAATGATGGAAAGGTCTATATACAGTGCTAAATACATATTTGTGGAAAATCTCTTCAGAAGGTATGTTTTTAACTGAAGCTAAAATATTAGAATCATCTAGAAATTAAAAATCTTAAAATGATACTCTGGGAATGTTTTGAGTGCTGGCATAATTAAACATAATTATTTTCTATATTCACTTCAATTTCTTTATTTCTTTGTAGATCTAATTACTGTATGCTGATGCACTTTTTTGGGGGTTAATTTTTTTAATAGAAGCTTGATACAGAAAACTACAGAAATCTGAAAGATTCCCCTAACATTTGTGGAATTTAAAATACACACACATTGCATGTTACCACTGTGTGGCACTCTTTCTCCAGTGCTCATGTGTTCCTGAGTACTTCCAATAAAATGGAGAATAAAAAGTTAGCAATCTTTTTTTAAACAGTATTAACTGTGTGCAGCTGATCTTAACTGATCTTTATTCTATTTTGTATATGCAGAATAGAATTTATGTGTTCCGCACTCCAGATCTAAAACTGAATATTTTCATTCAAATGTTGAAGTGCAGTAATTTTGAGTACCAATGCCATATTATTGTAACTTGTATTTGTTTGGATAAAGCATAGTGTAGCACCTCTGAACTGTGAGATTTATGGTGTGTTATATTTCTATAGACACCTGTTTCAATATCAGTCTTTAAAATTAGTGAATTATAAATTCATGTGTACACAATGCAAAAAGGAATAAACCTGCTACTTTATTCGGAGCTTCATTTTTAGAAGGAGGTCAGAAATAGAAATTCTTTTAAGCAGTCACATTCTAAAAATATTACAGCTTTATTGTGGATCAAGGGACTTCACATGTACTGATCACCTTGTGTGCATCAGTGATGCTGCATTTCAGCACTGTAGTGTATTTGCAGACAGGATAGAGTGTGCTAGTAAAATGCATATGTACCTTCTTGCATGTGTTATAGTGGGAAGATGCCTGAGGTGGATTTTGCTGTTTTGACTGAATGGTTTAATTGGATTGTGCAGAAAATTGACATTCCTCTGGATCTTATTGGTGAGTTGATTTGAATCACAGTACATTGTGCTGTTTACAATGAAGTGCAGTTTCTATAGTTTTGTAGATGACAAAAGAGAAATACTTGCTTCTTTTGCATCATGCATCTTATTATAGCATTATTGATGCTTTGCACCGTAAGTGTTTAAACAGCATTATACTGTCTAAAACATGCTTGTGTAGTATGGGATTTAAACATTGCTGCCTGTTCAAAGATTTTGGCAAGCTGCACAGTGTGGTGCAGGGTTGTCCACAAAGGTGTGGTATTTTGGTAAATCTAACCATATTAACTGATCTTAACATGCAGCCTGTCATGCTGGTCTGGTGTTGTCTGTATGTTGTGTTAATGATTTGTATTTCTTTTGTAGGTGAAAGTTCATGAAAGTGCTGGTTATTATCATACAAAGTGGCAGAGTAGCTTGTAGATCATTGTAAAAAAACATATTGGAAGACATTTTGCCATTGGTATGTTTTCAGTAGCGAAGGACAAGAGAATATAATTATTTTTTGTTTGTTGGGTAGTTTACCTGCAGACCTCTCCACAGACCTGCTATGAGAGACTGAAGAAGAGGTGCAGGGAAGAGGAGAAAGTGATACCTTTGGTAAATATACTGAGAAGTATTTAAATGTTGCATTCACATTATCTAGCTCGTGATCAGGAGACTGTTGAACTGGCATTTGGTTTCTTCTTTTTTAAAAGGAATATTTGGAAGCTATCCACCAACTGTATGAAGACTGGCTCATTAAAAATACATCGTTTGCTGTCCCAGCTCCTGTTCTTGTGAGTTGTTCGGCAAATCCTACTGATGGTGTTGGTTTGGAGCATGATTTAGTGTTATGCTACACACCTTAACAATACAGGCTAAAATGTGTTTTCGTGTGTTTTTAGTCTATCGTAATGGAGGACCTAAAAGAAAAGTATATTTATGCAAAATTCATATTTAATTAAATACAAAATGTAATATTTCACAAAGTTGTATGTTGTATGTTGAATATGTTATATTTAATGTACATGTTTTACTTTAGGTTATTCCTGCAGATCATGACCTCCAAAAGATGCTGAACCAGTATGAAGAGAACAGAGAAAAGATACTGTCTACAAACCACATTTAATCGCTCTTGGAATCGGAGATTTTACTCTCTGGACTGGATCTGAAACTGTGTTTGTATAGTGTCGTGAGTCTTTGCCTTGTTCTGAACTGTATCTGGATTTTTTTATGTTGTCCTGAGTCTTTGCCTTGTTCTGCTGTCTCTCAATGTTTCATAACATTTGCATGGTTGGCTTTCTGGCTGTCTCGCGTGCTATTTCTATTTCTGTGACCAAAAAACTGAGTAATTGTTAAGTATAGCACTTAAGATTCATAAAAGCTAAGCGCACGCAATACATTTAATAGTCTTTCATGTTCATTGGCACTGCTGAACTTGTGTACAGTTGTAGACTACAGTGTTTACTGTACTTTAGATGTGTGATAGAACTGGTGCTAGCGGTTGTTTAATGTGAAGAAAAGAGATGACTGGTCAGATGTAACCTTGGATAAAACGCATGCTGTTAGCTGCATTAGTATTTTTGATCTGGATAGAGGAATCCAGGTGAAGACCAACCTGATTACAATTCTGATACCGAACTGTAATTCCTTAATGTATATTACACTTTGTGGCATTCATTTTTTGCATCTTTTTGGTTACCTTCTACAAGACAAAGTAGACAGATCACAGGCCCTAGTGTCACCTCCTGCATGAATGGGACCAGATCAAATCAGTTGTAAGAAACTCTGGCATGTGATCCAAAAGAAAAAATATTTTTAGCAGGTAACCTGTGTTGTGTTATCTGCTGAAAAAAAATTGAGCCACTCCAAAATAAATTTTTGGATCAAAACATGAGGAATGAATTGGGTGTGTATTAACTGATACAGCTTTGGGTTAACTGACAAATCCAATTAGGTAATGAACATTTTTACAACTTCTAAGCACAGTTTTGAACTACTTGTGATTTTCAGGTGGAAGAGTATAAGTTTATATTTTAAACTGAAGTAGTTTTAATGTATCCAAACTGAGTTGAAAAATGTATAGAAGGCAACATTTAACTTATAGTAAGAATGTTTCTGTTACATTCCAGTTACAGGTTTTTGGTTATTCGGGACCTTTTAGTATTAAAAGTAAATGTAAATTTGAAATAATACAGTGCGGGCTGAATCTAAACTTTTGGAGATAACTATTGGGGGAAGGTAGGAGTTGTGCGGACATGTACACCTTTCATTTTTTCCTTTCTTGCTGTATTCAAAGAAATAAAATGAAAGCATTTTTTATTAGTTCTGTTTCTGTTTTTACAATTTTTGGGGATAGGTGCAGAAAGTTCCTCTCATCTGTTTATCTATACGGCTTCTCTCTGTTATACTACTGTGCAGTATGTCATGAGCTTCATGATAGGTAATAATTAACACAATATGGAAATCCTTGCTTTCACTATACTGTGTTCTTCTCCTTTACCTTTTTGTCCACTTCATGTATTGTCTTATAGAATTTGCTGTCCAGTGAGAAATAGCTGTTACCTGTGTGAATGTTTGGTTGGATTCTGTATCCTCTTACTCAAGACTAAATGTAAAATGATTTTCATCAGTCTTATATTTTACAGTTTCTATGCTTTGCCATTTAATTGACTTTGCACTGTGATAGAATTATGCTGCAGTTGTCACTGTTAATTTGTCATAGAGAAACAGCAACATAGTGCCTTAAAAGTAGAATATATAAAACAGGAAATAATGGAAGACCACCTCAGTATTATTCTAAATACAATACCAAATTATATGTCTTGCACAAGCTAGAATTTAAATCCCAAGTACTATCCATCATCTTGTTTGAGAAGGGATGTATCCATAATGTGAATGAACCCCTAATAACTGATAGTTTTAGAATTAACCTACTCACTAGTACATCATGCACAGCTGAATCTCTTTTTTACTCCCAATCATTTGTCAGGTGGAAGAATGAATCATTCTGCATATTTTTATATATCATGTATTCTATATTAAATCTGGAAACATCAGCTGTTTTCTGTTTGTATTGGTGCCAATCATTTAGCCATATAGCTTAATACTGCACCCCCTTTCTGCAGCACAAAAACAGTGAGGACCTGTGCACATACTCCTGTGATGACTGTCTACTGTGGTGCAGACATACTTAAGAGCGAATTATAGGAGAATTAGGAGTGACTGTAGAAGAAGCTCCTCTCACTAATATCTGACCCAGGAGCTTCTGTTGTGTAGAAGCCCATGAAACTCCAGTGCAATTAGCCCATTGTAAAACCCAGTACATTTTTGACAATCAAAATAAACCTATTAGTCCTTATTACTAATCACTCATGGACACATATCTAATGATAAAAAAGCTTTTAATTTAGCTTTAAATTGACTTTAAACATGTTCAACAACAGCTCTGAAACTGTACATGTACATTCACAACTTTAACGTTATTCTCAATTTTCACAAATAGATTTACATAAAGTCAGTTATATAATGGAATCATGTTAATTCTATCAGTTAAATCTACACTTTTACCTGAACTTTACATGTTACTATAACAGGTAACTAGTACTGGAAAGCTGGCAGTGTATGGCAGTGAACAAAACTAGTCATATGACAAACATGAAGAGCAAAAAGGTTTTAAAAGAAAGGAGTTACTGGGTCTATCTAGCTCATTTGGTTAAGCAAAGTAACAAGTTGCCAAGTTTGCAATGCTTATCTAAAAGTCATAACCTTATTCTTTTGAATTTATTTACACTTTGTTAAAAATGTCATCTTACACATGACATCAATTGTTAGTACAAATGGTAATAATCCTTTGGCATTAATAATATAAGCTTTACAAATGAAACACCTCATTTTACATTGTGTTTTTTTTAAATATACATCACCTGTTATTTTTAGGATGCATGCACTCCTTTTATACATGTTAAAATTTAAACATTTGGTCTTGTAGCTAAAATATCTGTTATATTAAAGTTCCACTTCTGAGGTTAATACAGAAATGCTCACATTTAACTTATAATGTCCTGTGAGCTTAGATCAGTTCCTTAAAGGAGTGTTACATCTCTCTGTGACATCACTGCAAATCTGTAAGCGCCCAATAGGCCACAGAAGTTGCCAGTCTACTTAAAGCCCTGGCTGACTAATGTCCATTCTATCTCAATAGCACTCTTCCAATTTCCAATTTAAAGAAGTGAAAGAATATGACAGTCCACTGCCAAGACTAGTGTCACCAGACCTAAAGTACTCTTGCTTCAATGAACGCATTTAGGCTGAATTTGGACTCTTCCATCTCCTTTTTCTCAAAGTTCAGACCATTTAAATTTTTACCAGCAGTTATTGTTAGGTTAGGCTCCTACATTTACCCTAGTGACCTTTTTGATAATGATTTCAAGTCTTAAACCTTTTTAAAGGTTTTGCAATGCATTCTTTTGATGCCACAGAAATATTGAACAAATATTGAAAACTGAATTAGTAGGAAGTCGGAATCCTAATTTTTTCCCACTTCTGCACTCCTGTTCATAAACATCACCACTCAGGTGTATCCTGTCATGCACTGGCATTTACACCCCTACCTCCACCCTTTCAGGATCTCCCCAATTCCACTGAGATTTCTGATACATCTCAGTAGCATACATTACACAATTAGTATTCTCAAATATTTGCTTCTTGTCTTATACTCTGTCCTGTTAGTGATTGCTGCATAGCTATTCTTTGTATTTATTTTTTCATGTGTTAAACCAAAACATAGCCTTTCAACAGGTCATCCTCTGTTGCTAATGTGTCTTTCTTACTTGGTGGTTGGCAAGTCTCATTACAGCTGTTTGGGCAGCTGATACTTTCTGCATTTAGTTCCTCAATGGGAATCTGGTTGTCAATGCTTCTGGGTGGGATGTAAAAAGACTGGGGTGGCTCTTTGATGGCATTAGGTGTCAAATTGTCATCAGAGAAGGATGTAGTAGGAACATCAGCCTTTGTGAAGGATTTTCTCCAGTCTGGGTCTGCTGAGACACTGCAGTTGCAGTCAGGTATGTTGCTGACTAAAACTGCAGATGGGTGGCAAACAACGGGCTGTTTTTTAACTTCTGGTAAATAAGGAGGCTTGTGTTTGCCAAGGTCATGGCAAATGCCACCCATCTGAGATGTCTCTTCAATGGGGTATTTGAGACTTTCCTCTGGAAGACTATCTTTAAACCCTAGGTTGTTAAACTTCATAGTTATCTCAGACAAAATGTTATCAGTTGTTGCAGACTGCTCTTCGAGAACCTGTTTGCTTTCAATATGTCCTGTATTGTGCATGGCAGCTGGAGGACTGAATGATTCCAATGCTGCTGAACTTCTGCTGTGTTTGTTCAGAGGTGGATGCTTGACGATGTCTTCTTTTGCTAACTGTGCCGCTTGTAGTTCATTAGGAAGTGCAGAAACTGTGAACATGGCAATAGATTGAGGACCACTCAGATCATGTATTTCAGGCATTCTTTTATCTCCTAAATTGTTACGCTGTGCTGCAGAATGTTCTTGAGTATAACTGAAGATACGTTTCTGCCGGAAAGTAAGGTCAGGGTAATTGGCACGCATCTCTGAGATTGAGCTGTCTTCACTTAGTATGCTCCTGCTAGGTCCCAAATCAGGTGTTTCTGCTTCCTCTGAAATTCTGATCTCTGCATTTAGAGGCTCCTCTTCCAACCTTTGTCCTGGCTCAAACTCCATTTGACTTTCTTCTCTCATGGCTCTTCCTGGGCCTAACAGAGAACTGTCGTTTTCCAGCTTCTCCTCTATGAAGTCTTCCCCAACCAAGGCTTCAGCAATTTCTTTGTGACCACGTAGTGCTGGAAATCTCTGCTTAATGATTAGTAAACACTCTGCTTCTTCCTTTTGACCCATGACTTCTAGCAAGTACTCACATTCCTGCCTGGCCAGAAACAGTTCAAACCCCACTTTCTTTACTTTTGTAAAGTCTATATTCTTGCTCAATCTGTACTCTGTGTCAGTTTCTAGGTAATATCCTATAGTTTCCAGGACGCTCCTGACAGTGTCTGGTGGCAGCACAGGCTGAATTATGTAGACAAAGGGCCCTGTGAAAGTCTGTTAAAAAACAAACAGTTACTGTATTTCAGAATCTATATGATTCAGTTACAATACACATTGACACTTGTGTAACAGTTTAATGCCAACATCTGTATCTAGTTTCACTTCTGGTGCTTTATGATAGTTTGAAGTTGTTTATGATTTCTAAATTTCTTATTTTTCATGCATGATTCCTACTTGCTTAGCAGTATGAAATGTATTTAAAACTGCGGCATATTGTGAGAATTTGCTCATTTAAACCTGTGTTCCCACTCTTAAGCATTTACTAGACTTAAGAAGGCTAAAGTCTTAAGCAGTAAAATGTAAAGAAGCATGTACAGTATGCCAAGTACTGTATTTGTAGAAATACTCTTTTCCAAACATGTCAGAATGTTTGTTTTTTTTTTGCATGCAAGACCATGACAGAAAATAGGAGTGTAGTTACTACTAAATTATCCATTTGAGACTCAAGAGTAAGTGCCTTAATATTTTTAATTCCCTTCTTTATCTCAAGAAGTCGTTATGGCTGGGAACTGCAGCTGTGACAGTACCAGGAAGTGGTTTAACTTTTGTTTCAACTGCTTGGGTGTTTTTTGGTTTCATCTGGTTGGGTATTTTTCCATTTGAAAGCCCCTGCTTTTTAATAATGAGAAAGCAAATCTCATGAATTTGAAAGCACAGAAATGGCTGCCAAGTGAGTGTTTTAGCATACATTAACTAATACCATGCTAAGTATTTTTCTGGTGTAAGCAGAAAGTCTTGTATCTCTCAATAGTATATTAAGGTTTAAATAAACTTTTACTTGCATCTACTGTATAGCACATAATATTTTATCTCTATATTCATATTATGAATTGTAATTTAAGGTAACTAGGAGGGGTTAAATTTATAATGTATACTAACCAAATGCCAAGGCTAAAACAGCCTAGTGTTTTATTATGTCAGATCAATCTGCGAATTACATAGGTATTTGTCCTTTTATCTTAACTGAGAAAATGTATATAACTTTGTAGAATAATTTTAATTGATTGCTGATTATTACCTTCAGTGATCTGATTTCCTTCTTCCACGGAAAAAGAAACAGGTTGACACAAAACATTTCTAAGACTTCGGTGGCTTTTATCAGACCCTCGAACACATCCCGACATTGGTTTTGACGCACTCGTAGGCATTCTGATACAGCCCAGTAAAAGTCAAAAACTTCAAACCTTTCTCCTGGATTAGTTTCTGAAAACAGGAAGCGTTTCGCCTTTTCTGTCACTTCAGTCTCCGTGCAGAGTTTGAGATTACCGTCAAGACAGACTTTTTCGTAGTAGTTCAAATAATCCTGACGAAGGTCTGGAAGTATGCTTAATGATTTTTCACTGCTGGCACTCTTCATGGCTGTCAAATCTGATTTAGGGGGTCAACTTTGCCTGTAGAGCTTTCCTGTAAGAAAGTCAATAACAAGGAAGCTGCAATACATGCAGATGGCGTAATAGTCTTTTTAGACGTTCAGCAATATTGTTCGGGCAGGCGGGGGTTATAGATACCGATATATTATAAATATAGTGTCGATTATATCAACGAAGCCTCAGTTAAGGACGGCAACGGATTCTCTTTGTAGTTGGACATGCTGCGAAAGACGAAACGCAGGTTGCCCTAAAAAAGCGAAAGTGAAAGAATCATGACATTTTTGCAACAAGGAAATGGACTGCTCGGCAAACCATGCGTGTAGGTTTATATACAGTATACGTAGTTTAGGTTTATCGAAGGTGTATACAATTAAGACCTAAGATGCATGGTTATACCGCCATCACTTGCAACAATTCAAATATTTTTGTCAATTTCTGTTGACTTTTCGCAGTATTGAAAAAGATCACTTCATTCCATTATAAATGGGCATTTAAAAAAGTATCCTACTAGCTTTAGTTGTAAATACAGACATCGGAAAATGTATGAGTTACAGATTTAAAAATCCTTTTACATAGGCCTCAACTCGTGGTTACGGAACTGAAATTGCAGAAGCTACTGCACATTAAACATGGCATGGGCTATACCTTTCATGCATGGGGTTCAGGCAAATGAAATTCTTCTAGTAATATTTTTGTGAATGGCATACTACATTTTATTCACTAGTTTTCATTCATATACTGTACAGGGGTCTCAAACTTTTTATAGGGGCAGAGTTGGTCTGATAATATAAATAACTGTGTTAATCTAATTCCACTAACAGCCTGATTAGAAATAACTGTAATTTCTAATGAATTAAGGCTTTGAGTAATCAACTGTAAAAGTCTTAAGAAAAATCACATTTAATTCTAAAAAAATAATGAGGTTTCTTTTTATTGACTTCTTAGACGGTGGCACAGTGGCTAGCAGTGCTGCCTCACAGCGCTGGGGTCCCGAGTTCGGGTCTGGACCTGAGGTGCTGTCTGTGTAGATTTTGTATGTTATCCCAGTGTTTGTGTGGGTTTTCTCCAGGTTCTCCTGTTTCCTCCCTCAGTCCAAAATAAACTGGTAAGTTAATAATTGGCTCTAGGTGGGAGTGTGCGCATGTGCAGTCTATGTCTGTGTATCTGCCTTGTGATGGACTGGCGTCCCACCCAGGGTGTGCCCACCTTGTGCCCATTGCTTGCTGGGACTGTCACCTGCTCCCCCGCAATCCTGAATTGGAAGAAGCGGTCAGGAAATGAATGAATGGATGGGACCAAAAACCAGGAGACATTAGGCCTAACATGAACTAATTCCTAACCTACACTTTATATCCAGACTTTCAAAAAGAAATGCCTTCTTCTCTATTTTAAACTTAAATTACTGTGAGGTTCAAAGCATTATCAATAAAACTCCCATTTTTGCCACTGTGCAGTACATTTCAAAGAAAAGCACTCAACCTATTACAGACCTGGATCGAGTCCTAGACTACTGACGTTTTTAAACAACAAAATACGAATATTCAGGGAAGTGGCAATGCATGAATAAGGAATCAGTTTAGCTTCAATTACAGTAAGTAATAATATACTGGTAATATATACCTGTAGTACTGGTGCAGTGTACTTTTAAGATTTATAAGCAACATAAAAGTTACCACAATTCACAGTTTTATACATGTATTATGTTAACTGCTTTTTTTGTTGATGCAGTTTTAGTCGACTAGAATGTACCACAACAAAACAAATGACAAAGGAATGAACACACCTGCTGATTTTGACTTGAGCAGCTTTCCATACTGGTGTACTGTTGTAGGCAACAGAGGGCACTACAGTGCAGCATCAGGACCGATCCTTGCAAATAAAATAAACACTATGGTATTTCACTGTTCCAATATCTTTTTCAGCTTTATGTTTGTGTTTGTGCAGAATCTTTACCCTACATTTTATAATAAAACATTATAAATGTACTATTATAGAAAATTGTTTAGATACTACAAAAAAATTATACTGTTTTCTGCTTGATGTTCAGGAATGTCTAGTAAGTCTTTTACAGAATAAAAAAATAATTAAAAAAATGCAATTTTATGTACTGTCCACAGATATTTATTTTTCCTGAAACCAGTGGGTGTTGGTTAGGACATTGCTACAATATGAACCATTATAAAAAAATAGTGTTTATTTCAGTGCTTTCTTTTGCCCTGCATAGAGGAGTTCATTTATGCAAACAGAACACTGAACCACAATATATTTCCTACCTTTTGGTTAAAAGAGGCCAACCAAAATCCCACCTGATTGCATGATCTTCCTTCAAAAAAAACAGTATTTTCTGTCTGATCTAAGCGATTGCTCAGAAATGCAAGTTGCTATACTCAATTCTTTGTATTCCTCAAAAACTTATTTGTCTGTGGTATTCTCCGGCTACAACTGCCTCCTTCTCTTAGGCAGTAGAAGCTTGATTAGTTACAAGTCAACATCAATTTAATTATGCTGAGGGAAAACCTATACTGGGACTCTACAATAAAATAAAAATGTGTGTAAAAAATAGGTATATTTTCAGTGAGGCAAATTAGTTAAATACATACACATTACACTGAATCAGAATAATTTGTTATGAACATTAACTTTTAATGATGCAATTTTCGTCATGCAACCAATGACATTAAATATTCAATGGTTTTTTTTCTAAACACCCATTACTACTAGTCAATTTGTATTTCCACAGACTTTCTGCCTTAAAAAGGGTTTCAGACCCATTTCAGCTTCAGGCAATATACAATATATTGTATTTTGAGATCTGCAATATCTTCAAAATTCACCAGACAAAAAAAAAAATTGAATATACACGTAACACAATATACAGTATCTCTAGATACTTACAGAATATGCTGCTGGCATTGAATCCTGATTAAACGTTTCATAGTTCTTTCATAGACTTTGGCATTAGTGTATTTGAGTATATATCTGCTCTGCTGGACTCATTAAAGGAGAATCAAATTTGTTCTTCCTAATATTTTTCTAAGGAATGCCAGTGTACTAGTATTAGTGCTACTATACATTATGTCAGGGAAAGTGCACTTAACAAAACATATTACTTTTGTTGCTTGATAGTATGTTTCAGAATACCTTGCAAAGCCAATTGCTCTAGTGCATTTGTATCACTGGGAATAATTTAGCATTGATCTTTCATCCTTAAAAGAATTAATGTTCCAAATGTTGTCCATGGGTCTTGTTAACTTAAATTGATTGAGCTAATACGTTTTTCTCATAACCCTGACCTACTTTCTGTCTGTAACATTTCATCATGATGTTTTAGCAATGATAATGTGAACACTTTTGCCAGTCTGTACTGTCTGGAAATCAGAGTATTAATCCTAAAGGTTAATGCTACACTTACATACTTAAAACATAAACATGGCATAACATCTACCAAGGGGCTTCAGGAGAATATACATTTTCCAAAGAGTTTAAAAAAGCTATGCACAACAAGAGGTATTTTCAGAGCAACTAGATTACATTCATATTCACCCCAATTCAGAGCCCCAATTTAATATTATGAGCAAGTAGGAACCTCCTAGTATACCCACAATATTTCTTTATCCATGGTATAATTATAAGCCTTTTAAAACCCCTTGTGTATGAGGCACTGCATGATGTACAAGGCATAAACACCAGATACAACTGTTTGCATTTGACCCAGTATGGGGACTCCTTTTCTGCTGGAAAAGGAGTATGAAATATAAAACCAAGCTCACAATGACTTCATCATTAAAGGTCATTAAAGATCACATGGCTCTGTTCATGAACATATGGAGATTAACTCCTGGTGTCCCAGGTTAAATTCCACCCTGGGCCTGTTCAGTGTAACCTACCTTAAGTCCCCCTGTTAATTCAGTTGGTGAAGCAGTTTCTAATTTCTTTATCAGATCTGCCTTGTAGAGGAACTGATGGCATTTAAATGGTTGTTTCGCGTCACTCATGCAGGTGATGTCCTTCAGTGCTAGAGGAAATACTGTAAGTCACTTCTAGTATTTAAAGTGCTTTGGAGTCCTTTGGGATAGATGGAAGGAATTATTATAATCTATATACCATTGTTGTTCTGTAGTTACTGTATATGTTATGGCAATATCATAAGTTGTGCAATACACACTAGAAACACCTATCTTACCAGTCAGTGAATTAAGCATTATGTTTTTAAATCTTGTAGTTTTATGAATTTGCTTGACTAAATGATGAACACATGTGAACTGCTAATCCATGGAATAGCTGAATTCTACAACAGCTCTGGTTTCAAAAGGGGTTTTTGATGTCAGTAAAGGCCCCAGTGGATATTAACCTATGTCTCAGAACCTCAGCATAGTTTGAAATTCAATGACGTGCCCGTGGTATTTACCTAGTTGTGAATGGATGCTTACCATGACCCAGGAGAAGGACTGCTGTGCTCTACGATATGCTTGTGTTGTTCCCATCAAGGACCAGCATCACTGCCTGTCTAATTACAGCATGTGCATCACATGCAAGTGAAAGAAAATCAGTCCTGGAGTTCTTAAGTAGGTCGGTAGTTATAAATCGGCATCTATTGCCAATACAAAATGGGATATAATCTTATGTGCTGCAACTTTATCCTGCAACAATTGCCTACAGTATACTGACCAATTTGAAATGTTAATGCACACACTGTACCAATAAGGTCTTACAGTGTCCAAGCTTATCATTTACATGCAATAGGATTCAATGAAAAAAACTGCCTTTCTGGTACTCAGCAGAACAACTTCATTGTTTTCTGGCATTCCAAGTGATTGATTAACTCCACAGAAAGAAATGTGCACTTCCTTCAGTTAGTACCTGGTTGGCTTTTTTCAATATTCACATACAGGCTAATTCACAACAAAGCTGTCTTTCATGGCAGCTAATTAATCAGGATCCCCTTCCTCATAAACTGATATCTTTCTGATGTATTGCCATGTCCCTGTTTTTTTGCTGTCTGCTGAAATGATAGATGTGACCAGTCTAAGCTTACGGTTCATTTTTTGTGAAATGTCCTGAATGAGGTAAAAAAAAACAAACTCTTTGGATCTTTTTTTCTTCTCAGCAGAGGACATACCCTATCCTTGAAAATATAAATAAGGAAAATACTGTATCTGTATTACATTTTGACTGTTATAAACCAACACTTTAAATGCAATAGTTTAATTTACACAATATAAGGCATTTGTTAGTTATATACAGTATGATGGGGTTGTCTCTGATATTTAAAGTGCTAGTATGACTGTTTAAATGTGTTAGGTACTAATGACCTTTTCTTGGTAATAATTGGCCATTAACATATTAACATTATGTTATGTAATGTTGTGGCATTATTTCAGTAGTCAATACATTACCAATTTATTAATACATTATATACTGTAAGTATTAATAAAGCATGAATTAGGCATCAATTAGCTCTCATAAAGTTGTGTTTCAGTAACATAGTAGCAATACATACCTGTAAGTCATACCTACTTTGAAATATTACCACTAACTTTCACAAGTCAGCAGTTGTGGTACTGAGTTGAAGTCTTGAAGACTTTCTGCTGTTTATGGAGTAAAGGTTAAAAAGACATTCATTAGATTCAGAGCTAATCTGTGTCACGGGGATGATACCAGGCCCAGCCAAATGTAAGGAAAAAAAAATACCATAGGGAAAACCTGCCCAGTAACAGAGGGAAAATGTTGTAAAGTTAGTCCAATTAGAAGTATAAAAGGAACTAAGCTTTTGAGATTAGCTCATTACCGCTGGTTTTAATGGATTTAGCAATTAAAGTGATAAAAATAATACAGTATGAATGTTCTTGCTAGAAAACTAGTAATTTGCTTGACAGGGAGTGCAGGAGGCTCAGAATACAATTCTTTTTCCATGCTGAATGTAGTGGGACAAGGTATAAAGGTGCGTGTCATTAATTTCATAGACAATGGATACCTGTGCTATGAAAAGCACTTCAGTTAACTCAAAGATGGCAGTTCACTTGTTTAGCATACAGCACTACATCATATAAAATAAATCTGTTCAAGGGGGCCAATGCTATGGGGAATTACATTGGGAAAAATATAGTTCTGTGAATTGAATTTATATTTAGTAAACCATTAGCTTAGTATTCCAATGATCACTGCACACCTAATTTACTGAAGGCAGTGGCACTAGATGCAATTAGGTTTCTCCTGCCACGCTCTAATAGAAGTCAGACACTGGGCAAAGAGGGCAATTAGGAGAACTGTCGTAGCAGCTACCATCTGTTCTAGCTTATTAACAATGAGCTCTTCAGAGAATCAGAAGATAGGTGTCAACAATGCTAGCTTGAATACTGTATATCCTTAAACTCTACACTTTACTTCAGGTCATTTTAGGATTGCGTGGGGGTCTGATATGAACTGTCCATGCTGACTATTGTCGGTTATTCCTCGGGATCCTTGAAGAAGCAGCCAGATAAGATCTTTGGATCATTAAGTTACTAGCAATCAGGTGAGAAAAGACGTAGTAAACGGCTACCTGACAATGGTAATCCAATTTATGTTCTGGACAATAGGAAAGAAGAGTTACCCATTTTTATTTTTTGTTTACCTTTACCTCACAATAATAGTTTTAACTTTATTTTAAACTTGCATTAATATTGTCCACATAAATACTATATTTTATGTGCAATGAAAAAAGAGTGTGAAATGGATGCTCAGAAGCTAGGTTAAGTTATTTGATGTTATTTAAAGTAGAGTACTTACAAACTATTTAGCGGCATCATGCTTGTAAATTGAAATTGTTCACTAATTGGAGCTACCAAGAAGATGGACAGTAGTCTTTGCATGTTTTCTGTGTGAACTTGAACTTGAGTTCAACCAGAGCAAAAGCTGAACAAAGCAGTCTTAAATATTTATTTATAAGAAAGAATTAAAGCTCTAATACAAAACATGTAAATACAATTGCAATGGGTAGTAACAAGACTCATTATTACTAAAGACAATCATAGACAACAGAAACAAAGATACATTACATGAGGTGTACATCTTTCTCTTAAGTCTCACAGTTTAATAGGATATGCACAAAAGCAATAACAATGGCAACAAAACTGCATAAAGACATTTAGAACTATACTGCAGTTTTAATTATGGTGTACTGCAAATTCAAAACAAAGCACTATAACTACAATTACAATGCAGTTCTAGTGCTATTTAAAGGCAGCTACATTTGCAGTAGAATTCTAGACCTTCACATTCTGTAATGCACATGTATTAAACTGTTTTGTAATCCACATTCACTGCACTATATAAGTATATAGACTGCAGTTATTTTTTAATGTTTTTAACTCTGGTAATTTAATTAATAATGTGCTCCTTCTTGATGAAAAGGCAGTGAAGTGGTCTAAAAGGTGCAATATGTAAGCAGGGCTTGAGGTTAAAGAAAAAAGATATTATGGAAAATTACAAAAAATGCTTTGGAAATGTGCAGGGTTCAATATATTCCTCAGCAGGCACTGTATAGCCAAATGTCATATATTTAAAAAAATAGCTAAGACATAATTAAGACATTAGGAGGAACATTATTTAGTAGAATAATTGTAATGATTAGACTTGCTGAACTTTACACCATGAGACCTTTTTTTCCTGGAGGGCACTCAGAGCTATTAATATTAGAATACTATGTTCCAACAGGTGAAAGATCCAGAAAAACCCTTTAATGAGTTTTTTAAAAGCTTTTTCAGTTTTGTTCAGCAAATGCCAAGTTCATTTTGATTCTGGTGCAAAAGCAAGTAAATATGAAACGTATTTGGGTTTTAAGTCTTGCTTACTCTTTTTGACACTCTGAATATATGCATTAAAATGTAAACATGTTCATAGATCAATATTCTAATCAGATTACTGCTTTTTATATATCACTTCAGTTTACCCCCTGGGAACTTATCAGAAGAGCAGAAAAAGTGCAGAACAGGGTTTCCGCAGCCTTGAGAAGGTCTGAATTGGATGTTGTTTTTCTGGACATCAAACTTCATTCTACACTAATCAAAAATGTAAGTCCTGAAGCTTCACTCAGTTACTGCTTGACTTTAATGGAACACAATATCCTTCATTGTTTCATTGCATTCTTAATGAAAATACAACAAAACTGATAAAGATTCTGACCATGTCTATCACAAAAACATGTTTGTTTGCAATGAAATGCAGATTAACATTTAGATCCATATTGTACTAATCGGAGGTATTTTTGTTTTTCAGAGAAAAAACTCAATTTTTATTTTAAAAGAATGCTGCCTGATTAACTGTAAAAATGTTGTAAAACTACTAACAATGTAGTTTTATTAACTTTTTTATAATAACAACAGGTATAAATACATAAAAGCAATATTACATTTAGAAACTTAGAAAAATATTAAGTAAAAGCATACTGGGCAATCAATTGCTTTAGTCTTACCCAGCTATTCTCAAAATAGGACAAATAGAATACTTTATGTGTACATATGTTCTGAATTAAATATATGTTTATGTATGTGCAAGTATTCACAGTTAACTGTGTGACAGGAAAACCTGTGGATACAGTGATGCTCATTTTAAGGTTGTGGGCAGGTGATTCATCTTTCAGTGGCATCTGTTGATATATGTACAGTGTATGACTGTGTCGAACACTGTTTTAATGAAAATTACTTCTTATCATATCATATTGTGCATTAATTTTTTGCAGTCTTTCTTCTGCGGTGAAAAAAAGTGGTAAGTCTATTTATTGCTCAGTGAGATTAATTTATAAGTCATAGAACTGTCCACGTCTTTTAAATACACAACAATCTATCTGTGACCAGGATGGGCAGGTCAGTGCAATCAGGCTTCAGTCAGATCACCTGTCCTACTCATTGTGCCTCAGTCTGTTCTATCTCATTCTGCAATTCTTGTTCAGAGGCCAGTGATGACACTTTTGGGTATGAAGACAGGGGACCCCGATGTATTTTGGGGTTAGGGTCCAGTAAGAGCTAAATTATAGCAAAACTACATATATACTGTAGAGGAATAAGTAGTGATAATAACGTTTTCGTTAATAAAGGGAGGCTTATACAATAAGAATCAATGGAGTAGGCTTAGAGACCAGAAATCATAACAAGAGTGTGTTTCACTTGTAGCTACCCAAAAATATGGTACTGTACATTATTATACCTGTACATGTAACATTTTTACTCTAAAAACGGTTTGTGATTTACCAACCATTTTAACATTACATAATTTAAAGCATTTTCATCACTTTTGTAATTGTTAATTGAGTTTTTAATTGATTTAAACCAAACACTCTTTAATATCAACTTACCTTGAGACATGGACAAGTTTTGCTTGATCGTAGATGCTACTGCACTTCTTACATCCAGCACCAGCACTGTGCCATTTCAGGACACTTAGAACTTATCGTTGTAGGTGCAAAGTTAAAAAATGAACAAGATATGAAAATGTCATGCCTTAAATTCTCCATCAGGTATGTGAAATCTGAGATACAAGACTTTTTCCTAAATAAAAGTCACCAAGTCAAAAACAATGTGAGGGAAATTTGTGTGTTGCATACCCAAAATGGTGTGAGAATTGTTTACATTGTGTTCCTAATATCTCAATGACAATTCTGCCGAAAAATGCATATTTAGGCAACCTATAAAGGGGAACCCCTCTATATTTAAATTAGTATTATTTAATTGGGCAGATTTAATCATCATTTGATCAAATTAAACAGTACTGTATATCATTTTTTTTAACATACACTACATATTTTCAGAATCACTCACAGCAGAGACTAGGGTCACCTTTTTCAATGTTTGTGGCCTCAATAAGTAAATTACAATTGTAAATGAAGTTTGTTCAGGATTATTTGGTAGAGTACAGTTTAATCACAGCCTTTACCTTATTCTTTTGCATATAACCTCTAAGCTACAGCACTTCCACATATTTTTCTAACTATTACTAAAAGGTTTGCACATCACAACACATGTTGGCTGTCTCACCATAATGAGTTTTCTTGTTTGGATATACTTGAGCATACTGACGTCTAGAAGCCAACTAAGGGTGGGATCTTTTACATTGTTTTAAGCTGTACATTTTAGATAGGCTACATATTTTATCAAAAATCACTAGATTGAATGCTACAGTTTTTTGTGAGTAAATGTATGATATGTATAAACTATGGCTACATATTATAGTGTAAGTAGAATATCTGTATGTCTATAAAAGCACAGTTAAAAGTGAAAAACAAAAGAATGCTTTTGGCAGTGCAAGTATGGATGCTAATTGTGGCACCACTGTAATATAGCAGGTATCACAACATTATAAGGTTTTAAGGTCAGCTAGTCTAAACACAGAACATTTTGCTTACAAAACCGTATTGAAATTGTGACACCCAGTATAATATGCAGGTTAAACCTCAATTAAACAAAATGAAAAAAAACAATAGGCCAGGAGATTACTCTAACATAAGCCCATTTGGTAGTTATTAGCTAATTAATATAAGGATCTCATCCAGTCATTTCTTTAAAAAAGCGTATTGTCTCTGATAAAACAGCAGGGTAGCCTGATACACAAACATTTGTGTAAAGAAATGCCTGCTCTTCTCACTTTTAAATGCACTTCCATATTTCTTTTAGCTTGAAAACAAACTGGAAAATCTTAAAATTAGGCCTTGGGTTTATAAGCAATATGATCATGGAGTTGAAAAAACAGACTAAACATACAAATCTTCATAATGAAAATGTAAAGGTAATTTAAATGAACTATATTTAGTGTGGTGATCCTCCGCTGTTTCTGCTTAAATCATTATTTGCTAAATAATTTAATATCTCAACAAAGACTTCTCAGAGTTGAAAAGGAAATAAATATTATATGTAAACAGAGAAACGTGTCCACTCAATTATAAGGATGATGCAATCCTATTTTTCTTTCAGTGCAAACGTCTTGGATTTGAGAAACTTAAGAAGAAACAAAGATTCACTTCACAAGTCATGACTTAGACCAGCATGAACTAAAATAAAAGAAAAAATAATAATTTTTCCACATTCATTCTCAGAATTGTATTGAAACTCCAGTAAATATCACCCTCCTTTGGAAACTGTCAAGAGATTTGGTGAAACACTCGACAAAATGACAGGAACAAAGTCAGATTTGATCTTTTTTTGCATACTGCATAGCTGGTACATGTCCGAGACCAAAAAATTAATAAACAGAGGAAAGCTAACATTCTTCAAAGGCAATTGTTGAAAGCACTGTAGATCTGCTTTGTTTCTGTGGCAGTTACTTTCCTCACTGGCAACGATAACTGAGGGAGCAGTGCATTATGGTTCATGTGGTGTGTACACTATAAAGAAACAATGGCAGTTGATGTGATAGAAGGAAGGGAGGGGTGTGCTGGACACGCTGCTGGAGGTTTCACAGATAAATCCCAGAGATAGAGGGGGTTTACAGCTTAAGCTTTCAAGTGTATTCCAGTCAGTTGCACCATTTCATTTGGCTCTCTGTGAGACATGGTGGGAGTAATAACAACAAAAACCAAGAACCAAAAAACCATCTAAATAAAATTCTTAAAATTAAAAAAAAAACGGAGAACGAACTGCTTCACCTTGTCTCACAGCTGCTGAAAAGGTTCCAGTCTTTGCACAGCGCTTACAGGATTCTATGGCAGATGGGCTGGTGTTGACTGCTCTCCGTGGCTGTGTGCTTAAGGAGGTCCAGCAGTATCAGGGGGATGGGGAGGCTCTGTTCACGGATGACAGTCTCGTATGGGGGTGCTTCTTCCAGGGTGGGAGCTGACAGGGAGATAGAGGAGACTGGCTGCTGCCTAAGCTCCTGCAGGGCGATTTGATACCTGGAAGCACTTCCCATCGCCCAGGACGCTCCGCCCGTCAGCTCCTCCATTTCCAGGCTTGTGTGTGGAAGCGGGAGATCTCCGGCCTGGCAGGGGTCAGTGAGAGAGTAAGGTGGGGGGTCGTCTGTTGGGATGTATATTTGCGTCGCACCAGGCCCCACGCATTCATCATAGCTACAAAAAGAGACACGGTGGATTTTAGTCCATTCACATCAAATGTTTAATTAAACACCAAGATCCATCCATGCTTTATCCAATGCAGGGTCACAAGGGAACCAGAGCCTATCCCCTAGGGTGATGGTACACCCTAGACGGGACACCAGTCCATCACAGGGCACACACACTCACA